AATTGTTGAAATGGCCATTTCAACAATTCGGGTTGCGCAAAATGTTGAAATGGCCATTTCAACAATTCGGGTTCTGCGAATTGTTGAAATGGCCATTTCAACAATTCGGGTTGTGCAAAATGTTGAAATGGCCATTTCAACACAAGCTGCGTGACACGTTGCAAACCCAAGCCGAACAACAACAAGAACGCAAATTGTTGAAGTGACTACTTCAAAAATTTGCACAGCGCAAGTTTTTGAAATGGCAACTTCAACAGTTTGCCTGTGCGAATTGAAGTAGCCACTTCCATAACAACTGCATGGCAAGTTGTAAACCGAACAACAACGCAAACTGTTGAAGTGGCTACTTCAGCAATTTACTGCGTCGCTGTTCAATTTCGTTACGCAGTTGTTATTGGTATGGCTATCAGAAAGCTGAAGGGGCCTTGGCCCGAAAGTTCGCCATGCCATCGGTGAACACATTTTGAAAAAATGCCCGATGCTTTTTCTATATAGACGCGAACGCTCCTCCCTGGTCCTCCCTGGTCCTCCAGGGTCCTCCCTACTCCCTGTCTATAAATTTCTCTCGATCCCGGGTCCCAGGGTAGTTCAGCAGCTCTCGATCCCAGACAGTGGCAACATAGTTCAGCAGCTCCGAGACCGAGCTGCAGCCATCGGCGCCAACGACAACCAGCAGCAGGCCCAAAAGGAGACGCGGCGGCGGCGCCCCCCCGTTGCGAACCACCACGCAAAGTCGGGTGGTGGCGAGACCGCGCATGTGACGACTCCGCGTCGGCAAGGACAGCAGGCGAAAAATACTGCATCCGCTTCCATCTTCGAGCCACAAACGCAAAAGCAACACAGCCTCGACTCTCCGTCGTCAGGACAGAAAAGCGACCTGCTGTCTCGGAAGATATCGGTGAAGGCACATGAGGGGAAGATACTAGATTTCCAGTAAGTACACAAACCCAGCACAAAGATTTGCTCCGCAGTATCCATTTTTCCAGGTAGGAAAGTCAAGCATAGCTACGATTTATGAATACCTGCGACGCAACGAAGCGAAGAAAGAGTTGACCATGTTATTGTAATGTCCTCTCGGAGATGAAACGAAAAAATATGGCTCAGAAGATGTAAAACAGTAAGTGCAAGCCAAGGGAAACATATCAACGTGCGAAGTTGCGATCGAATGTTCGCTAAAGACGACGCCATGTTGAGATTGATTAAGTCAGGAGCGGTCCTCGTTTTCTGTTGCGAAAAATCAAGAGTGGAGAAACCAAACGTAGCTTCTTCTTCTTCTTGTCCTTTTCTTCGACTGCTAATCCTCACCAAATAAACCCAAAGCACGGGCAAGAAAAATCGTCGAAGGCAGGCTGCAGCGTGCAGCATCTGTCGCACGACAAACAGTCACAATGTTGCACAAGCACAAGCAGGTAGTGGAAAGATGAGGAGCTCGTCCTCGTAGGTGGCCGGTCACCGCATCCGACCGCGGGACACCACCTTTGGTCCTGGGCGACGGGAGCAAAATGTCAAGGTCGAACATGTCCTGCCCTGCTCGGAGACGAGTCGGGGTGAGAAGTGCCCTGCTGCCAGTCGCAGTGCTGTTCCTGTCTCTCGGAGCAAGCTGGGGGAACCAAGTTCGCTTCTTGATGAAGTCTACCCCCGCCTGTGACTGTTCGCAGTGCGAGGCTGCCAAGCGGACGGATGCGTTTGCGTGCGGGGTATGCTCCTACTAACTTGATGTTTCTCTTTTTCTCAATCGTAATCTGGAAATTAGAGGGTCTTCGTCTTGTCCTTGTGATGAATGGATCATGTCATCATGGCAAATGAGTCAAGAGTTCCATAGACAGATGAACATGAAGAAAATCTGCAGGCGCGTTCCATGTGTGAGCCGGAGCCTATTTCGCTTGGAGACGGCGTATTGTGCACGGTTCCAGCGAACAGCGTCCTGATGCCCGGCGAACAGGGCATGGGTGTGCCCAAAAGCAAATTTTGCCTGAATTCCTGTGTGCCACAGCAAAACGCAGCGACGCTCAAGTTGCAGATGAATGCACTGTGCTCAGCGATCACCGAGGAACAGATGAATCTCATCCCGGCCGATCCAAACGGCGTCGACCCTGCATGTGTCATTGCACACTTGGAATCCCTAGACCCGGACTACAAGCGTACTACGTGTTTATGAAGTAATATCCAGTTTGTGCATTTTTTGATGAAGGACAATGATGTATAGTTTGGTGTGGCTGGTTCTTGTGACTGTGAGAAGTGTATCGTATCAGTGTGGCATGATTCGAAATACGGAGTCTGCTTGCTGTACTGGTCAGTAAATGACTTGCGTCTACTTCTACTTGAGATGAATACGACGCAGGGAAGTTTTCATCTTCAGAGACCGACGATCAACATGCTTCATCTACTACAAACACAATGAACAGCTGTGAAAGTGGAAGGTGGGGACGCCGGAACAGCCGGAGCTGCCGCAGCAGCTACCGGTGCAGGGGACGCAGCACCAGCCGCGAAAGAAGTGCCGCTAGAGAAAGCCACGGAGAAGGACCTCGAGCACTTGCAAGCGAACACGTTGAAGACGCAGGCCACGCAGCTGCGCTTGCGCACGGCACGCGCCGCCACTGTGGCGGAGGAGGCCGCCGCTGCGACGCAGGAGAGTCTGCAGGCGACGGAGGCCGAGGTCCACAAAAATCAAGGGGCCATTGCAGGACTCAAATCGCTCCTGCTACAGACGAAAATGTACAAACAAGCAACCTGGAAAGCGCGTAAAAAACATGTTCATGGGTCGTACATTGTGCTTTGTATTTGTTGTCGTCGTGAGCTCTTTCTTCGTGTAGTTGAAAATTAACACGACCTGTAAATCGTGGTTCGTCTTGGTTCGTCTTGAGCACCCAGGAGGATAACAAATGCTATTCCTAAATCCAGGTGAAGAAACCGCGGCGCTGAAGAAGCAAATGGAGGCAGCAGCGGAAACTGCTGCCGATGCCGCGACGGCGAACGCCAAAGCACTCGTGGAGAAAGATCTAGCTGCTGCACAGAAGCTTCGGGACGAGAATGTGGGTCGTTTCGCCCCCACGTCGAAGCCGCTCGCGCTAACCTCCCCGGCGGCGGCCAGAGCCATGGCTCCCTACGATGCCGTGTATCAAATGCAAAAATGTCTAGGTCTGGAAGATTGCTAGGTTTGTCATGCAGGTTTTCCATGACCCACGCGGTCTGGCATGCACGGCCTAGCATGACAGGTTCTGTGAGATCTCTATCATGCCTTTCATCCTGCATGAGAAACTGCTTTTAAATTTGTTCAAAAGTGGACCTCTTTCGGTAATCACGCAACACAAATTTTTCCACGATCCAGATGTAGCATGACAACTTACACTCTTCCAGACCCAGACATATTTGCAATGCATACCGTGGCCGGAAAGGCGAAAGCAGCGAAGGGGGCACACGCCGCCGCCGCCGCTGCGATGCAGGGCGAGGCGAGGCAGACGCAAGAAAACGCAAAGACGACACTCCGGGAAGCGATGGAGTTTCACGAGGGGGGGAGCGAGGACCTGGCGCAGTCGTATCACGCACAAGCGGTCGACATGTTCAACCGGGCCGCGAGTTTGCAGGCCAGCGCCGAAGCCCATCAAGCCCAGGCCGCGGAGATTGCGTCCGTGTTGCCGGGGTACGCGGCGCTTTCCGCGCACGCTGCGCTACACGCGGATGATCGGGCGGGAGCTGAAATCCCGTTGCCCGTCCCACCCGCACCCCCGGCCGCCGGCTCAGCAACAACTCTGTTGTAAAGCGGCAGACTGTAGTTTCTCTGTAGTGTGTTTTTTGTCAGGAAATCACAAGCTTCATGCACATTGTTTCAGTATTAATATAAACTTTTTTCCATCGAGTCGTTCTCGTCTTGAGACACTAGCGAGCGAATTCACGAGAACAGAAAAAAGTCTTTTGCATAAAAAACCTGCTCCTCTGCGAACATGAGAAGAAAGGTCGGAGGCGCCTTTTCATCGCGTCGAATCCAAGTCGCACCATTATTGCGCAGTGGTTCTTCTCGCAGCCGTGGCTGCGTACGTACTCGAATTGGACGGACAAGGGTCCCGAGTGTGAATAAACTCGTCCGCTACAGGAAAAAAGCGAGATAAATCCTGGAATTTTTCGGTGCCATTTGTTTCGCAGAGTCATGCTCGATCGAATTGTTGTGCAAGTCGAACAAGCACTCAACTACATGTGCACGAGAATGATTACAAATTCAAGCTTCCAGTATGTGGACTTGCTTCATCGAGACGATTGCCTGCTTCGCAATTCCAACGACTCATGCTTTGACGATACTTCTGGCAAGAAGTAAAACTAAAACCTCTACCTTGCACAACCAAACTGAAATAGGGATCGATGGACACGCACGCCACGCAGCGCGGGCCGGTGTGTGTTGATCATTTTCGGTCCAGAAGGCTAGTAGTTCGCTTGTGCAGCTCCTGAGTAGACACGGCGAGCCAGGTCGTTCCTTCAAAAAAAAAGCGCTCGTAGACCGAAAAAGGTCAACATCTAGTACTGCTGGGTTGTACTAGAAGAAGAAAATAAAAGAGCCAGATATGGACGACGACTTCGGGAACGTGGACGACATCCTCGGAGATGCGTTTCGCATCAAAAACAGCTCCGACGAGGAGTGGCTACAGCCCAGTACTACGACTAACGTACAGATTTCCTCGTCCTCTGCCTCGTCACTCTCCTCTGACGAGAACGTTAACGGCGGGAACACGACTTCGCCACCAGGCGCAGTTGCTTCAGACAGCAAAAGCGCGACTGGACAGCAGCTTTTCGGCAGTTCTTCGGACGAGGATATTTTTGCGCCGCGAGTGCGAGGGATGAGTGGCGATCTGTTCCTCGCCCCGGTGGGAGCGGGAGCAGATGAAAACGCCGTCAGGACAAGTGCGGCCTCCTCGTCGACTAGCAGAAGACCGCGGGACGAAGACGCCGGCCTGGATGCTGCAGCGGATCTTCAGACTCCTCCCCCTGCGGAAGCTGGTGCAGGGGAGGAAGACCACGCTGGAGATGAGGAAGTAGAAGATATCCCTCCAAGCTCGCCCGAAGACAGGGATCCCTGGCTAGAAAATGACGCCAGCAGCCCGGAGGATGCAAGATCGCTTGATCTTGATGGCGCACACACAACAACATCGCCACGACACGCGGGGGGCGGCGCCAGCGATCTTCCGATTATGGCAGAGGACGACTGCGGGGCGGTGGAAAACAGCACGCAGGCAGCTTCCTCGTCGGGAGCAAGCGCAGCCTCTTCCTCGTCGACGGAGATACATAGACTAGATACCTCCGATCACGAGAGACACCTGTTCTCTTCCGATAATCCTGCACCACATCATCTTCCTCACGCACCAGCAGATGATCATACCGAAGTAGACGCAGAAGCCTTTAGTACGACCGCGCCCACTGCATTTCAGCCAGGAGACGAGGCGGGCGCGGATCATGTTGCTCTTGATGCAGACGACGTGACCATTTCAAAAAGCGTGTCTGCTGCATCAACGACTGCGATGGTTCGAGTGGAGTCCGCTCCGATCGAGATTGTGGTCGTCGAACCCCCCTTGTCGCGAGTGAACACGCACGCAAGCGACATCATGGCAACTACACCAGCGTCGACTGGCGACTGCGACGGTCTTGAACAGAATGACTGCGCTGTTGCTTTGGACGAAACCTGTTCCACACGAGAACCGGCTCAAGTCGTAGATGATCCAGGAGCGGGAAGCGCTGCATCTTCATCCCTGCCGGATAACTACGATACGCAACATGTGGAAAGCGTCGCCTCCGCGGTTGAGTTCAATTCACGTCCACCAGAGGTATTGCCATTTTCGAGTTCCTCCTCGTCTTCCTCAAGTAGTGCCGAGGTTGACACCTACCCGGCGCCTGCCGCCGAGCTAGAGCCACGCGGACAAGATGCACAAACGGGCGACACGGGGGTGCCGGTGCCCGCGCGGTCCCCCTTTCCAGCGAGTTCGCCCACCGTGCCTCCGAATATCAAACAGAAAGGCACGAGTATTTACCATCAGTTCTACGAAGAAGACGACCAGTACATGGCCAATTTTCGCAAGGACCTGCGCCGCGACCAGCTCACCGTCGAAGAAGTGTTTGGGGACGCAAATAACTCCATCTACAAAGACGCTGTCACCAACGCGGTCCTTTCCAGTTCTTCGGCCCGAAGTGATTTTACCGCGCACCTGGGTGCCGCAATCGGTCAAGCGCAAAGCCAAGGTACCTTTACTAATCAATGCTGGTCGTGTAGTCATCTGAACCACAAGATAGAAAAGCAACGGACATCGATGGAATTGTCGATCCAGAGCCCCCGCGCCTCCGTGTTCGGATTTTCTACATGTTTTTCTTTGCAGCTTCTGGTTCTGTTCAGTTGTTTTGATGTTCATTTCAATGGTAATGCAAATGCTAATGTCATCTGCCGACCAAATCCAAATCAAATCTAAATGTTTGCCTTCAACTGCATCCTCAACATTGTGCAGCTGCAGCCGCCGCGTCGGGTAGTGGAGCTGCCAATCATGCGTCGAACCGTGGGAGCTTTGTCTCCGGCGGAGCCGAAAGTTCCCGGCCTGCAACGCCCGGAAGGCAATTTGAGGGCGTAAATCCAGCACCTGGTGGTTACTTGACGAGTCCGAAGATTCTGCGGTACTACAACCGCCTCCGCGACGGGCAAGCCAACGACAAGCTTCTGGGACAACTTTTGGCCGAGGGGAAGAAGGAGCCACCAAAGTTTGTCGAGCAACTGGCCGCCGCCCGGGACCATGTGGGGCAGACTCTTTTGCACCTGGTCGCGGATTACGAGTCGCCCAACGCCAGCAAGCTGATTGCCTGGCTCGTGAAGGAGGCCGCGGTCCCGATAGACGCGCTGGACTTCCAACCTCCCTGCTCCACCGCGCTGCTCCGGGCCTGCCGCAAGAAGCACGTGCAGACGGTGAAGGTCTTGCTGGATTGCGGGGCCAGTTTCACCAAGCGCGATTCCCTCGGCTGCACGCCGGCGATCGTGTGCGCGCGCGAGAACGTCCGGGACGCGCTCTGGATCTTGCTGAACCGGGATGAAAGTGTGCTGTACCAGACGGACGCACAGTTCGCGAACGCGATCCACTGGGCCTGTACGAAGGGCCAGACCAGCATCGTCCGGTATTTGGCCGACTTGAAGGCTGACTTCACACACGTCGACGAACAAGGAAACACCGCGCTCCTGCGAGCAATACAGGCCGAGGAACTCGGTATAAGTAGATGAAAGTCTGCTCCTGAGCAGGAGCACAAACTGACTTCTTGAAAATATAAGACCGGCGCGTTTTTTGCAATTTGATTTCATGAAATTATGGCTTTAATCCGAAGGCGATCTTCGGAGAACACGCTGAGGAGTTTGGGACGATGCTGGCTAACTTGTACTCAATCGATGTAATTTCAGGTATAGCGCAGTTGTTGATTGAGCGCAAGCTTTGTTCGGTGTACGATAGAAACACTGCTGGCGTGGACGCGTTCGGGATGGCAGCGAGCCGCGGGGCCCTCGTGAACAAACAGTTTGTGGAGATCTACGATTTCATGCTCGCGTCCGCCCACAAGCTGGAAGATGACCCGGAACGAGATCACAAAGACGACGCAGAGGACGAGGAGGACGCCGCAAAGAAAATCAACGAAATGTTCATCGACCAGGAGGAGCATTCGAGCAAAACAAGCAAAGAGATGACCCATGACCATAACAAGGAAGACACAGGGGGTGCCCGCATGCGTGGCGGCGGCAAGAGGAGATACCTCAAAGCGAAAGTTTCCAAGATCATCAGCCTGATCCGCATGCCGAAGAAGCGCGTCTGGGCCGGCCAGCAGCTGCGCGTCCTGCGGCGGAAGACGGGACGCGCGCTCAAGTCGTGGGCGCCGCCCCTCACGATCGCTTTTTGCCTGGCGCTCAGTTGCGCTTTCCGTAGCCACCTAGAGGCTGAGCAAATGGCCGCAGTGGTCGCGGCAGACAGTGCGGCTCATCTTGCGCCTGCTTCGTCTGCGGGCCAAAAGGATGGCAGTCCGTCCCCTCTGGACAGCGATGAGATTGACCTGGCAGCTGTCAGAACTGAGTTATCCACCGCCACCTCGAGCAGCAGCTACACGGCCGCGCCCGGCGAGCAGCGGGGGTCCGGAGTACAACCCGCGGCGCAGCCCACGATCTCTGCCGTCTCCTGGTTGTTGTCCGTACTAGTGTCCCGCGTGTTATCCGCGACCCAGCTGCTCATGAGTGGCCTGTTCCTTCTCTTGCTCGTGAAAAACCCCGGAACCGTACCGAAGGCCGTGGACGGGCGGCAGGCCCTGCTGCGGCACTTCAAGCAACTGGACAGCAACAAGCTGCTGGCGCAGGACGACGCGGTGGTGAAGCAGCTGCGGAGCTTCCGGTACTGCGAAACCTGTCACATCGAGAAGCACTTGCGGGTCAAGCACTGCCGCGTTTACGACCGGTGCATTGAGGAGTTCGACCACCACTGCATGTGGATCAACAACGCGGTGGGAAAGGGCACGCACAGATGGTTCATCCTCTTCCTCCTCGCGACAATATTGCATTGTGCGGTCAGTCTCTTCGTCTACATGCACGCCAGCGTCTCGGAGGTGCGGCTTTTGCTGTTTCAGCACGTCGCTTTGAAAGAGGAGGATTATAGCACATTGTTGAAGGGTAGTTCTTCACAGGAGACAGGGGGCGCCATTGTAGTCCCGGACGAAGGTGGAACTCCGGAATTAAACATGGCAGCTGCAGCATCTGCGGCCGCTTCAACAACAACTTCCGCGGCCACCGCCGGCAGTTTTCTGTGGAGCTCGCTCAGTACATTCTTCTCCCTAGCGATACTGGTTGTGGCGGTTTTGCAGCATGCCCTCTTTCTCGTCTGGGTCTGGAAGTTGTGGCGCAGGCAGGCCAGCTTGATCGGGCAGAATTTGACACTCAACGAAAGTGAGAACAAGATTCGCTACGACCACTTTTGGGTGAAAAAAGACGTGGAGTTGGGCGGAAAACTCGAGTTCGTGAATCCCTTCGACTTGGGCTCCCGACGAGCCAATTGGATGGCGTTTTTACGCGCAAACCGCTCGGTCCAGGCCAAAGCGCCCAAATCCATGTCGCGAGTCCTCTGACCGGTTTGGCCATGCTGAAAAAGTGAACGATTTTTTCAAATTGAAATTTGAAACGGCACGCCTTCGTGGAGAATGTGTAGAGTCAGGCAAGAAGTGTGGCATGTGTTGTTCCAAGAAGCACTAGCACTACGCATTGCTGTGAAGCATGAAATGTTAGAAAAATTGCGATCGCTGCAGCTGCACCAGCTTTTTACAGAGAATACAGAGAATCAAAAAGGCAAACAAGAACAGAGACAAAATGATTCGGCCATGGTCGGCTGCGCGCTGAAATTGTGTGCGGAAAATGAAAATCAAAATTGGAATTGGAATAAATGTACGTGAATGTTCATGGTTTTGATTGGCGTTGGGTGCATATTAATGCGCATCTCTACGTAATGATCTCTATGTTGAGCAAAGAGGGCTGAGCCTCGGCAAACTGTAGGAAGGTACTTGTGGAATCACAATGTTGAGACAGCACCAGACGAAAATGGAATAAAAACAAATATTTTGTACATCTAATTTTACGCTGTCCGTCTTGCTTGTCCACCTCAATGAATCTGTGACAACATACCTTGAGATAAATGTACCGGAACCGCAAGCAGGACCACAAAATTAATACTCGCGCACTGACGTAAATTCTGTGCAGGCCTGTACTAGCTACAGATGTCAAGAATGCTCTTCATGAACTCATGTCGTGTGAATAGGTAATTCGAGACTGGTTTAAACACACTGAGAAATATCAGCAGAAAATGAATCGAAATACTAAAGCGACACCCGATCCTCGTCGGCCTTCCGTGGACGGCAAAAAAGTTCAGGATAGCAAGGAGACGACTGCCAAAGCCGCGCCTGCGGGTTGTTCAGGCGGAAGCTCCTCTTCGTCTTCGACTAAAAGACAGCGCCCTACTGCTGAGGAGCCCGCGGAGTCGACAAGTAGGGAAAACTCTTCGTCCTTCACTTCGCTTTACGAGGTGTTGGGCGTGGAAAAAACCGCCACGGCTGCGGACATAAAGAAGGCCTACCGCCATCGTGCGCTCGAGCTGCACCCGGACAAGAATTTGACGGATCCCGACGCCAAGAACAAGTTTCAGGTCCTCCAGCAGAGCTACGAAGTGCTCGGAGACGAGAGGAAACGGAAGCACTACGACCGGTTTGGTACTGTGAACGAGGACAATGTTTTTGACCAGGACCTGTTCAACGCCTTTGCCCACTTCATCCGACCGAGAGGCCCGATCACAGAGGATGACATTGAGGAGGCGTTGCGGACCTACCGGGGCAGTGTCGAGGAGCGGCAGGATCTTCTGAGGCTCGCGCAAGCAAACGACCTGCTTAGCCTGTTCGAGAATATTATCGGTGCCGAGCCCGAGGACGTAGACAGGTACGTTAAGATTCTGCAGTCCTTTTCCTCACCGACCACGTCGAGTTCGTCTAGTACTTCCACCACCGGCACGGCAGCGAATAGCACCTTTGTGCTGTCAAAGGATTTGGAGAAGAAACTGCGCGCGAAGGCGAAACGAGTGCTGAAGCAAAAGCAAAACGAAGAGAAGGATCTCGAGAAGGACGACGCATTGTTTCGGGAAACCCAGAAGGAGATCGCTGGTGCTGGTGGCTTGGCAGCCCTGATTCAGAGTCGTCAGGCGCAGCGACAAGCTTTTGGCGGCGCGGGTGTGGCCGCGGGGTCGTACATGGACCCGAATGGAGCCTTCGCAAAAGCGATGCGCGAAGTGGAAGCCGCCGAGAAGAAAGCGAGCGCCCAACCTCCTCCAAGGGCAAAACGAAAAAAGAACAGTTGAGGCGAGGTTCTCACCTGAACTTGAAGTTGAATGGGAATGCCAAGCTAGCTGTGAGAATTTCACTTAAGAGCCATGTATACAGGGAAAAATGTCGACGATCAACGAAACAACTATTCCAGAATAAAGAATGATGCTAATGGTAGGCGTTGTTGCAGGAGCTTTGCCGCCTCTGGCTTTGTGTGTTGAGTAGAGTGTTCAAAACCTTTCGTAAGCGGCTTGTTTGTCTGTCTTCTGGACAAGTTGCTGTCCTCTGATCAATGGCAAAGTATCTACTCTGGTAGAAAGACGAATTACACCCATGATCTGTTAATAAAGCGATCTCCGTTGGTTTCTTGCTTGATGTTTCCGTGGCGACGCTGCTGGGATTTGTTTCAATTTCATTTTTTTTGATCTTTACGATTGGCACAGAACACTTTGCCAAGTACTATGAAGAGCAAGATTGAAATAGGACTAAGTTGAGTCATTCCTACCTGGCTTCCGAAGAGCCATTCCGTGAGTATGGACGCACACGCTCCTCCGCTAATTGGGTTCGACGAATTTCGGTACCGGCGCAATGTCGCGTACACCATGCTGATAACATGCCTGATCGGAAGTTTGCTCTTTTTCGCTGGCGGAATTTTCACGATTCTTGGGGTTCCGGACCGGTTTCTGAATCCACTGGTCAATTGGCCCAACCTGTTCGGGGTCATCTATTTCGGAATCAGTGCGGCGTGTGCCTATGTGCAGTTTCAGCATGAGGAAAGAACAGAAGGGGCTTCTCTCCAGGCGCATCCGCCAGCAGCTCTGGGTGTAGTTTCTGTTCGGCATGAAAACGAGCACGCTGAAGGGGTGGGCTTTTCATCCCGTTATTCAGCGCGTGGATCATCTTCCGAGTGTAAAAACAAGAGTCCCGAGTCCCAACCTTCACCGCAGGATCTCACGAGGACACAGATGCAACGACATCAGCCAGTACGAGCAGCTGCCTTGGAAGTAGCGCAACCGTCAGAGTGCGGCAAAGGTCCTTCTAGCGCAACGAGGGGTACTAGTACTAGTACGGAGGGACAATTATCGGGTTGCTGGACCGATCGCTATTCCTCAGTGATTGTAACGCGGTTTGGCCCGGACCGCGATCCGCGATCAGTGGCATACGTGCACGACCCGCGGATCACGGTGTGCTCTTCGACGCTTAGTATTGGGACAGAAGGACGTGCTACCACGATCCTGCGAGGACCTGAGCTGCTGGCTCGAGATACCAGAATAAGTCGATATAATCCGAACATCAGGCAAACGGCGTTGGACGTCGTGGATAACCCTTTAATAGTTGGCGATCATGTAGAAGTCCGGCCTCCGCGAACGTCAGCCTCGGAGCCGTTTATTTTGGCAGGAACAGACAACGACCGTCGTTTGTGCGTTTCTGCTGTACTGGGTGCAGTTGCCCGGACCGGAGGTGGCCACTCGGACACTTCGCGCGTGTACCAGGCGCGCGTGCGGGCGATGTGTCCACCGGATGTTATCGGTTCTGGCGATTTTTTGCCAACCAACCTTTCGCAGGCCCGACAAATAATGCCAGCCGTTCCAGCAAGACTGATGCCAGGCGTCGAAAAGGGCCCCGAGTGCAGCGTAAGCTTCCCGCAGGAAGTAGAACGGGGTGCTGCAGCTGCAGAGAAGGGTACTGCACCAGCAGCTTCTAGTACATCGTCCAAGCAAGAAGTAGAGAACAAAACTGTGCGTGGCCGCGATGTCGCAGGGTTTCTGATGGACCTGACGGCTTTCAGGAAATCACAGTGCCGATGGCGAAGAAGTAGCAGCGAAACTGACGTCGAACTGCTCCGGCAGATTCACTCTGTTAGGAGTGGTCGCGTTCTGCACCAAGGACCACAGGCGGGACAACAAGACGATGGGGTACAGCAACTAGGAGGTACGCTGCAGGAGCCTTCGCGGCCTTGCCTCGACCATTTCCAGGGCGTGTGTCGACAGCTCTCAGACATAAATGTAGCAACAACCGCCGCCGCGGGTGCCTGTGCTTCTACCCCGATCGAAAATGATATCACACGTGTTCTTGCGGGTTCAGCTACTAGTACAACATCATCTTCACCGTTTGACTTTCACCCGACAGAAAGAATATCGGCGCAGCACACCAGCGAGATCCTGGACCCTCAACATCATTCTCAACCCGTCGCTCCGTTTGCTGCGACTGAAATAAGCAGCAAAGGGAGATACAAAGAATCCAACACACTAATTCACGCTTCTGTGGTGATTCTGAATTTGGGAAGCACTCTCTTTACTTTAGGAACGGTGGTCATCGCAGTTCCCGCGGTCTCGGAAAAACCGCGATGGGTCTTTCTCTACCTGATTTTCTGGCCATTCGTGATCGGCAGTCTGTGCTTCGTCGTCTACGGGTTTCTGGAGCTGTTGATCGTCAAAGACTTCTTCGGCAAGCAGGAGAAACTACGTGAAGATGAAAATGACGGCAACTACGTGACTGGTCTTGATCGAGGTCATTCGCAAATAGTGCCCGCCGAAAGCGGTGGAGAGTCTGCGGCAATAAATGCAGAGGCGAGGTCCACGCCGAGAGATTCTTCAAGACCACAGCGTCGGTTGGTGCTGATTGAGACGTTGATTGCGTGGAGCGACTTCGTAGGAGGGGTCTTTTTCTTTGTGGGCTCGGCCGGGATGGATGTTCGTTTCTTCTGCCAGGACGAAGACGAGAGTTACCTTACCAAGTGCACGGCTTTCTTCGCGCACGACATTACGGGCGTCGCATTCACGGTAGGTGCGTTCTGCTACGGGTTTTCGGCCATGCTGGGATTTCAACTCTGGACCAGCGAGCGGTTCGGTTGGGGTTTGTTTCTCGCTCTCAATCGGCTTTTCACATCTACTTCGGAGAAACTACCCGAACATCATGAAGATGCGCGCAGCAGTAGCCACGAACGGCTGCTTTCTCGGGGCACAATGACCTCCCTGTTTCTGTACGCCGTGGTGCTTGTGCTTGGACTCCTGAACTTGTGCTGCTTCGTCGCAATCGGGGTTGGGGAGATGGAGAGTAACCGCGCGATCCAAGTTTCGCAACTGGCCTATCAGTGCTTGCTCCTCTTGTTTGCCCATTTGCTCTTGGTGCTGCACAGTGATATGACGAAGTTGCCGACCCAACAGCCGTACCGCTTCATTGTGATGAGCATGCGTGCATCCTTTGGACTTTGCTCATGCATCGAGCTCTACACATTTTCGATGCATCTCCGCAATGCTGGATTGATTTTTGTTGCGATTCCGCAAAATTTCCGTCTTCATAAACATTGGCAGCACGACAGTTCGAATGTGAGTTTTGATGTTAACTCACTTGCTCCTGGCATATTCGGAACTTGGTCGACGGACGCATGCGAACGAATTCGCGTTCTTGCGAATCTAGTCCGTCACTCTCGCAGAAAACCGATCGAGTAAAAGTGTTCTGGAGTTTTTCGTTCTGGAAGTATCAAAAGTTGGTGGCGTTGCTCGATTGACTGCATTCGAGTGAAGTTTCGGGCGTCATGCTCCTGTGAGGGCCCCGGGGTGGCGCAACGGCCATGGGCTGCTCCGCTGGTTGGCACGCTGCAGCTGACGCGCCGAACTTGGCGCGTCTGGGTTGGCCTCGGCCTGCGCGCCGGCACTCTGTAGCCTGCCGCGCTGCTCTGCGGGGGCGTGTGCCTGGTCGTATCACCGAGCGCAGGGCCCTCCTGCCTTTCGGCCTGTAATGGGACACCGGCTGGGTGGCGAAAGGCAACTGCTATTGTGGTGGGGCGCCGCGGTTGTGGGGCGACCCCGCTTCTTCCTTTCCCGAGCAGGCGATAGAGCGAGGCTGGAAAGATGAGCAACGTGGGCAAACGGCGGAGCGCCTCGCAGCCGACCAGCTTAAGCATTTCGAAACGGAGATGGCGAAGCGCTACACAGGCAGGAGCCCCGTCATGCCCGGCGGATTCCGCAGGCGCGCAGCGTCGATGCCTCTGCTTGCGCTGCCAGTCACGCGCGGGGGCCAGCGGCTGAGGCTTATCGGGGGCCCTCCAGGCAGGCGGCGGCGCTTGGCGGCAGCCAGTCTTTAGCGTTTTCAAGGAACACGCCTGGGGGAGATGCCGAGTATACTGGAAGAAAACGCCCCCCCGCGCCGTTTGGTGCGCGAGCAGGCGAGAGCGCATGGCCGTTTTCCTTGGCCGCTGGTTGTGACCCAGGTGGCCCGTTCCTTCGCGGACTCCGCAGCTTGGCAGGATTCTTTTGGCCCTTTCTTTACTCGACAACAGGGGGCGAAGCAAACAAAGAGCCCACGCCAAGCATGCGGCGGCAGCGCGGCGGGGCTGGCGTCGTGTGGAGTTGCCGGGCCGGGGGAAGCCGGAGGCCAGTCCAAACGCGTGCGCTTTCTACAAGGCGCGGGGCAGGCACCAAGGCCCGGGAGATGTTGCGGCCGGTTTTGGGGGCAATATATCACGGGCGGGCAGAGCCGCAGAGCGCAGCCGCCGGCCAAGGTTTCCGGCCCCGGAGGTAGGAGGAAGAGCAGCAACAGGCGACAAACAGCGCGCAGACAATTCATTGCCAGCGACCGGCACCAGATAGACAACCAGCAGCAGCAGAGGGGGGGCGACCGCGATCCCTGCGCGCTTTGTAATAAGTTCAGCCCGGTCGCCCCCGCCGGCGCCTTGCAGTTGGGGCGCGCCATTTTCCCCGCTCCCCGGTGGTGGCACTGCCGGCCGCCGGCGCCGTCCGTCGTCTTAATTCTGTGCCTGGGCTGGCCGAGTTGTGGGGCCACCGTCGCCGCGCGCGCCGCGCCGCTTTCTTGCACTCCGTCCTGGGCCGGGCGGCCGGCGCCATGCTTGGTTGCGTGTTGGTTGCGACCCCAGCCAGCCTTGTGTCGCGAAGCCTCCCTGCCCCCTCCCACGCTAGGTGGGCCGCGCTATGATCGGTTCCGAGCGTGGCGTCCGCCCGGTGTGCCGCCGCCCGTTCCTGCCGCGTTCCTTTCGCTGCGTGCTGCATTTTCCGCGGGCCTTCGCGCCGTAGAACAAGAAGTGACTTCAGTGCAGCTACATACCCAGACTACTCAGGCGTAGTAGACCTGTGGGATTTGCAGAAGCAAGCTCCTTGCTCATCTGCTCTACTCTGTCCAAAGGAATACTGGTGTGCAGCTATTCAGATCTGATGTAGTGTGTGGCGTCCTCTGTGTCTGTCCGAGTATTTTCGTGCCGAAAAATCTCATCCATTTGTATATAAACCAGGCGGCCATGTTGATCGCCTTTCGTTTTAGGGTCGAAAAGCAAAAAATTATGGTGCCTACATGATCGAAAGCGAAACCGATAGAGAAAAAAGAATTGATCCAGTCGGAAGGACAAGGAGCAAGTGGTTTCTACATGGAAGTGCAACTATCTATTTGGTTCACATTTTAGCTTTCATTCAGCTGATTTGACTTCGCAGATTCATCTTCAGTGCACTGAGTAGACTGGCTTAGCCTTTTATTTGTCGAAAACCGAACGAGTACACCTACACATACACAACAAAAACAAAAAGCAACGCATTATGGAAGATTCGGGTGAGCACCAACATGATTTTAAGGCTCCTTCTCCTCATCGGATTTTCTTTTCCGCTTCGACTCATTGATTATACTCGCTTGTTATCTAGTAGTAGGACTACTTCTACAGCTTCAACCTGATCCGGAAGTTGTTGCCGTTACTTAGTCAAAGTAAAAAGTGCCGCCATTTTCACATCAAGATCAAGAAAAGAACGAGCGCGAAGTTTGGCGAAAATAAAGATGAAGCGTGGGACGACGGAGACAAACGGGAAGAGCGGCGTCGATCTAGGTTTCCCGAGCGCCAAGCGCCAGAAGCTAAGCCCTTGTTTGACTGAACCGCGGAAACAGAAAGTAGGCGCAGATACAATCGCGCAACTGGAGGAATGCCAAGCCGAAATCCAAGCCCTTGAGGAGCGGTGCGCGGCCGAGCAGATTGCAAAGCAGCTTGCACAGGAGGATCGAAAACGGCCTATTCTGATCCAGCGCAGTCTCGCACTCCGACGCATTCCGTACTTTTGGAAGCATGTGTTCGAAAGCTTGCCGATGTTAGTGGACAGCACCAGCCTTGGGCGCGCAAAGAATGGCAGCACTGGTGGTATCTCTGGACGAATAAGAGGACCTGCTTTGGGAAGCATACAAACAACCACAGCCACGAGTCCGAGTGCGTCAAACAAAGGCACTAGTGTTAATAAAGCGACGCACCAGATGACGAATGTCGGCTCTTCCAGCTCGAGCTCTTCCTCCGCTGCGAATCCGTTACTTCGTGCTGGGAAAATGAATGCGACCAACAGTGCTGCGACCGGACCCACGCGACCACATGGGCTTGCTGTGTCAAATCTGCCGGTCATGACACCGGCACCGCAACTTTTCAAGTTCAGCGACCAAGAGGCGGAGCTCTTTTCGTTCCTGACGGAGGTTTATCTCCAGGACAACGAAGATGAGAATGGCAGCCACACCTTTCGCTTCGAGTTCACTGCCAATCCTTTTTTGTCAAGCGTGCCCGCCGGGTCCTCATCGAACGGAGGACCCACAGCGACGTCGCCGAAGTTCGACTTCGCAAATAAGCGACTTTCTACGTCACCAGGAGGCGGCACAGCCGCGAAGCTCACCGGAACCGCAACTAGTGGCGCGTCACCAAGAAGTGCGAGGGAGAATAAACAAGTAGAGCTCAGCTCCTTTTTGTCGCCCCGTTCGGCAACCAACAAGAAGGCCAGCACAACGTCGCCCCGGGGCCCTATTGTGGTCGTTGAAAAGCACGTTGCTGTGGGGGACGATAACGTGAGGACCGTGACTACATCGAAATTTCAGTGGAACACTCCGGTCACGGGTCCCTTTGCCGATTGGCTCGCAGGATCGTCCGAGGCGAGACACCAGGAGCCGCTTTTGGGCAAGTTGTTTCGCACCTGTGTTTGGGACAATCCGCTGCAAGTCTATGAGCTTCATTCTGCTTTGAATCATAAGCGGTAGAAGTAGAAGATAGAAGCCTGATAGATTGAGCAAGAAAGACTTTCGTTTTCTGACCCGAGTTAGTTCCCTGGAACAAGATTATGTCTTACCGAGGACACCGACGTGCGATGATAGGCACGCGCTTGTCGCAACTACAGGAAGAGGAACGACCCTGCGCTCGGATAATTTTCCGCAAAGTTTTTGTTCGATGGATTGGTGCCAGTGTTTGGGCTGTGTATTGCGCCACAGTGTGGGTTTTTCGGAAAATATAGCCTCATACTCATTGACAAACTTGCAGTCGTTCAATTACAGTGGTTTTCGTTTTGGTTTTCGTCGCCGTCAGTGCAGCGCGCTCGCGCACTTTTCATTGTAAAAGTGCACTCCCATTCGGATTTCGATCAGATCATCGTATATCCAAGGTTGTTCCGCCGGTGTTGTGTTAAGTTTTTCTGGATTGGTTTTGGTTCTTGAAAAAGGAAAACGGCTTGCACCATGATCAAATATCTACCTGCTGAGCGCGAGAGATGACGGTGTTAAACAGGAATTGCAGTTCACTACAAATACAAAAAGCTGTGCGGCTGCAGCATGCGCTGACTGCGGTTACCGACGTGCGTTTTCAGAAGGCAGCCAGGCACTAGAAGATGTAGAGTGCGCTGCATTTGGACAAGGGCTGCGCGCCACTGTTGACGAACCGACCCGCCTAGAAGCACCACTACGAGTAATTAGCGATTTTTGCCACCAGTCTGTCTCACCCACGTAATCCACAAGTCGGCACGACCTCTCGTCAACAGGCCCCCGCCAGGCGCCGAGCTGCTGCTTCCACCTTGAACAAGAAGGTCAAGATGAGCCAGATGTTCGAGGAGGGAAGCCGGTTTTGGCTGCCCGACGCCAAGCACGGGTATGTGGCGGCCCAGCTCTTTCTGCGGTGTGAGCAGACCAAGACGTCCACCTTCCGCGTGATACCTATGTCCACGTCGACGACGAACAAGGAGCCCTTTGACGAACTCACTTGCAACATCGAGCAGAGAAAGCTGCCCCTGGCGGAAGCCGACAAGCTGGCCCCCGTGAACGACGAGCAGTTGCTGGGACTCCCGAATATTTGCAACTTGACCGCGATCAGCGAGGCCGCGCTGCTGGCCACCGTGCGTGCGCGCTTTGAACGGAAGGAAATTTACACCAACGTAGCACGGATCGTGTTAGCGGTTAACCCCTTCGAGGAACTTCAGATCTACACCCCGGAATTCGTAGACGTCTACTCGCAAGAAGCAAATCACCCCCAGCCGCACGTGTTTGGCATAGGTAAACCTGTCGTTACAACTATATGCAACTGTAACTGCTTCAATGGAAGGCTTCATCTACATCAGCGTCAGCATACTAATTCAAAATTTCGTTTTTGTATTGCCTTTCATCAATGATGTACTTCGACTGGCGGATATCCTAGACTGGGAGCACCCGTCTCGGATTACACAGCTGATGTTCTTCTTCACACTTCGAGAAGTTTTCATCTTTTTTGATACCTCTCCAGGTGCGGACGCGTTTCACGGCTTGATGACAGAGCGCACGCCGCAGTCCGTGTTGATCAGCGGGGAGTCTGGTGCGGGCAAGACGGAGAGCACGAAGCACGTGCTGAGTTTCCTGGCGGACGTGGCCGGAAACACGGAGCTGGGGATCGAGAACAAAATTCTTTCCACCAATCCGATTTTGGAGGCGTTCGGAAACGCGAAGACGATCCGCAACAACAATTCGTCGCGCTTTGGGAAGTGGATAAAGGTGATGTTCTTGAAGAAAATGGAAATCGAGGGCGCGGAGATCACCGACTACCTTTTGGAAACCACAAGAGTGGTAACGCAGGCTCCGGAGGAGCGCAATTACCACATTTTTTACCAGCTTCTTTCCTGTGGCGGCGCACCAAAGATGAACGCGAAGCCGGGTGCCACGACTTCTACCGTGCCGGCCGCGGATTTGCTGGCTAGCGTGTTTGGTTACTGCGTGAACACGAACGTCACAAGACGGGCCTTGGAACAGTACGAATACCTGAAGCACGGCTGCGTGACCGGCGTGCAGGGTATTTGTGACGAGACGGCCTGGCGAGAAACGTACGAGTCGTTTCTAAACATAGGTTTCCCTTTGGACCGCATCAACGGCATCATGCGCATCGTCGCAGCAATTTTGACGCTCGGAAATGTGGAGTTCAAACCGGATGACACCGGGGAAGGCAGCGTCGTTGCCAATCCGCCCGTGTTGCTGGACGCCGCGCGGCTGCTCGGCTTTGCGCCGGTCCACCGTCCGGATGGAGGTGTTGAAAAGGATCAGAACACAACGAACCAGGACAGCTTGCTGGAAAAGTTCAAGGAGTGCCTCACTGTGAAGAAGTTGATTGTCGGGAAGGAAGTTACGCCCGTGCTGCTGAACACGGAGAAAGCTCTGGCCGCGCGGGACGCTGTGGCGAAGCTTTTTTACTTACACTTGTTCAAGGAGATGCTCGCCGTGATGAACGAAACGCTGTTTCCGCCCACCAAAAAGGCGAAAGCGAGCGTTGTTGGAGCAGGTACAACGCCAACTCCTGCAGCAACTGCCACGAAAACAAATGCCGGCGGTACTTCTAGTAGCACCAGCTCTGCTCCTTTGAAGAATTACATCGGCATTCTGGACATTGCGGGGTTCGAGTCCTTCGCATCCAACTCGTTGGAGCAGCTCTTCATCAACTTATCCAACGAGACGCTGCAGCAGTACTTCAACGACTATGTGTTCAAGTCGGAGCTGCAGGATTACGCGGCGGAGGGGGTGAAGGTGGATTTGCGTTTAGAGTTCTTCGACAACCTGGACATTTTGGAGTTGATCCAGGGGAAGCAGGGCATCCTGGACTGTCTGGACGAGGAGCTGAACGTGAACAAGGCGACTTTTGAAACCTACGCCAAAAAGGTAAACAAAAACTTCGAGAAGCACGCCCGGTTCGTGAAGAACCGTTTCTCGCGGCCCCAGTTCGCCATCAAGCACTTTGCCGGCGAGGTCGAGTACTCGTGCGTCGGCTGGCTGGAGAAAAACTTGGACGAACCGCCCCGGGAAACCGTGGACCTGATGCAAAAAGCCGAGAGCCTCGTGTTGTCCCAGATGGGGGCGCGTTGTGCGACCAAGTACGGCCTCGCGCCTAACAAATCTTCCGACTCGTCTTCGACCACGTCGCAGCAGGTGGCGCCGGCGGTGGTGGGCTACAAGTCGCGCATGGCGCTGCAGTCGAAGAAGTTGACGGTTTCGCTGCAGTTTCGCGCGTCTCTGAAAAAGTTGATCGAGGAAGTGCGGTGCACCGACCCACACTTCATCCGGTGCATCAAGCCCAATTCGGACAAGCTGCCCTGCCAGTTCGACGGAAAAGCGGTCATGGAGCAACTTTTGAACTCGGGGGCCATGTATCAAGTGTAAAAATGTCTGGGTCTGGAAGAATGCAGGACTTGTGATGCAGGTTTTCCATGACCCACGAGGTCTGGAATGCGAGACCCAGCATGACAGATTTTTTGAGGTCTCTATCATGCCTTTCGTGCATGAGAAACTCCCCCTCAACTTGGTCAAAAGCGGACAGCTTTTGGTACTCACGCAACACAGATTTTTGCATCATTGAGATTTAGCATGACAAGTCCTAATCTTCCAGACCCATACACTTTTGCAGTTCATACCATGGAGGCCGTGAAGATCCGGCAATCCGGGTTTCCCTTTCGCGTGTGCTATCGAGAGGAAAAATCCCCCCTCCCCATATCGAAAAGGTATGGTCCCGAAAATTTGTCTTGCTGATTTGAGACCACAGATCGCGTCTGTCTTGCAAGAAGACAACTCCGCAGGCTCTGCCGTATTATGAAGGCGGTTTGTGATGCTGTTGGGCCTACAGCATAGACGTTTCTCATGCTAAGCGCCTAGGCAAAAAGCTCTCTACTCAGGCTTGGCAGGAGCCTGCTGCCCTCTACTGCAAGACAAACCTGATTTGTATACGCAAATCCAGCATCAGAAACTTCCTTTTGATATGGGGAGGGGGGATTTTTCCTCGTGATATGTGCTTCGTGGAGTTTCTCAAGAGGTTTTTCTGCGTGTACCCGCGAAAGATTCGCGCGAAGCTGCTCCAAGACCACAAATTCGTTCCAGTACCGCGGCCGAGCGGAAGAAATTCATCATCATCTTCCAAGGGCGGCGGCGTAGCACCAGCTGCAGAGACAACTGCAGATAGAGCTGCTGCCGCCGCCGCGAGGGACCCGCTTTCTTTGCAGGCCATGCTCGATTTTGTAACCAGCGGATCATCTTCATCTTCTTCGGGTAGTTGTACTAGTAGTTCTTCGACGGCCGGTAAGACTGCTTCGATGCAGCAACGGATGAAGGACGTGGTATCCTATTTACCAATGCTGCTGGGACACCGGGACGCGGTGAGCGAGGAGGATTTTGTGGTGGGGAAAACAAAAGTTTTCATGCGCCTCGTCGTGCAGCGAAGTCTCCTCTACCAGAAGAACCTCGCGCTGGTGTCCCAAGCGACACAGATTCAGAAGATCTACCGCGGCTTCCGGGTACGGCAACGGACGCGTCAGACGCTGAAGCTCACGCGTCTTTTGTCTGTGTTCCTGAAGCAGGCGGACGGAATGTACGGAATCGACGTGACGGAACGCATGGTCTCGCGCACGTTGAAGCCCGCGGAAGTCCTGGAAGGTGAGACTATGAGAGTGCACAACTCCCCCTCCCCCTCTTCATTTGTGATGCAAAAACCCAGATCCACATCTTGTCTGTAAGCACAGTTAGCATGACAAATTTTAGAACCACAAACAGCCCTACAATCCGTGTGTAGATTTGTCATGCGCAGGCTCCATTTGAGCTGGTGTCTGTATTGCTGCTCATACAATACAAATGAGGGGGAGGGGCGGGAGTTGTGCAATCTCATAGAGACCGTCATGAATTTAGACCAAGTGGACGAAGCCGCGAACCAGCTGCCCGCCATATCCTGAGTAAAAACGTACCCACACCAGAGTTGTAGTGCAGATTTGAAAAGAGAGGAAGACTTGTAATGCGCATCCCCATGAGAGCCACTTCCAGTCGTGTTTTGGAATTTGTGACGCTGTGAACAGGATGAGCAGATGAATCTGTGATGCGGCTGCACTTGCTAACCTGCACTACACTGCATAGCGCAACTTGTCATGCCGACTCACAAAGCTCCTAGGTTTGTGTTGCAAAATCCCCATCGGGACTCTGGCGTGGGTACGTTTTTACTCAGGATACGCCAACAGTGTCCCGACAGCACTTTTGCTCCTCGGCACACACGCGGCGGTCCCCGATCCCTCCGGAGGACCGGCGTCGCCACGACCGCGGCGACCCGCCCACGAGCCGCTCAGCGGCCGGCAGGAGGCCCAGGAAACCGTGGCGAACCTGGAGAGGCAGCAGAAATGGTGCGCGGACCGAGTGGACGAGGGGAGGAGAATGCCACTGCAACCGCCGAACCTGTTTCTCGCGGACGAATTTTCCACCAGAATATTCAACGAGCTGAATCTCGTGCACTACCTGCGAGACCGGGAGTACGAGGTGACGACGGACATCATCAAGTTGAACCGGTACGTCTCGCGCGCCAGAATCCTTCACAACGGGGTGGACCGGTGGTTTTGCGCGGAAACCGGCAAGGATTTTCGCAACGTACAGCGGGGGTACGCGGCCCGAGTGCTGCGCCAGCGCATGGACAAGGTGACCGCGCAACTGCCCATGCTCGAAGCGCTGCGTGCCTGTGCCCGAGAAACGGACGCCGAGGAGATCGATCGCGTCTTGAAAGGGATCCAGCAAGCAGACGCGACTCTCGCCACCCGGGACGCAACTGCTTGGATCAAGCCCGAAGGCGTCGCTCTCTTCAAAGCAGCCACGGACCGGTATACGTAGCTAAAGAAGACGTAGAGCGACTTTAGCGCTCCTCTTTCCGGCCCAGTGATGTAGTAGATGTTTCTTGTGTGGGAGTAGTCAGTGCCAGGTGGACTCGTGAAAGGAAGTAGCCACGCTGTTTTCGTTTTGTTCTGGGAAAAGCGGGTTTCGACATCATACACTCTTGTCGCGCTCGCCCTCATCTCTTTTGCAATAAATGCGAATGCCTTTTTTACCATTGAAAAATAAACCGACCAGAAGAACTGTACTTTCGCAAGAACTCACTCCACAGCCTGAGCGAGCTCGGCGGTTGGCCCCCGCCGCCCAAGCCCGAGCCCGAGACTGCAGCGCTGCTCTCGCCGGAAAAGGTGCAACTCCAAGGGCGCACCAGCACCAGCAGTCAACATGCGAAGAAGGTACCCACACCCTCGCGGCGGGTGTCCGTGGAGCGGAAACGCAAGATGACGATCACAGGGCTGGTGGAATCCGAGGTTGAGGATTTAAAACGCGAACTGTACAAAGCCAAGCTCACCTACGATTGCTTCGGCCTCGGGAACTGTTTGCTTCTCGCCACGAATAAGGGTCTCAAGTCGGACGACATCGAGCCATACAACCAGCTGTTCCAGAAGCTGTCGACCGTGGAGTATTGTGGAAACCTGCTGACGCACGTGAGTAAGCAACTGTACGACTTGTACCACGGCAACGTGCCCATTAACTACGAGTACCCGGACCAACAGGACGGAACGGGCTACCAAATGGACGACCACGAGGAGTACGGCTTCATGTACCGAAAAAAGGACCTGCTGCAGGAAACCGTGCGAAACCTGATTGACCAGGCCAAGCGTTTGCGCGTGTCGAAGCCGATCATCGAAAACGCCCACAGCATCCTCCGCGAAACCCTGGGGCCGCGAAACTCGGGCAGCGCGGCGTCCTCTTCCAGCAGCGCCGCGCACAAGCGGCGCAAATCGCTCTTCTTCCACCCCGGCACCACACAGGTCGAGCTGAACGTTGCCGTGCGGGAGTTTGGAATCCTCTACAACTATCCGCACCTCCGCGAGACAAAACCCGTGATCGACCCGTAAGATTCGAATACCTTGACTATGACTTAGACTTTTGAGTAGAATTGAACGCGCGTTGCCGTGAGTCGCACGGCATGACGATTATCTTTAGATTTTTAGTACTATCTACTTTAACTTTATAACTTTCGAAGAACTCAAACTCAAACTCAAGCAAAAGCCAAATGGATGTTGAATCAATGAATTACACGTTGGAACAACATCAAATGATAATTTAAGATCTAATCATGATGATCATTTCCAAAAAATTCTAAACAGGAAAACGGGTTATGATACGTTTCTGGAACACGGGAAGCAGCGCCTGCGCGCGCCGTTAACGACGACCGTCCCGGCAAAGCATGTCGGCACCGTGTTGCAGTGCTTTCGCAACATTTTGGGCTGGATGAACGACCGACCGGTGCAGGACAGCAAGCGCGTGGTGCTCGCCTTTACCATTGTCGCTATGGCGAAGGCGGAACCCGAGATCCGGAACGAAATTTTCTTGCAGAGCATGAAGCAGGTCCGCAACAACCCCAACCCCCGGTCGGAACTGCTGGGCTGGAAACTGCTGCACCTCTTGTGCCAGCAAGCCGCACCGAAGGCAGATCTCGTGGAATTCGTTGTCTGCTTCCTCAAAATGACGGTCGAGTGCAACAGAAGGACGGCGAAACGGGTACAGTTGTACACGCTTTTTCTATTCTTGTTCTCTTGATTTTTCGTTTTGATACTTGACCTGGTTGTCTCGCACTTCATTTGTGATGCTGCTTGATGTTGTAGCACTTCAAAAGATCCCTACGTGAACCTGGTTGAAATTGGAATTGCATTTCACGCATCGCATGCAGCTCGAAATTGCGGAAATAGCGAAAGATTGTTTCTATGCGCTGGAGCAGAACTTAGAGGCCATGGATACAAAGGAGCAGGAGTCGCTAGGCTACAATCTTTACAAGGCTGGAGTGGTAGCTGCAAAACCTCCACGTACTGTAATTTGTTTTTTCTTCACTCACTTTATATCTATGCGAATCTAAAACCATTCAATTCAAGTAGCTAGGTCGTACTTATCAAAAGTGCCGTTTGTGTTGCATGCATGTTTGCTCTTGGAAAATGTAAATGCCTGCCAGTGCTACTTCGCTCTTGGATTTTCAACGGTCAACATCCGCAGGCGAGCAAAAGGCAGAGCAGCAAGCGAACACCGTTAAAATCGAAGTTTTTCTAATGGACAACACGGCACGGAAATTGCGGTGCAAGCGACACACCACGATTGGGGAGCTCGGCACAAAAATGGCAGAAATCCTGCGCATGTCTCCTGAAAACAGCATTGGGTACACTTGAGAATTTGATTTGATGTACTAATATCAATCTCGCAGCACCCCGCCAGCCACAAAGGTAGAGTTCTTCTTCAACAAGCGCAACACAGAATTTGCTGCAAGAATTAGATTGATACACTTCCTCGGTGCTGACGTTTATTCATTTTCCTCTTCATTGCCCAGCTTCGGGTTCTTCCAACTTATGGAAGACATCGTCGAAACGCACCGGATTATCCCGGATAACGTAGCCCTCGGCGACCTGGTAGACAAGTGGGACTCGCTGTACCGCAAATGTGGCCGACAGTCCCGGCTCCTGTGGAAGCGGCAGTACCTGATCAAGACGGAAAACATCGCCTGCAACGACCAGTCTTTCGCCAGCTTAACTTTTCGCCAGGCCTACTTTGAGTACCTCCGGTACCCAGCGGCCATGCCAATAGTGGTGCGACCGAGCTCGTGCAATCCTCATCTCGCAGGGCTGCTGGAGGATGTTTGCGGTGAAGTAGACGCTGCGGCGTTCTGTACGAAAGCAGCTGCTGGTGTTTCTACTTCTACTTCCGCCTCATCCAGTAGTACTTCGTCCTCTTCTTCATCAAGTTGTAAACCGAAACCAACCGCTACCGCAAACACGGCCGGACAGACGTTCAACCCGCCCGCACGCGGAACCACTGCAGAAGATGGCCGGGCGAAAGCGCAGAAGTCCTCTGAAGGGGGTCCAACTACTACTGCTGTTGGCGGTGTCGGTCCGTCAGATAAATCTCCTACTTCGCCTGAAGGTGTGAAGAAGGACGATCTTCCGATAATCTCCGAGGAGGACAGAGAGCAGAATGCGTTGTTTTCGGTCTTCCACCACGTGGCGTGCTGCGTGTTGTCACTCGAGTACCGATGGTTCCGCGAATTTGTCGAGGCTGGGAACCTGGTCCCCATATTGGAGAAGCTGCTGCCAACCGTCGTGTTGGTCATGTCCGCGCTGCGGCACGGGCCGCTGCCGGAGGAGAAGCGGGCCACCATCGTGCGCCAGATGGAAGAGGTCACGTTGAAGAACGCAAAGTCGACACTGCACGCCGCCAAACACAGCGTCGCGCCACCACTCCCCGCAACTGACCAAAACGCAATTCCGATGTCGTTGCGGGAGCAGAGCGTCCAGGCGCTCCCGATTCCGGCCGTAGCGCAGACGGAGCGCAACATGGCGTGCGCAGTTCCCGCGCACCCGCCGCAACAGCTCGACGCCATATTTCGCGGAAACCACTTGATAGTGCCACCCCTGGTAAATGATCCCGAGTTCGTGGGTCTGCACGTCGTGCACAGTCAGAACTTCCATTTGTTCCAACAGCGTGCCCGAGAGCAGGTGGGAGATGTTTGCATTAGCACATCAACTCTCAAGAACCGGGAAGCAGGAGCTCCGCCGCCCAGAACACCGCCTAAAGATGGCACCAGCTCCTGCGAAGTAGATGCTCTTGACAGCAGCGAGGATGACGAGCAGCTGCCGCAGCCTCCGCGAAAGAGCATAAATATCGAGGGTTTAGGCACCATAAATGTCAACTCTGTCGTTGCAGTAGATATGGACTGCGCGAACGCGATAAACAACAGTCAAACGAACGCGCAAACAAGTGCGATTCTTGCTCTCGGAAACCAGGCCGTCAGTGCGAACATGCTGCTTGGTCCGCCGTCGTCGATCCCGGAAGGAGGCTTCGAGACACCCGTGCGAGGCTCTTTGTTGTCGGAGGCGAATGTGAAAAAATTGCCAACCGTGCCAGCAGTGACCGGACTGGCCGCGGCAGCCTCAAAACCTTCTTCCGAAGTTGTCAGCAGCAGGCTTCCCTTCATCGTTTCCGACTACTCGCGGATGCCGTCGCTGCGGCAGTGGTCCGACGCCATTTTGGACCTCTGGCAGCGGGAGTACCGGTTTTTGCTCGACGACACGCCGTTGCAAAAGATGTCCCGCGCCACGAACAACATGCAGCAACTGCGGTTTTACGGGTCGTACTTCTACGCGATCCGAGAACTCCCGTTGGGCCATCTCGGGTCGAGTCCCGAAAGTGAAGTGCCGCTCAGGCCGTTGGTAAGGACCAAAGCCTTCAAGCAAACCCTCGCGACCACTGGTCTGGCGGGTCTCTTCACGGACAAAAAGCGCTTCGGCCGGAGCAACATGCACTACTGGATCTGCATCGACCTTGAGGGCATCACGTTGCTGGGGAGAAAGGCGCCGAAGATGAAAAAGCTCTCGAACAACGGGCAGCTGCAGCCGGCCTACAACGCGAATCCGAATACATCTTCCCGACCGATTTCGGTTTCGCCGCGCGCAGCAGACCTCACTTTCGCCAAGAGGTTTCTCTACTTTACGGGCGCGCAGAGCTGCATAACCAAGTGGGGTGCCAAGGAGAACGTGATCTTGGTGCAGCTGCGGGAACCTGATATGCACTCCTGCAGCCTTTTTGTCTGCAAGATGGCCTTGGACATCGCGTACTGCATGTTCCGGCTGTCGAAGACACGCAACACGAGCGGAGTGCCGCCCCCAAAAAACACCGGTCTCACGCCAACGAACGAAATGAGGCAGAAGCAGAAAAGTTGCACTGGAATGGCAGATGCCCCACCCTCGGAGGCCCCCTCGGAGGCCGGGGGAATCAGAAGCGGCACAGGCGGGCTGCTCGTTTAGTGCTGCAGGAGTTGGGAACTGCATCTGCACCGCTGGCTGGTCGGTCATCCATTCGCGCTGCGTGTCGACGCTCAGTACTCCTCTGGCCATCGCGCTAGATACTATCTTCCGCTCTATGCTTACATAGTGCCTGTGTACTTCTTGCTAGATAAACCAAGATCAAGTCATGAGAAATCGAAATGCGACGCACTACGTGAATAAGAATATGAACAAGTGCACGAGTTGTATCTTCCTAAATGTCCGGCTCGTAGTAGTCCCAAAAGCTTTTGACGAATTTTTAACCTCTGATTACTTTTTGTGTATTTCTGATTCGCTGGCGACTTTTGCTTCATCTTCATTTTTGCCAATGCTCACTTTAGTATTCACCCACAAGGTGATGATAAGTACGTCAAAAAGAAAAAAGAACAATTTCAATTTTGCGCGCTAAAAATTTCTTGCACCTGCATGATACCAATAGGGAAGAGAGAAACATCCAGAATAAACAAGAGTAACGTCATTGCAACTCACGGTAGAAAGTGCACGCATAATGTCATAGCGATCTTCTTGCGCCGCTAAGTCATTCACCGTCATGGTCGATATTTTAATTTTTGTTTTCACGCGGGCGATATTTATCTGAGAGTTTTGCGTTTGCCCGCGGCTGATGAAGAAAGCAAATAGTTGCTGGAAGCGTTTTCTTTTCCGCGAAGCAAGTTGAATTTGGTCGCATCAGGTGGAAAGCTTGAGATTGAGCGTAATTTCGATGATAGCAGGAGAGTTTATTTTTTGCTCGAGTGACTACACTGCAAAGAAAAGCGAAAAGCTGTTTTTTTTGAGTCTGGGCCACCAGTCTGGGAAGTTGGCTTTCTATTGACGAAGCAGAGCGGAATATGATGTAGTCGATGTTAAAAAGCGATTGGCCTCGATCAGGTTCAGGCCAGAAGTCACAAGCTGTGAACTACAGGGTCACCATAGTACTGCACCCCCTGGCGTGAAAGAAATCTAGATCTCTCCAGAAGAGAGTCGGTTTTGCTGAGCGTACGACGTGCTGTGACAGATACGACGCCCCGAGCATAAACTTACATTTTCCATTTACTTTTTCTCATTTGAATTTACTTTGACGCACACGCAGAAAGACCAATATATATCGTGCAAATTTTACTCAATTTTGTCGCGTTCGCGGTCACAAACACAACGTTTGGCCGACTAAGTCACAACCTCAGATAGACGAAGAAGTAGGCGAAGGTAACCCTTTCTAGTACGCTCTCAACAACTAGTATGTTGGCCGCCCGCGGACAAGTGCGAAACCTGGTGCAGCGCGCTTCGGCGCAGGCGCAGGCAAATCGGGGCTTCGCCACGAAGGCCGCGGTGGCAGGTGCTGCCGGCGGGATCGGGCAAAGTTTGTCCCTGTTGATGAAACTGGACCCGAATATCGATCAATTGGCGCTGCTGGACGTCGCTCCGGTCGTCCCGGGCGTTGCTACCGATATTTCCCACATCAACTCGCACTGCCAAGTTGCAGGCGGCTTCACCGATAATGGTAAGTTTAAGGAGTTCCTGTTTCATCTTCAATTCTACCCCCATCTTTCTTTGTCTTAATTTCTGCAGCTTGCTGCTGCTTGTTTTTGTTTTACGAAGATGCATTGCTGCATGATTCATGCCTAAGTGATCTTGATGGCGACGCGCCTGATGCATCCTCGGGATGTAGAAGTTCTGCAAAACGATAAATGAAATCGAAAATTTTTCTTAGACGCCGCGCTGAAGGATTGCAAGATCGTCGTGGTTCCGGCCGGCGTGCCACGCAAGCCGGGTATGACGCGGGACGACTTGTTCAATATCAACGCCTCCATCAACGCCGGGCTGGCTGCCTCCTGCGCCAAAAACTGCCCCGACGCCATGATGCTCATTATCAGCAACCCGGTCAACTCTATGGTGCCCATTTGGGCAGAAGTGTTGAAGAAGCACGGGTACTACAGTACTAGCGACGATTCCTTTTCATAGACGAGACGTTGATCCAGGCAGTGGTTTGAATCTTGATGTCATCTTTTTGCGCTACAAAGAGAAACGACTTGCAAAATATGATTCATCATTCCGACATTCTCTTTTTCAGACGAGGAATTTTCTTTACCAGTACCACCAGTCACATGCCAGAAAACTACACCAGTTGGTCATGCCAAAAAACTACACGACCAGGTGCTACGACCCGAAGCGGTTAATGGGTGTGACAACCCTGGACGTGACCCGGGCCAACACTTTTATGGCGGAAAAGCTCGGCACAGACGTGAAATCCATGAAAGTTGATGTTATCGGCGGGCACGCGGGGACGACCATTCTGCCGCTCCTGAGTCAGGTACGTGCTAGTTTATCGCATCTTCATCACGCGGTTCCCAGAGCGTGGTCACCAGTTCGCATACAACTTGTTCGCGAGCGTGGTGGTCACGCGGCCTATTAAATGTATGACCGGGCAGCAGCAGGCTCGCGAGCCTGTGAGTCGAGGCTGAGGCTGGGCGGTTGGTATTTTATACCGACCAGACCCAGTATCTATCCCGGTAGCCAGGACCTAGATAAGATGAGGATCTGCGTCAGGCCCTCGGGTTTGACGTTTTTCCTTTTTCTTCCTTGGTCCCAGGGAGTAACGCCCCTGCCTTTGGTAGTTGTCTGTCTAGCTGTGTACAGCTGTTTGGAAGGGAAGAGTTGCCATTCGCCCTCGACCCGCGTCTGTCTGTCTATCTGTGGGGGAAGAGGTGTTATTCGCCCTCTGCCTGTTGGTCTGTTTTTCGGGGAGAGGAGCCATTCGCCCTCGACCCGTGGTTGCAGAGTGTGGAGGCTGCCATTCGCGCCTCCACTGCTTTTTGCAGCTGATCCCGGATCCTTTTGGCTCGCGCGAGGTCGGCTCTGTGGCACTGGCGGTTTGAACCCGTTAAACCTAAGAGAGGCGGAGCGAGGGACTTAGGGGCCCGGTTTGGTTTGTGGTTTTGGTTTTTCGCTTTGGCCTGTCTCCGCAGATTGTTGAAACCTTTGCCAGAATTTGGGAGCGCGATGCTCCGACTTTGGTCCTTGGCGGAGATTACGAGGGGACTACTGGCCCGATTGAAGACACCCCGGCGGCGTACGCCGGCCGGGTTTGGGATTGGCTGCAGGGTGTTGCCTTTGCTCGTCTCGAAACCGTTGCGGCCAGCAAGCAGCCGGAGGACATCGATGGGAACGCCCGGAAGCGCCCCCGCGGAGAGGGCGGCGGGCCCTGTGCTGTGTTCCTGCAGCACGGCAATTGCGGGCGCCGTGGTTGTATGTATTCCCACAAGCCCCCCGAGTCCCTCGAGGAGATGCGGGATTTTGTCCGCCGGTTTTCCTGGCGTTTTGATCCGGTTCGGGCTTGGGAAGTTCACGAGGCCAAGAAGAACAGCTGCGGGGCAAGTAGTTCGACGGCGCCGCCCTAGTTTGTTCCGGATGGTGACCCGCGGGGACCCGCCGGGGTCCGTTCTTGTTGTTTTCTCTCTGTTTTTCACCTCTCGGTGGACATTTGTCGTCCATGAGGTGCTGTGCTATGTAGCTACTACTCTACTCTCTGGGTTGCTCATGATAGATCGTATCTAGCTCTAGATAGGTTCTCGCATATGGATTGTTTTTCCGCCTTCTGCGGAAGGCTTGTCGGAAGGATGTTGTCTCTGCTACTCTGGTGTTCGCTGGATTCTTCCTTTCGGTCCGGGTTTGCTTCATTCTTCTTCCCGTTGGGGTCTCTTCTACGTCCGCCGTCGTCACGTCCGCGTACTCCTCTATGGGGCACGGTTTTGTCCCCAAATTCATCTACTCGGACCAGTTCGCATACAACTTGTTCGCGAGCGTGGTGGTCACGCGGCCTATTAAATAAAGCCTAAATAAAAGTAAAATTGGTCCGTACTATGTATACTGGATTCCAGTCTGACCTTTAGTTATCAAATTCAAATCTCATTTTCCAATCTAGGTTCCGGGCACCAGCAGCCTGTCCCAGGCGGACTTGGACGCGTTGACATACCGCATCCAATTCGGTGGGGACGAGGTCGTGAAGGCGAAGGACGGCGCGGGGTCAGCCACCCTGTCCATGGCCTACGCCGGTGCGGAGTTCGCCGCCTACGTCGCCCGGGCCCTCAAGGGCGAGACCGGGCTGAAGGCCTGCACCTACGTGGAAAACAACCTCACCGACGCCGCGTATTTCAGCACCCCGGTCACCCTGGGCCAGGGCGGGGTCGAGGAGGTCCACGGCTTCGGCGAGCTGTCGGCCATGGAAAAAGCCAACTTCGACGCCATGCTGCCCGACCTCAAGGGCCAAATCGCCAAGGGCGTCGAGTTCGTCAAGAACATGAAATAGAGGGGTGGCGAAGAGGCTGTTTGGGCGGGTCCCATGTAGAATCGCCGGTCAAGTAGACAACATCGTTTCGACGTGATGCGAGATCGCAAAACCAAGAGTTGTGTTTTCAAAGTACTACTTGTAGAACATCAGGACTGCTTTGCGACGCTCTGTCTGACTTTAGACTCACCATTTCTTCGACTTCGTTTAAAAAGAATCCATCTATATATCGCAGGCCTAGCCGTTCTAGTTGCGATTTGCATTTTACTTTGCTGATTCGAATATTTTTCTCGTGGCTTTGCCCTGTTGTAAGGAAAGGGGATAGGTCAATGTTTCAGATTGGTTCTCGCAAACACCATACGTATCAATCTACTTGAGGATGTAACTACCACCTTGCACAGATGGAGTTCCATCGATGCAATAGGCATAGCGATGTAAGAACTACTTATGCGCGATCGAATACTTTTTCAATTGGGTGCGATACTTAAATTCTTGGAATGTCCCCATAATGGGGCGGCGCGACATATTTCATTTGGGACGAAAACTGAATTGTTTGATATTTTCGCAGCAAACATGCGACGAAGAACAGGGTTGAGCAAACACATAAATGAACCAGAAGAATCTACTCAGCTGTTGGAGTTCCTCGAGTCGAGCGAAGGTCTATGTTGTGCAGTGTGAGTGAGGTCTGTAGTTGAGGACATTCTACACGAATGCTGCGGCTGCCAGCCAGGAGGTTGAGTTGTAAGCTAAGTGGGAAAACCTCAATTGTATTCTTAGATGAGTTAGCGCGACGGCTGTGCCTGTAGTTTGTGTTTACTAGTTCGCTTTTCCATGATGCAAGGTAACTAGTCAAATGCTCAGCTGCGCCAGCAGTATGACCGATCGCGCTCCCCTGCAAGATGTTCGCCGAAAGCCGGAGGCTACGAGAACATTTGCGCGATGAAGCTCTGGGCTCATCCGCTTGCGTTGTCGACAGAGTGGAACTCGCGCGCATTTTTCGGTCGCAGGCGACGAGCGGGGCGGACAAAAGTATCAGCTGCGCCGCGTCGAATCCGAAAGCAGCTTCCTCGAGTCCGAAAATTGGAAAAATGGTGGAGCAGGGCCAGCCCGCGACGCAGGCCGGTCGAATACTCTTGCGCCGGCGCGGCCTGTCAGCCTGGCGCCGCCGCCGGTGTCTTTTGTTTTGCTTGCTCTGGCGCCCAGCGGCCTTGTTGCCTGCCGCGCAGACTCGACTGCCCCCCGTCTGGCGGCGAGCGCATAGGCTTGGCCAGCTCGGCCGCGGGGCCATGGCGGTCGATGCCGCGTCGGCCTATCTTCGTAGCCATTCCCGCGCAGCTGCGCAAGCGCCGCGCGCGTTCGGCCTGGCGGGGCGCCTAGACAGGCAAGGCCAGGCGCACACCTGACGATGGCGCAGGGGTTCGGCTTGAGGCCGCCGGACTCCCGCTTGTGCCAGCCCTCCCCCGCGGTGGGCGCCAGGATGTTTGTTTCCTTTACTTGAGTTATTTCAATGTGGAACATTGCAAAGAAAACGAGGTGGAATTGCGCCCGCTCCCTCGAGTCGAGCAAAGTTTTTCTATTGGCGTTGTGTTGTTAGTGAAGGTGGTCTGGCTCTGGAGATGCTGAGAAAATGTTAGATGAGACAAGAGAAAAAGCGAGGGCCGGTTCATGATGAGTTGCAAGCCAAGTGAGAAAATCTCAGCTCAACTGAGGAAGGGCGGCTGAAGATCACAAACATGAGCTAGTGAATGTTGTTTTTCCATCTCGTTCAGCATTCAAACTTTCAAAAAACCGTAGAGAGCGGTCGTGTTCCTCAACAAGATGCCGCGACCGGGAGGACAGGAGAACGCCTAAAGGTGCGCGATGCAACTCATGCGGAAAAAAGTCGCTGCGCGTTGTTCCCCCAGGCCGGTGGCGCAAAAAGTGCGGCAGAAGTGCGAAGACCGCGGCGAACCCAGCACGCTCGTGGTTCTTCAGCTTCCAGCCGTTGGGTTCGTCTGTGGCAGAATGTCGCGCGGTTGTCGCAACCAGCGGGGCCAGATACTATCCGAAAGCGGTGCGGCGGAGCCTGGTCCTTCATCTGGAAAGGTGATGGCCCAGAACAAGAGAAATAGCACAGCGCGCCATTTTCCCTGTGCGCCGCCCTCGCCCTTTGGTAGGTTTAGCTGGGGCCGAAGGATTTGCGGGGCCTGCCCCTGTGCTTTTTACGTCCCGGGGGGCCGAGTGCCGACGCCCGTCGCCGTCTCCGGGCCTTTCATTGTCGCGCAGCCGCCCCGCCCTGGCGCTCATGCGCGGCGCCGGATGGGGCTGGCCCTGCCCGTGGCATGCCAGCCTGCCGCGGCGGGTCTTTGTCGTGTTTGTGTATTTACTGCCAAGTCCGACGCAGAAGAATCGCAGCCCAATCCTATCTAGCCCAGGCGCGCCCGCCGCGGCGGCTGGACCACAGACACGCGCCCCAGCAGCACGAGCACTGCAAGGCGCGTCGGACTTGCCATTGGCGCGGAGGCTCGGCAGGAGACGGGAGCCCGCCCGCCAGTTTCCTGCATGGGCGCCAGGAATTTATTGTGCCCGCCCGGTGATGAACATCGGACGGTGCGTCAGCGTTAATTGAATAAATGTGGCCACTTTGGTCCGATAGTTCTTAGCTTGTGTGGATGTTGTGTCGGACTCTCTTTGGGTCTACAGCAAGCACTTGCAGCTGCAGCGAGTCTTGATGCCAGGCCGATGCTGTAGCTGTCCGAGTTATCACGTACACGTTCACGTGTGTATTAACAATACTATCGGCCAGCTGCTCCTGCATAGAATGACACATGTTATGACTCGCGCTTACTAGTCGTGAGCGTGACGGAGACGAGCGCTAGCTTGAGGAAGTTGGTTTACCAAATCTGTGACAATTAAGATCGCAGTCTGAGAGATAGCACCAAAAGCGCAGCCATCTTCGCAAACAAGACTATCACGCTTTTCCTGATGTCATGTGGCTTCGAGACTAAACACAATCATAAGTACCGTGAATGGTTGTGGTTGAACTTTTCGACATTTTTGGGCCCATCAGCCCTAGCTCCGTCTCGGATCAATTTCAATATCCAGTTTGGACTGTGCGCTTCCAGAAGGAACTAAAGATTCGCGGATGCACGATCTTAATGAGAACTATGCTTGCTGGAGGAGTGCTTTGTCTTTCAAACGTCAGAAGTTCCATGCCACTAAACACAGAGGGCGTTAGTAGAAACTGCTGGATCGCTCGAGGACGCTGCCCAACTGTATAATATGGCACTCGTTTGACGCTTCGGTTTGGTGTAGGACGCCCCCTCTGAAATCTCCGCAGCGGGCATCATCCCCTGCCTATTCGCGATTCGGGTTTTCCTGCGGGCGTGCAGAAGACAAAATGGCGTCCGCTGAGGAATATGTCGTGCAATGGGCCACGAGGCTTTTCAACGAATTGGAGAAGGGAGGGGAGACGGTGCTAACGTCTACTGCTGGCGTTTCAGTATAAGATACTTGTTTGCTCAATCTAGCTACTCCTGCAACGTCTGCATGTCGATTGTTAAGGTGCGATTTTATAATGGTGTCTGAACATCAAGAAGAGGATGAGCATGTAGGTACTTATTACTTCTGTCTGACGGCAAAGAAAAACGTGGACGTTCCCTACAACCACTTTTTAACCCTATTAACCACAGCCACCCATGGAGATGAGCAACGATAGTGCGCGGGCACTGGAGCGACTTGAGGAACTCATACGGCATAAAGTCGCTTCGAGCGCAAGTCCATCGGCGCCACCCGTTGTTCCGCGAGATTTTGCCAAGGAGGAAAAGCAGCAGGCAGACTCGCCTTTGCTTCTCCCGAATCCAGTGCCGTCTGCTAACAATCCAAGAAGCCGCCCGTCGCCAACCTCCGCGCAGCAGGTGCGTGTTTCATCCCATAAGGCTAAGGGCTTCACTAGACTGCCCGCGTGCCACAACTAACGCTAGTAAGCTCTAGACGTTGACGACTACCAAAGAAACTGAATCTGAGTTTACATTTACATTTGGCTGATGACGTCTTACCGGAAGGAGGTCGAGGTGACACACATTTTTACACTCGATGATTCATTGTATGGTATGCTCGGGGCCAATCCTTCAAATCGTGGCTTAGTAATTCTAATTATATTAGATTACGCCATCAAACAGGATGTCACAACAAATTAATGCGCTCGAGTGTGCGTCCACTCGAGAGGAACGATGAGAAAAGACATAATTCCAATGTCACGGGCAAAAACAAAGATGATGATGATGATGACCATCAAACGGGTACAGCTACAGGTTGGAGTGGCGGCGGCTTTGGAACAACAACACGTTTTGCGCCCGCCCGAGCAACTACAGAGCAAAACCGCTCGTGCACGATCCAGATCGAGCCAAGCGTCAAGAAATCTAACGACACCGTCTTCAGCGTCCCAGCAGGCGCGGACGAAGAAACCTAACGATACCTCCTGGATGCAGGATCTACCCTATGCGAGACACTTACAACGGCAGCTTTTGAAAAGTCAGCCGGATAAAGACGCCCGACAGCCCTACTCCGTGCTGCCCCCAAGCGGCGCGACAATAAAAAGTGGTCCCTCGTCCAGCAGCGCCGCGGCCACTCCGATGCGAGTACGAGCAGCAGCCAGTCCAAGCCCGCGCGTTTTTCTAGTATCGCGCAGCAGCGGCGCTGGGGTCGTCGCGCAAGCCAGTTCTGCTTCCGCCCCGCAGCGTGACGGTACCGACGGCGGAGGTACTGTGACCGTGAGCACTTTGAGAGCGGGCAATATTGGCGATAATTCTGGTTGTTCGACGAGTCTCTCTTTAGCCTACAAGCGGCAACACCTCCGTGCACCGCAAAGACCTCCTGGTCCCCGAAATAAACCACCAAGCAACGCGCGAGCCCGGCCGGGGAGCGCGACGCGTCCGGGCGGGGCTCGTAGCAGCGCAAGTAATCCGTGGCAGAACATCAATACCGTGGTCACGGTCGCACCATCTGCTTCCGGCGCACCGGGAAGTGGTTCTATGGTGGTCGCCGGCGAGTCGCCTGGAACTTCTTCTACACGAAGATCTGGACAACCGGCGCAGTTCGTCAAAAGCACTCCCCCGCAAAAGAACAAATCCAGAGGAGGAAATACAGAGGCAGACCCAGCGGGAGTAGTTGCAGGTGAACAAGAGAAAAATCCTCAGCCAGGAGCATCAGAGGAGAAGAGCGATAATGCGACCACGCTGCGAGGATCACGAAGCAAAGGCCTGCTCTTGTCGGAGTCAGCGACAGTATCGATGTCCACGCCGAGGCAGCAGCAAGCTGTGGCCACGTTGAAGTCCGGCGTCGAGTCCCGTATCAAATGCAAAAATGTCCGGGTCTGGAAGAATCCGAACTTGTGATGCTGCATTTGGATTCCAAAAAAATCTGTATTGCATAAGTAGCAAAGGGAATGCAATTTTGGCTACGCGGTGAGGGCATTTCCATTTGCCATGCGGAATAGGCATCGCAGAGCCCTCAAAAAGTCTGTGACGCTAGGGCATGCATCACAGACATCATGGCCCATGCAAAACGTGCATGACAAGTCTCAGAATCTTCCAGACCCAGACATTTTTACATTTGATATCCCGGATCGAGCGGCAACTGCGTAGTCCAGAGTTCAAGCAGCGACTGGCCTCCTCGACGCCACCGCGTCGGGGCGGTACTAGAGGGAACGAGAAAGACAAAGACGAGGATGAATTTCGGCTGCTTCTGGTACCACCAACTGCCAGTCGTGGGGCAACTGCGTCGACTGAAGTCGCCGGCAGCGCGACATCAGCTGTAAGTGACAACCTCCGAACCCCGAAAAAGGGGGCTGGTGGTGCTGCTGGCGATGCGGGTGGGGATGCCGACGACCCAGAAAAGGTATACCTACATACATTTCCGCAGGCGTTTTTTCTCGTATAGATTAATTTGATTTTGCGGTTTTCCAATGGAATAGCAAGAGGTATACGTAATCGCACTGTTTTCCGCGACATCAGCCGAACGACAACGAATCTACAAAACGACGTCAGCCTTTGACGCGCCGGGAGCGGCTTTTGGAAATGGAGAGGATTGGTGCCAGAATGCAGGAAATACTGGATGCCCAGATGGACTCTCTCAATAGAGCCGTAGTCTCCAGGCGCGGTCTTTCTGCCGCTGCACACCACGCACAGCTGTACAACGCGAGCCAGACGAATCGTATGCGGAGCGCTGAGTATTCATTCTCGACAACCCGGCCGGGACTCAAGTAAAAAGATACGGATTCAGCCGTTCGGGTGATGCACATTTTGTGAATTTGATTTGATTTGACTTTGTTTGATGGTTTCTTTCAGTTTTGTTTTTTTGGGGTGCGCCCTGTTTCCGGGCGAACTTGCTTGCTGAAGGCTTCAACAATTTGACTTGTGATTGTACATCGAGCTTTGTTTGTGATGCTGTTTGACTTGTTTCAGGACCGAGCTGCATGCGGGCTACAAGAAAATTACTGATAATATGGGCATTGATTTATTCGAGTGCGTACTATCGTTTGACACGAATACTTGCTACACCTAAAGATGCATATCTGATGATGCGAGAGTAACAGTGCAGGTATTTAACTCATGATGCGCAATCGCAAGTAGCATGATGCATGTCCTCATGGACGGAAATATGCGGAGAAATAAGGATTGAGCGATGCGACGTTTCTATACTGCAATCAAGGCGGTATCTAAATCAAGCGCTTTCTCAAGTGGCGAGTGCCTATGATCTTCCGAAATGGGAGACCATTGGCGTTCGTATCTATTCCGATTTTCTGGCACTTCTCCAGTATTTCATTCGTGAAATTCGGTCTATCTATGAAAATGAACTACTCTTTGTTTGCAATCCAGTGGTTAATTGTCAAAATCGGTTTTAATATGCGAATAACCATGGCGCAAAGCCAAAGGCAAGACTAAAATTGTCGGTCTGCAGTCGTACTGATCAAGAACAATTCAGCAGAAAGTGACGAAGAACAATCTGACTCGGTATCGTGCTGCGCTTTTTGATTCGTCCTGCAACTCGTGCTTGTTGATAAGAAACGTCTGCTTCATCGTGCACCTAGGCGCCACTGCTCGCTCTTTTTCAGCCGGCATGACGGCAGAATTATTTAATATACTCAGATTTTCTTTTTCACGTTCATCCTCTCATTTGCAACAGTGGCCTAGCAAGCCAAACGCCACTGTGACACCCATCATCTTCCCAATTCGATACCCTGTGCTACATGATTGTTTTATTGTCCCAAATGAAATATTTTTATTCGTTCCATGATGATCACGACCCACGTGCACCATGGCGTTGCCGGTATTTTTGACGAGACCGACAAAAAGCACGTTTACTTCAAGCGCTTTTAATGCTAAGACTAAGTTGTAACAAACTGGTTACTTTCGAAAGAAATTTATTGACCATTCTTTTACGCCTTAGTTAGTTTCAGCCCCCCGCCCGCCCTCCTCGCGAAGAAGCAAGATGTTGAAGCAGTGGATTCCGCACCCCGTCGAGGGGTACGTGATGGCGAAGGACACGGGGCAGACGAAGGACATGAAGGGCAAGAAGGTCCGCGGCTACCAGATCGAGAACGCGAGTCAGGTATCAAATGCAACGACGTCTGGGTCTGAAAACTTGTGATGCTGAACTGTGGACGACTGCAATACTTCCCAAGGCAGCCAAGCATGACAAGTTTGCCGAACACTTTGCCATGCGCAGTCCGCATGACAAGCTGCGCTTTTATATGACAAAAGAGCGCGTTGCTACTTTATTGTTGGTCATGCAATACAGATCTTACAGAAATGTAGGACTAGCATTACAAGTTCCATGTTTCCAGACCCAGTCATTTTTGCAATGCATATCAGGAGGTGGTGTGGCTGACCGCGGAGGAGATCACGAAAGTGGCCTATTACAATGAAAAATGCCCCCACCCCCGAACTTGAAAGCATTTGTATTGCAAATCTTTCCAAATGAAACATTCGCCCTCTTGCGTGTATCAGCATCACAGATTTCCGATCGTGAATAGCAAAAATTTGTATTGCAAAAGATCCCAGCAAGAGCGGTGCTTGTCATGCAAGCGATGCGAGACACGACTAGAATCTGCATCAGAAAGATTCGTACTCCTTTCATGCATGACAAAAAGCTTTCATTTGGAAACTTCGCATCACAGATTCTTGCAATTTCAGGGGTGGGGGGCATTTTTCACTGTGATATGGCCGACGTGGAGGACGACCATTTGATGGGCTTACCCGACGTGTGTCAGCTGCGGTCCGTGGTGAACGCCGCGGTGCTGCAGTCGTTGGAAACCCGGTACTATGCATTGCAAAAGTATCGTACTCGTATAAATGCAATACAAATTTCCCCAGCATCAGAAATAAAATTTGTCATGCGGATTTACCTTAAGAAAAAAATTTGTAATGCATGAATGCAATTACTACTAGTACGATACTTTTGCAATGCATAGGTACGGGAAGGGGGAGATCTATACGATGATCGACCAGATCATCGTCTCCTGCAACCCCTTATGAATTGCAAAAATGTCTGGGTCTGGGAGACTCCGAGATTTGTCATGCAGTTTTTCCAAGCTCCCCCACGTCTGGAATGCAGGGCCTAGCATCACAGGTTCTGCAGCTCCTTGCTGATGCGTATTCTGCATGAGAGATGCCCTCTCAGCAAGGCCAGAAGTGGGCACCTTTTGCACGTTTGTGCATCACAGATCTTTCTCGTAGGATCCGAAACACGCATCACAAGTTCGGATCCTTCCAGACCCAGACACTTTTACACTTCACACCCCTTCGAGCGGCTGGGCCTGGACACGCCCGAGGTCATGGACAAGTACATTAACGCGGCGGATTCCCGGGAGCAGCCCCCGCACGTGTACTCCATCGCCAAGACCGCTTTGTCGGGGTGCGTGCGCGAGAGTTTGAACCAGGCGATTTTGATCTCCGGAGAGTCCGGGGCGGGGAAGACCGAAGCGTGTAAGATCATGTTGGGGTTCTTCGCGGACTCCGCCGGGCACAACGAGAGCCGCATCCAGGACCGCATCATGCAGTGCAACCCGATCTTGGAAGCTTTTGGGAACGCGAAGACCTCCCGGAACAACAACTCGTCCCGGTTCGGGAAGTGGACCGCGATCATGTTCGGGCAAAAGGGCTCCATTGACGGTGCGCTGCTGGTGGACTACTTGCTGGAGAAGTCGCGCGTGCTGAAGCAGACCAGTTTGGAGCGCAACTTTCACATCTTCTACATGCTGCTGCACGGCCCGGACGGGGCGAAGTACGGGCTGCCGAAGGGCACGAAGTGGAGCGACTTCAACTACCTGAAAAGCGGAGCCCAGCTCGCCGACGGTGTGGATGACAAAACCGAGTACAACGAGGTGGTGTCGGCCTTCGAGGACGTCACCATCGGCGAGAAGAAGCGCGCCGACCTGTTCAAGGCGGTGGCGGGCATTTTATTGCTCGGGAACGTGAGTTTTCAAGCGGGGAAAAACGATTCGTCCATCTGCGACAAGACCAAGGAGGTGTCCACCGCCTGGGAGTGCGACGACAAGGTGCTGCAGACCGCGATCACGAACAAGAAGCTGATCGTCGGGAAGGACGTGACGGTGAAGCAACTGAAGCCGGAGCTGGCGAACGAGGCGCGGAATGGGTTAGCCACGCTGGTGTACTCGCGACTGTTCGCCTGGCTGATGGAAAACTTAAACAAGGTTGTCGCCGGGGACATCGGGAACAGCAGCGCGAAGAAGATCGAGGTGGGTTTATTGGATATCGCCGGCTTCGAGTCCTTCCCCAACAACACCTGGGAGCAGATCACGATCAATTTGTCCAACGAGAACCTGCAACAGCACTTCAACGAATTCGTGTTCAAGCGCGAGATGGCGGACTACAAGGCGGAGGGGGTTTCCGTCGAGGGCATCACGTTCGCGGACAACCAGGAGATCCTGGACACGATTGCCGCGCCCAGGGACTCCATCTTCAGCGTACTGGACGACGCCACCAAAGGGATGCGGCAAACGGACAAGACGTTTATGAACAATCTGGGGAAGCTGATGGAAACCAAGAAGAATGCTTACTTCGAGGCGGACAAGTTCAACAAGGACCCGCCGGAGTTCACGCTGACCCACTACGCCGGCAAGGTCACCTACAATGTCGGTGGCTGGGTGCATGAAAAAAACACGGACGACCCGCCGCCCGAGGCGATGGACGTGCTGAAGACCTCGAAGAACGAGTTGCTGCGGGATTTAGGGAAGCAATTGGAGGAAGAGGGCAAGCAGAAAAAGTTGACGGTTTCAACCCAGTTCCGCGCGTCGCTGAAAACGCTAATGGAGCGAATTCGTTCCGCCGTGCCGCATTTTGTCCGGTGCATCAAGCCCAACGACGAGAAGAAACCGAAGATTTTCACGCGCGCGAAGGTGTTGGAGCAGCTGATTTTTTCCGGCGCCATGGAGGCGGTGAAAATCCGGCAGCAGGGGTATCCGTTACGCGCTTTGCCCGCCGAGTTCTGCCGGAAGTACCGCGCGTGCTTTCCGGTGAAGCTCCGGATGGAATGTGAGAAAAAAGCGGGCAAAAAGCTCCCCGACCCGGCGGTGGTTACGCTGATTCTGGACCGCCTTCCGGAGGTGTTCCACCAACCGGAGTTGAAGGGCCAGTACGTGATGGGAAAAACCAAGGTGATGGCCCGTCTTCGGGGCCACCAAGTCCTCGACGAGCAGGTGCGGTTTGCCACACTCGAGAAAACCATCAAAATCCAGGCGGCCTTCCGCGGCTACCGCACGAGGAAGATGACGAAGCGGGCGCGGGAGCTCCGCGGCATGACGCAAAACTGGATGAAGACGACGGGTTCCAAGTTGTACAAACCGAACACGCCCAACACCAACGCGTTGGCGACGTTTAAGAACGACTTGGGCAAGTTGAAGGCGGAGTGCGACCAGGTGAAGAAGTGGCGGGCGGAGATCGAGTCCATGAGCACCAAGCTGAAGGTGTGCGAAGCGGCGTTTCTCACCTGTCAAACGAAGCTCCACAAGGAGTACGAAGTCTACAAGGACATGAACGCATTGCTGAAGACGGTCGATTTGGATCAGTTGCAGACCGCGGTCTCCCAGCTGACCAATCTGGCAATCGAGGACGAAGTGGCCAAGCGCCTGGCGGTCCGGCTCGACATGCTCTCCGTGCAGCTGCCGCTGATCACCGCCATGGCCGGTCTGTCCGACCGAACCGACCCAAGCCCGTCGGACCTCGACGCATGCAAGCGGCTGCAGCACGTCGTGGAGCAGGTAAATAAAAGTTTCTTCGACTTTTAGCTCGTTCTTCCTGTCAACTTGTTTCGTGGTAGCATGCTTTCATAGCGTTATGTGATTTTGCTTCTGCTGCAGTCTTCACCTGCTAGAGCTAGCCTCAGCCTAATGAGGTTTTTCTTTTCAATTAAAACAAAGTGAAAGTTTTTATTTTCTCTGACGCATAGGCTACCCAGAAGGGGTTAAAAAACCAGTCCGATTGGTTGGACGAGCAGGCGGGCGCGAAATTTGTGAAGCTGCAAGCCCAGTGGGAGCGGCTGAAGAGCAAGTTGGACGAGGAGAAGCTCGAGAAGCACGAGTTGAAGCACGATTCTCCCAAGGAGCTCGTAAAGTTGCTGACGGCGGCCATCAACAATTGCGACAAGCGGGGGATCCAAGCGTCCCTGTCAACGTGCGTGGCGAATGGACAGGTGGACGCCAACGATCTGAAGCCTGCGCGAGAAATGTTGACGAAGCTTATGGACCCCGGGTGGATCGAGGAACAGCTGCATTCCTGTCTGAAAACCCTGGAAGCCAAGAAAGATTTTCACGGCCTGGCCACCAAGGTCGCGAATTTAGCTCTTGCCGGACAAGATGCGGGCGTCGACGCCGATCTTCTCACAAAGGCGGAAAACGCTTCGCGCATCGCCCATATTCGACGTGGGTCCCTGTTCCAAAGGTATTAATCACTTCTGGTGTTTTTTCCCCGTGTTTCCTAAAGTGTTTCTGTTTGCATATGCTAATTGTATTCTAGTCATACATGCAGATGCACTGTTGTAGAAACAAACGGAAACGGCTCGTCTCGCATCTAGGCCGGCACCAGTTCCAGTGCGTTTGAATTTTGAAAACTCGATCGCTGATCATGTGCACTCTTCTATATCTGAATAAACACGCATCAACATCAACCCCAGGGACGGTAAAGTGGCGTCGGGTAACCTCGACATGGTGATGGCGTTGTACGGTGACATGAGCAAGGCCCCCTGCATCAACACGGATGTGGTAAAGCCCATCACGGGTCCGGACGGGAATAAGATTCTTCCGTGCGAGCCCGGGGGCACGTTCGCGTGGAGCAAGAATAAGCTGTCCGCCCCGTTGACGAACATCGGGGACGCCAGCATGAACTCCACCGCTACCGCGGCCTACCGAAACGTGCTCGGTTGGATGACGGACCACCCCGTGGACGAGAAGCGGCGCGTGCCGCTGTTGTACGCGATCGTGTGGAAGGCGCGGTCCGAGGCGGCGCTGACCAACGAGATGTACGCGCAGGTGATCAAGCAGCTCACCCACAACCCGGGGCTGCGGTCCCAGCTCTTAGGGTGGAAGCTGCTCGCCTTCATCTTCCAGCACGCCATCCCCACGCCCGACTTCATTGAGTACGTGCGGGCTTTTCTGGTCAAGTCCAAACAGAAGTTCGAGAAGGAGCTGCCCGAAAAGAAGGAATTGCTGACCATGGCCACGCAGTGCATGGACACGATGGCCAAGACCGCACCGCCGCCGGCCGCGGGGGAGAAGGCCGCCGCCGAGGCCGCGGCGGCGACGGGCGCGAATAGCAACAATGAAGTTGCAGCACGGCTTTCGCGGTGAAAGTCGAGGTGAGTTAGTGTACGCCACCTCCCCTTTGCGAGTACCTCAAAAGTCCGAAAAAAGTAGCTATTAGTATAGGATAGAAAGGACTAAGTTAAAGGCTGAAAGACCTCGTTAGCTTGAGTGATTACGGCACGAAATCCGACGCGCCGTGCGGTAAGGCTGTAGGATTTCGGTTAGCCAAAGTAAGTCGTCGACGCGACAGCCTCTTTCGCTGCTTGGGCTCAGTTGGGACGTAATGAAAGACATCACGTCCAAAAGTTTAGCATGCTAGAACGCATGTGGCCAGAAGGCCCGCAACGCAAGATGTGTTTGCCACTTTAGTTCCCGCTTGCGCGCAGTGTGCATCTTGTGTAATGTTTGCACACAGTGTGCGTCGCTGCCAGTCCCGGTTAAACTGTTCTCAGCTATTTATTCGTCATCTTCGGTCGGAAGCCCCTGAGTGTTGCGAAGCCGCCTCCGAAATCCGACGCGTGAGCGGTAAGGGGACGACCTTCGTGCCTCTAAAACTTCGCGCCTTTTCCTTCGTTCCAGGATTGGTTTTACATGGATTCCGGGCGGATAAGCTGGATAAGATGACTTATCCGACGCAGTGCATCTGCTGGATAGGGTTCATGATCAACGCCATCAAGATGCGGATTTACGTGGACCCAGAACAACGCGAAAAGTATATTGCAGCATTAGAAAATGCTTGCAAGAGGCCGCGAACGGATTATCAACGAACGCAAAAGATCTGGCGTCGATAGTAGGAAAGTTGAACTTCATCTCCTTTGTTGTCTCGGCTGGGCGCGCATTTCTGCGGAACGCTTACGACTTGCTTGGGGATTCGGGGGCTATCGCTGCATGGACCAAAGGACGCAAGTCTTTCAGTCCATCTCCCCAGCTCTCCGCTGCGGTCATAGCAGATTTTTCTTGGTGGCTTCAAGTCCTCAAAGACGATCCTTTTATCCCCATCTTTTCCACGACCGAGGGCTTATCTTTCCTGTTTACTCCGGAATTGCTTGATCATCCCGAAATCTTCCAAGATATTGATCCCGCCTCTTTCATGATCGTCACAAGTGATGCTAGCGGGTTTCATTGGGGGCTGACGGCGGACGGGGACGAAGTGCGGCACGAGGGCGACTTCAGCGAAGAAATCGACCAAAGACACTCCAACAAAAGGGATCTGACCACAGTCGCAGAATGGCTAAAAAAATACGGCGAACGTTTTGCGGGCAGAATTATCCTTCTGCGGACAGACAATACCAGTGCCATGCACTACATCAACTTTGGGACCGGGCGGAAACAGTGGCTCGCAGAAAAAGCCAAGGCCATCAAGTTGATGCAAAACAGGTTGGGAATAAAAATGCTGGCGCAACATGTGCGGGGCAAGCATAATGTGATAGCAGACGCGATCAGCCGACTACAGCTCAGCAGTACGCTGTACGACCAGAACCCGAGCAAACGACTAAAACCAGAAGCGTTGTCGTCGGTATGCTCAAGGCTGAAAATCACGCCAACAGTGGACGCGATGCGTGATCGTGAGGGTCACAGCAGACTGGTGGATTATTTCAAAAACCACATCACGGACGCGTACCAGACCACAGACCACGAAATGGCGCTGGAATTGAGTTGGTGGCATCCAGGCAGCTTTGCAATTATGCCGGTCCTCAAGAAATTGGTGGACTACATGAAAGTCCCGGAAGCACAGCGCCCCCGGGCGTTGGTTTTAGTTCCAAAATACAAAAGCAGGCTTGCTTATTTGCATTCGAAGTTTCACACGGTGAGCAGATTCCAGAAGAATAAATCGATATTCCAAGTATGGAAAGGAGCAAGCTGGGTAGACCTACCGCCAACAGACGACACCTATCTGGTGCTGAGCACAGTGCCAGCGCAAAGTCTGCAGACAAAGTGCGAAGGGTACTCGGAAAGTACCTTGGCACTGTTGGAGAAGCCGAAGAGAAAAGCAAGCCAGAAAGTAAAGCCGGAAAGAGTGCCGCTGGTGCATGTGCGGGGATCAATTCTAGCAGACAACATGAATGTGATCGCGCACCAGACAAACTGCCTGACCATAGGAAAAGCGGAAGGTATAGCGAAGAAGATACTTTTCAAATATCCACCAGCAAACACGTGCGCGAAGTCCTACAAAAGAGTCCCGGGCACGGCGGATCTGCGAAAGGTTTCAACCCGTGCAAGCAAGTTAGTAGCAAACTTGTATGGCCAACACAAGCCAGGGCTACCGCCGAAGAACCAGCAGGGTAATGCGGAAACGCAGGCAAAGCGGTTGGCGTGGTTCCAACAGGCGCTCGGCGATTTCTTTGAAAAATTGAAACATCGACTCCCGAACGAAGAAGCTACAGCCATCATCGGTTTCCCCGCGCGCATAGGATGCTGTCGCGCTGGCGGCAACTGGAGCGATTATCTAGCAAAACTAGAATCGTTCGCGGTTAGAGTGTCTCGCACCTGGAAAAATGGTTTGGCCAAAATCTTCGACTTTGCTGAGGACAACTAATTGACTTCAGTGGGTCGACCAATTGCTGCCTCTGGTTTTCATTTCCGCAAAGGGCTACGCCGCTTCACAGTAGTGAAGTGTTTAGGGCAGGGGTGCACCCTTCAAAAAGCTTCGCTGTTCTCAGGATCGGAAGTGGTGGATGTTACGCATTTTGCGAATTTGCGATCTAGATCACCGCTGTCGATCCACATGTCGCGCACGACGCGGGCCTGCGTAGGCGATACTGCCTCGCCGAGCTCTATATCATTGGACAGTGTCCGTCTCAGGCTCTGCACGTTGCACCCTGGGACAATCTTTGTCAAATGATATCAGTCGGAGATTTCATTAAGGATCTGAGCATGCGCAATACGTTGATCCAGAGTGAAATCGTAGACGCAGGAAAGGATACGAAGACTGAAAAAGATTTCTAGTGCGCCCTAGCTAATTCTGGTTGGCACAAGAATTAGCTACAGACGGTTCTGCTGTTGGTGTTCACTTCCTAGCTAGCTTCCATCCTGAGAGCGCGGCGATCTTTTTGTATGTGGGGCCGCACGGCTTTCGCGGTGAAAGTCGAGGTGAGTTAGTGTGCGCCACCTCCCCTTTGCGAGTACCTCAAAAGCCCGAAAAAAGTAGCTACTTGAGATGGAAACTATTGAGTTCGAGCCGTCGCCTGCAGGAAAGGCGTGGCTCCGCTGCAAGTTTTGAAAAGACCCGTCCGCTCCCTCCCTTCAAAAGCTTGCAAGGGTTGGCTTCGCCAGGTGACGAGACAAGAAAAAAGCTTCGTTGTTGTTGTTCGTCGTTAGTTAGCTAGAGTGTCGGCCAGGACTGTATCGCCCCGCAAAGGTGGTGGTTGAGTGAGCAGCGCCACTTGTATCCTTGCGTTGGTTCGATCAGAGTGTGAGTTTGCGAATTTGCGATCTAGATCTCCGCTGTCGATCCACATGTCGCGCACGACGCGGGCCTGCGTAGGCGATACTGCCTCGCCGGGCTCTATATCATTGGACAATGTCCGTCTCAGGCTCTGCACGTTGCACCCTGGGGCAATCTTTGTCAAATGATATCAGTCGGAGACTTCATTCAGTTTTGTTTTTTTGGGGTGCGCCCTGTTTCCGGGCGAACTTGCTTGCTGAAGGCTTCAACAATTTGACTTGTGATTGTACATCGAGCTTTGTTTGTGATGCTGTTTGACTTGTTTCAGGACCGAGCTGCATGCGGGCTACAAGAAAATTACTGATAATATGGGCATTGATTTATTCGAGTGCCGACTATCGTTTGACACGAATACTTGCTACACCTAAAGATGCATATCTGATGATGCGAGAGTAACAGTGCAGGTATTTAACTCATGATGCGCAATCGCAAGTAGCATGATGCATGTCCTCATGGACGGAAATATGCGGAGAAATAAGGATTGAGCGACGCGACGTTTCTAATTGCACTAAAGGCTTTATCTAAATCAAGCGCTTTCTCAAGTGGCGAGTGCCTATGATCTTCCGAAATGGGAGACCATTGGCGTTCGCATCTATTCTCATTTTCTGGCGCTTCTCCAGTATTTCATTCGTGAAATTCGGTCCCTCTATGAAAATGAACTACTCTTTGTTTGCAATCCAGGCAGTGGTTAATTATAAATCAAAATCGGTTGTACTATGTGAATGACCATGGCGCAAAGCCAAAGGCAAGACTAAAATTGTCGGTCTGCAGTCGTACTGATCAAGAACATCCCAGCAGAAAGTGACTAATAACAATCTGAGTCGGTATCGTGCTGTGCTTTTTGACTCGTCCTGCAACTCGTGCTTGTTGATAAGAAACGTCTGCTACTTCATCGTGCACCTAGGCGCCACAGCCACTGCTCGCTCTTTTTCAGCCGGCATCACGGTAGAGCAAGTTATATATACTCAGATTTTATTTACGTTCATTCTCTCATTTGCAACAGTGGCCTAGCAAGCCAAACGCCACTGTGACACCCATCATCCCAATTCGATACCCTGTGCTACATGATTGTTTTACTGTCCCAAATGCAAATGAAATATTTTTATTTGTTCCATGATGATCACGACCCACGTGCACCATGGCGCTGCCGGTATTTTTGACGAGACCGACAAAAAGCACGTTTACTTTAAGCGCTTTTAAGTTCTAAGTTGTAACATCAAACTGGTTATTTTCCAAAAAAGTTTGACCATTCACTTTTACGCTTCCTTTAGTTAGTTTCAGCCCCCCCGCCCGCCCTCCTCGCGAAGAAGCAAGATGTTGAAGCAGTGGATTCCACACCCCGTCGAGGGGTATGTGATGGCGAAGGACACGGGGCAGACTAAGGACATGAAGGGCAAGAAGGTCCGCGGCTACCAGATCGAGAACGCGAGTCAGGTATCACATGCAAATATGTCTGGGTCTGGAAACTTGTGATGCTGAACTGTGGATGACTGAAACGCTTTCGAATGCAGCCAAGCATGACAAGTTCCTGCAACGCTGTCTCATACGTAGCGCGCACGACAAACTGCGTTTTTGCATCACAAAGAACGCTGTGCGTTTGTTAGTCATGCAATACAGATTTTCTTGGAATGTAAGGCCAGCATCACAAGATCACTTTTTCCAGACCCAGACATTTTTGCAATGCATATGAGGAGGTGGTGTGGCTGACCGCGGACGAGATCACCAAGGTCGCGGACGTGGAGGACGACCATTTAATGGGCTTACCCGACGTGTTATGAGAGTGCACAAATTTCCCTCTCCCTCATTTGTCATGCAAAACCGGAAATCCAAGTGCTTCCCTTTAGCACTGTTTGCATGACAGATTCCGGAAGCCCAAACAGGAGTACTACATGAATTTGTCATGCGCAGGCTCCACGTGTACTGGTGTTTTTATTGCTGTTCATGCAATACAAATGAGTGGGAGGGGGAGTTGTGCACTCTCATACGTGTGTCAGCTGCGGTCCGTGGTGAACGCCGCGGTGCTGCAGTCGTTGGAAACCCGGTACTATGCATTGCAAAAGTATCGTACTCGTATAAATGCAATACAAATTTCCCCAGCATCAGAAATAAAATTTGTCATGCGGATTTACCTTAAGAAAAAAATTTGTAATGCATGAATGCAATTACTACTAGTACGATACTTTTGCAATGCATAGGTACGGGAAGGGGGAGATCTATACGATGATCGACCAGATCATCGTCTCCTGCAACCCCTTATGAATTGCAAAAATGTCTGGGTCTGGGAGACTCCGAGATTTGTCATGCAGTTTTTCCAAGCTCCCCCACGTCTGGAATGCAGGGCCTAGCATCACAGGTTCTGCAGCTCCTTGCTGATGCGTATTCTGCATGAGAGATGCCCTCTCAGCAAGGCCAGAAGTGGGCACCTTTTGCACGTTTGTGCATCACAGATCTTTCTCGTAGGATCCGAAACACGCATCACAAGTTCGGATCCTTCCAGACCCAGACACTTTTACACTTCACACCCCTTCGAGCGGCTGGGCCTGGACACGCCCGAGGTCATGGACAAGTACATTAACGCGGCGGATTCCCGGGAGCAGCCCCCGCACGTGTACTCCATCGCCAAGACCGCTTTGTCGGGGTGCGTGCGCGAGAGTTTGAACCAGGCGATTTTGATCTCCGGAGAGTCCGGGGCGGGGAAGACCGAAGCGTGTAAGATCATGTTGGGGTTCTTCGCGGACTCCGCCGGGCACAACGAGAGCCGCATCCAGGACCGCATCATGCAGTGCAACCCGATCTTGGAAGCTTTTGGGAACGCGAAGACCTCCCGGAACAACAACTCGTCCCGGTTCGGGAAGTGGACCGCGATCATGTTCGGGCAAAAGGGCTCCATCGACGGTGCGCTGCTGGTGGACTATTTGCTGGAGAAGTCGCGCGTGCTGAAGCAGACCAGTTTGGAGCGCAACTTTCACATCTTCTACATGCTGCTGCACGGCCCCGACGGGGCGAAGTACGGGCTGCCGAAGGGCACGAAGTGGAGCGACTTCAACTACCTGAAAAGCGGAGCCCAGCTCGCCGACGGCGTGGATGACAAAACCGAGTACAACGAGGTGGTGTCGGCCTTCGAGGACGTCACCATCGGCGAGAAGAAGCGCGCCGACCTGTTCAAGGCGGTGGCGGGCATTTTATTGCTCGGGAACGTGAGTTTTAAAGCGGGGAAAAACGATTCGTCCATCTGCGACAAGACCAAGGAAGTGTCCACCGCCTGGGAGTGCGACGACAAGGTGCTGCAGACCGCGATCACGAACAAGAAGCTGATCGTCGGGAAGGACGTGACGGTGAAGCAACTGAAGCCGGAGCTGGCGAACGAGGCGCGGAACGGGTTAGCCACGCTGGTGTACTCGCGGCTGTTCGCCTGGCTGATGGAAAACTTAAACAAAGTTGTCGCCGGGGACATCGGGAACAGCAGCGCGAAGAAGATCGAGGTGGGTTTACTGGATATCGCGGGCTTCGAGTCCTTCCCCAACAACACCTGGGAGCAGATCACCATCAATTTATCCAACGAGAACCTGCAGCAGCACTTCAACGAATTCGTGTTCAAGCGCGAAATGGCGGACTACAAGGCGGAGGGGGTTTCCGTCGAGGGCATCACGTTCGCGGACAACCAGGAGATCCTGGACACGATTGCCGCGCCCAGGGACTCCATCTTCAGCGTACTGGACGACGCCACCAAAGGGATGCGGCAAACGGACAAGACGTTTATGAACAATCTGGGGAAGCTGATGGAAACCAAGAAGAATGCTTACTTCGAGGCGGACAAGTTCAACAAGGACCCGCCGGAGTTCACGCTGACCCACTACGCCGGCAAGGTCACCTACAATGTCGGCGGCTGGGTGCATGAAAAAAACACGGACGACCCGCCGCCCGAGGCGATGGACGTGCTGAAGACCTCGAAGAACGAGTTGCTGAGGGATTTAGGGAAGCAACTGGAAGAAGAGGGCAAGCAGAAAAAGTTGACGGTATCAACCCAGTTCCGCGCGTCGCTGAAAACGCTAATGGAGCGAATTCGTTCCGCCGTGCCGCACTTTGTCCGGTGCATCAAGCCCAACGACGAGAAGAAGCCGAAGATTTTCACGCGCGCGAAGGTGTTGGAGCAGCTGATTTTCTCCGGCGCGATGGAAGCGGTGAAAATCCGGCAGCAGGGGTATCCGTTACGCGCTTTGCCCGCCGAGTTCTGCCGCAAATACCGTGCGTGCTTTCCGGTGAAACTCCGGATGGAATGTGAGAAAAAAGCGGGCAAAAAGCTCCCCGACCCGGCGGTGGTTACGCTGATTCTGGACCGCCTTCCGGAGGTGTTCCACCAACCGGAGTTGAAGGGCCAGTACGTGATGGGAAAAACCAAGGTGATGGCCCGTCTTCGGGGCCACCAAGTCCTCGACGAGCAGGTGCGGTTTGCCACACTCGAGAAAACCATCAAAATCCAGGCGGCCTTCCGCGGCTACCGCGCGAGGAAGATGACGAAGCGGGCGCGGGAGCTCCGCGGCATGACGCAAAACTGGATGAAGACGACGGGTTCCAAGTTGTACAAACCGAACACGCCCAACACCAACGCGTTGGCGACGTTTAAGAACGACTTGGGCAAGTTGAAGGCGGAGTGCGACCAGGTGAAGAAGTGGCGGGCGGAGATCGAGTCCATGAGCACCAAGCTGAAGGTGTGCGAAGCGGCGTTTCTCACCTGTCAAACGAAGCTCCACAAGGAGTACGAAGTCTACAAGGACATGAACGCATTGCTGAAGACGGTCGATTTGGATCAGTTGCAGACCGCGGTCTCCCAGCTGACCAATCTGGCAATCGAGGACGAAGTGGCCAAGCGCCTGGCGGTCCGGCTCGACATGCTCTCCGTGCAGCTGCCGCTGATCACCGCCATGGCCGGTCTGTCCGACCGAACCGACCCAAGCCCGTCGGACCTCGACGCATGCAAGCGGCTGCAGCACGTCGTGGAGCAGGTAAATAAAAGTTTCTTCGACTTTTAGCTCGTTCTTCCTGTCAACTTGTTTCGTGGTAGCATGCTTTCATAGCGTTATGTGATTTTGCTTCTGCTGCAGTCTTCACCTGCTAGAGCTAGCCTCAGCCTAATGAGGTTTTTCTTTTCAATTAAAACAAAGTGAAAGTTTTTATTTTCTCTGACGCATAGGCTACCCAGAAGGGGTTAAAAAACCAGTCCGATTGGTTGGACGAGCAGGCGGGCGCGAAATTTGTGAAGCTGCAAGCCCAGTGGGAGCGGCTGAAGAGCAAGTTGGACGAGGAGAAGCTCGAGAAGCACGAGTTGAAGCACGATTCTCCCAAGGAGCTCGTAAAGTTGCTGACGGCGGCCATCAACAATTGCGACAAGCGGGGGATCCAAGCGTCCCTGTCAACGTGCGTGGCGAATGGACAGGTGGACGCCAACGATCTGAAGCCTGCGCGAGAAATGTTGACGAAGCTTATGGACCCCGGGTGGATCGAGGAACAGCTGCATTCCTGTCTGAAAACCCTGGAAGCCAAGAAAGATTTTCACGGCCTGGCCACCAAGGTCGCGAATTTAGCTCTTGCCGGACAAGATGCGGGCGTCGACGCCGATCTTCTCACAAAGGCGGAAAACGCTTCGCGCATCGCCCATATTCGACGTGGGTCCCTGTTCCAAAGGTATTAATCACTTCTGGTGTTTTTTCCCCGTGTTTCCTAAAGTGTTTCTGTTTGCATATGCTAATTGTATTCTAGTCATACATGCAGATGCACTGTTGTAGAAACAAACGGAAACGGCTCGTCTCGCATCTAGGCCGGCACCAGTTCCAGTGCGTTTGAATTTTGAAAACTCGATCGCTGATCATGTGCACTCTTCTATATCTGAATAAACACGCATCAACATCAACCCCAGGGACGGTAAAGTGGCGTCGGGTAACCTCGACATGGTGATGGCGTTGTACGGTGACATGAGCAAGGCCCCCTGCATCAACACGGATGTGGTAAAGCCCATCACGGGTCCGGACGGGAATAAGATTCTTCCGTGCGAGCCCGGGGGCACGTTCGCGTGGAGCAAGAATAAGCTGTCCGCCCCGTTGACGAACATCGGGGACGCCAGCATGAACTCCACCGCTACCGCGGCCTACCGAAACGTGCTCGGTTGGATGACGGACCACCCCGTGGACGAGAAGCGGCGCGTGCCGCTGTTGTACGCGATCGTGTGGAAGGCGCGGTCCGAGGCGGCGCTGACCAACGAGATGTACGCGCAGGTGATCAAGCAGCTCACCCACAACCCGGGGCTGCGGTCCCAGCTCTTAGGGTGGAAGCTGCTCGCCTTCATCTTCCAGCACGCCATCCCCACGCCCGACTTCATTGAGTACGTGCGGGCTTTTCTGGTCAAGTCCAAACAGAAGTTCGAGAAGGAGCTGCCCGAAAAGAAGGAATTGCTGACCATGGCCACGCAGTGCATGGACACGATGGCCAAGACCGCACCGCCGCCGGCCGCGGGGGAGAAGGCCGCCGCCGAGGCCGCGGCGGCGACGGGCGCGAATAGCAACAATGAAGTTGCAGCACGGCTTTCGCGGTGAAAGTCGAGGTGAGTTAGTGTACGCCACCTCCCCTTTGCGAGTACCTCAAAAGTCCGAAAAAAGTAGCTATTAGTATAGGATAGAAAGGACTAAGTTAAAGGCTGAAAGACCTCGTTAGCTTGAGTGATTACGGCACGAAATCCGACGCGCCGTGCGGTAAGGCTGTAGGATTTCGGTTAGCCAAAGTAAGTCGTCGACGCGACAGCCTCTTTCGCTGCTTGGGCTCAGTTGGGACGTAATGAAAGACATCACGTCCAAAAGTTTAGCATGCTAGAACGCATGTGGCCAGAAGGCCCGCAACGCAAGATGTGTTTGCCACTTTAGTTCCCGCTTGCGCGCAGTGTGCATCTTGTGTAATGTTTGCACACAGTGTGCGTCGCTGCCAGTCCCGGTTAAACTGTTCTCAGCTATTTATTCGTCATCTTCGGTCGGAAGCCCCTGAGTGTTGCGAAGCCGCCTCCGAAATCCGACGCGTGAGCGGTAAGGGGACGACCTTCGTGCCTCTAAAACTTCGCGCCTTTTCCTTCGTTCCAGGATTGGTTTTACATGGATTCCGGGCGGATAAGCTGGATAAGATGACTTATCCGACGCAGTGCATCTGCTGGATAGGGTTCATGATCAACGCCATCAAGATGCGGATTTACGTGGACCCAGAACAACGCGAAAAGTATATTGCAGCATTAGAAAATGCTTGCAAGAGGCCGCGAACGGATTATCAACGAACGCAAAAGATCTGGCGTCGATAGTAGGAAAGTTGAACTTCATCTCCTTTGTTGTCTCGGCTGGGCGCGCATTTCTGCGGAACGCTTACGACTTGCTTGGGGATTCGGGGGCTATCGCTGCATGGACCAAAGGACGCAAGTCTTTCAGTCCATCTCCCCAGCTCTCCGCTGCGGTCATAGCAGATTTTTCTTGGTGGCTTCAAGTCCTCAAAGACGATCCTTTTATCCCCATCTTTTCCACGACCGAGGGCTTATCTTTCCTGTTTACTCCGGAATTGCTTGATCATCCCGAAATCTTCCAAGATATTGATCCCGCCTCTTTCATGATCGTCACAAGTGATGCTAGCGGGTTTCATTGGGGGCTGACGGCGGACGGGGACGAAGTGCGGCACGAGGGCGACTTCAGCGAAGAAATCGACCAAAGACACTCCAACAAAAGGGATCTGACCACAGTCGCAGAATGGCTAAAAAAATACGGCGAACGTTTTGCGGGCAGAATTATCCTTCTGCGGACAGACAATACCAGTGCCATGCACTACATCAACTTTGGGACCGGGCGGAAACAGTGGCTCGCAGAAAAAGCCAAGGCCATCAAGTTGATGCAAAACAGGTTGGGAATAAAAATGCTGGCGCAACATGTGCGGGGCAAGCATAATGTGATAGCAGACGCGATCAGCCGACTACAGCTCAGCAGTACGCTGTACGACCAGAACCCGAGCAAACGACTAAAACCAGAAGCGTTGTCGTCGGTATGCTCAAGGCTGAAAATCACGCCAACAGTGGACGCGATGCGTGATCGTGAGGGTCACAGCAGACTGGTGGATTATTTCAAAAACCACATCACGGACGCGTACCAGACCACAGACCACGAAATGGCGCTGGAATTGAGTTGGTGGCATCCAGGCAGCTTTGCAATTATGCCGGTCCTCAAGAAATTGGTGGACTACATGAAAGTCCCGGAAGCACAGCGCCCCCGGGCGTTGGTTTTAGTTCCAAAATACAAAAGCAGGCTTGCTTATTTGCATTCGAAGTTTCACACGGTGAGCAGATTCCAGAAGAATAAATCGATATTCCAAGTATGGAAAGGAGCAAGCTGGGTAGACCTACCGCCAACAGACGACACCTATCTGGTGCTGAGCACAGTGCCAGCGCAAAGTCTGCAGACAAAGTGCGAAGGGTACTCGGAAAGTACCTTGGCACTGTTGGAGAAGCCGAAGAGAAAAGCAAGCCAGAAAGTAAAGCCGGAAAGAGTGCCGCTGGTGCATGTGCGGGGATCAATTCTAGCAGACAACATGAATGTGATCGCGCACCAGACAAACTGCCTGACCATAGGAAAAGCGGAAGGTATAGCGAAGAAGATACTTTTCAAATATCCACCAGCAAACACGTGCGCGAAGTCCTACAAAAGAGTCCCGGGCACGGCGGATCTGCGAAAGGTTTCAACCCGTGCAAGCAAGTTAGTAGCAAACTTGTATGGCCAACACAAGCCAGGGCTACCGCCGAAGAACCAGCAGGGTAATGCGGAAACGCAGGCAAAGCGGTTGGCGTGGTTCCAACAGGCGCTCGGCGATTTCTTTGAAAAATTGAAACATCGACTCCCGAACGAAGAAGCTACAGCCATCATCGGTTTCCCCGCGCGCATAGGATGCTGTCGCGCTGGCGGCAACTGGAGCGATTATCTAGCAAAACTAGAATCGTTCGCGGTTAGAGTGTCTCGCACCTGGAAAAATGGTTTGGCCAAAATCTTCGACTTTGCTGAGGACAACTAATTGACTTCAGTGGGTCGACCAATTGCTGCCTCTGGTTTTCATTTCCGCAAAGGGCTACGCCGCTTCACAGTAGTGAAGTGTTTAGGGCAGGGGTGCACCCTTCAAAAAGCTTCGCTGTTCTCAGGATCGGAAGTGGTGGATGTTACGCATTTTGCGAATTTGCGATCTAGATCACCGCTGTCGATCCACATGTCGCGCACGACGCGGGCCTGCGTAGGCGATACTGCCTCGCCGAGCTCTATATCATTGGACAGTGTCCGTCTCAGGCTCTGCACGTTGCACCCTGGGACAATCTTTGTCAAATGATATCAGTCGGAGATTTCATTAAGGATCTGAGCATGCGCAATACGTTGATCCAGAGTGAAATCGTAGACGCAGGAAAGGATACGAAGACTGAAAAAGATTTCTAGTGCGCCCTAGCTAATTCTGGTTGGCACAAGAATTAGCTACAGACGGTTCTGCTGTTGGTGTTCACTTCCTAGCTAGCTTCCATCCTGAGAGCGCGGCGATCTTTTTGTATGTGGGGCCGCACGGCTTTCGCGGTGAAAGTCGAGGTGAGTTAGTGTGCGCCACCTCCCCTTTGCGAGTACCTCAAAAGCCCGAAAAAAGTAGCTACTTGAGATGGAAACTATTGAGTTCGAGCCGTCGCCTGCAGGAAAGGCGTGGCTCCGCTGCAAGTTTTGAAAAGACCCGTCCGCTCCCTCCCTTCAAAAGCTTGCAAGGGTTGGCTTCGCCAGGTGACGAGACAAGAAAAAAGCTTCGTTGTTGTTGTTCGTCGTTAGTTAGCTAGAGTGTCGGCCAGGACTGTATCGCCCCGCAAAGGTGGTGGTTGAGTGAGCAGCGCCACTTGTATCCTTGCGTTGGTTCGATCAGAGTGTGAGTTTGCGAATTTGCGATCTAGATCTCCGCTGTCGATCCACATGTCGCGCACGACGCGGGCCTGCGTAGGCGATACTGCCTCGCCGGGCTCTATATCATTGGACAATGTCCGTCTCAGGCTCTGCACGTTGCACCCTGGGGCAATCTTTGTCAAATGATATCAGTCGGAGACTTCATTCAGTTTTGTTTTTTTGGGGTGCGCCCTGTTTCCGGGCGAACTTGCTTGCTGAAGGCTTCAACAATTTGACTTGTGATTGTACATCGAGCTTTGTTTGTGATGCTGTTTGCCTTGTTTCAGGACCGAGCTGCATGCGGGCCACAAGAAAATTACTGATAATATGTGCATTGATTTATTCGAGTGCCGACTATCGTTTGACACGAATACTTGCTACACCTAAAGATGCATATCTGATGATGCGAGAGTAACAGTGCAGGTATTTAACTCATGATGCGCAATCGCAAGTAGCATGATGCATGTCCTCATGGACGGAAATATGCGGAGAAATAAGGATTGAGCGACGCGACGTTTCTAATTGCACTAAAGGCTTTATCTAAATCAAGCGCTTTCTCAAGTGGCGAGTGCCTATGATCTTCCGAAATGGGAGACCATTGGCGTTCGCATCTATTCTCATTTTCTGGCGCTTCTCCAGTATTTCATTCGTGAAATTCGGTCCCTCTATGAAAATGAACTACTCTTTGTTTGCAATCCAGGCAGTGGTTAATTATAAATCAAAATCGGTTGTACTATGTGAATGACCATGGCGCAAAGCCAAAGGCAAGACTAAAATTGTCGGTCTGCAGTCGTACTGATCAAGAACATCCCAGCAGAAAGTGACTAATAACAATCTGAGTCGGTATCGTGCTGTGCTTTTTGACTCGTCCTGCAACTCGTGCTTGTTGATAAGAAACGTCTGCTACTTCATCGTGCACCTAGGCGCCACAGCCACTGCTCGCTCTTTTTCAGCCGGCATCACGGTAGAGCAAGTTATATATACTCAGATTTTATTTACGTTCATTCTCTCATTTGCAACAGTGGCCTAGCAAGCCAAACGCCACTGTGACACCCATCATCCCAATTCGATACCCTGTGCTACATGATTGTTTTACTGTCCCAAATGCAAATGAAATATTTTTATTTGTTCCATGATGATCACGACCCACGTGCACCATGGCGCTGCCGGTATTTTTGACGAGACCGACAAAAAGCACGTTTACTTTAAGCGCTTTTAAGTTCTAAGTTGTAACATCAAACTGGTTATTTTCCAAAAAAGTTTGACCATTCACTTTTACGCTTCCTTTAGTTAGTTTCAGCCCCCCCGCCCGCCCTCCTCGCGAAGAAGCAAGATGTTGAAGCAGTGGATTCCACACCCCGTCGAGGGGTATGTGATGGCGAAGGACACGGGGCAGACTAAGGACATGAAGGGCAAGAAGGTCCGCGGCTACCAGATCGAGAACGCGAGTCAGGTATCACATGCAAATATGTCTGGGTCTGGAAACTTGTGATGCTGAACTGTGGATGACTGAAACGCTTTCGAATGCAGCCAAGCATGACAAGTTCCTGCAACGCTGTCTCATACGTAGCGCGCACGACAAACTGCGTTTTTGCATCACAAAGAACGCTGTGCGTTTGTTAGTCATGCAATACAGATTTTCTTGGAATGTAAGGCCAGCATCACAAGATCACTTTTTCCAGACCCAGACATTTTTGCAATGCATATGAGGAGGTGGTGTGGCTGACCGCGGACGAGATCACCAAGGTCGCGGACGTGGAGGACGACCATTTAATGGGCTTACCCGACGTGTTATGAGAGTGCACAAATTTCCCTCTCCCTCATTTGTCATGCAAAACCGGAAATCCAAGTGCTTCCCTTTAGCACTGTTTGCATGACAGATTCCGGAAGCCCAAACAGGAGTACTACATGAATTTGTCATGCGCAGGCTCCACGTGTACTGGTGTTTTTATTGCTGTTCATGCAATACAAATGAGTGGGAGGGGGAGTTGTGCACTCTCATACGTGTGTCAGCTGCGGTCCGTGGTGAACGCCGCGGTGCTGCAGTCGTTGGAAACCCGGTACTATGCATTGCAAAAGTATCGTACTCGTATAAATGCAATACAAATTTCCCCAGCATCAGAAATAAAATTTGTCATGCGGATTTACCTTAAGAAAAAAATTTGTAATGCATGAATGCAATTACTACTAGTACGATACTTTTGCAATGCATAGGTACGGGAAGGGGGAGATCTACACGATGATCGACCAAATTATCGTCTCCTGCAACCCCTTATCAAATGCAAGAATGTCTGCGCCCTCTGGGAGACTCCGAGATTTGTCATGCAGTTTTTCCAAGCTCCCCCACGTCTGGAATGCAGGGCCTAGCATCACAGGTTCTGCAGCTCCTTGCTGATGCGTATTCTGCATGAGAAATGCCCTCTCTGCAAGTCCAGAAGTGGGCAGCTTTTGCACGTTTATGCATCACAGATCTTTCTTGTAGGATCCGAAACACGCATCACAAGTTCGGATCCTTCCAGACCCAGACATTTTTACACTTCACACCCCTTCGAGCGGCTCGGCCTGGACACGCCCGAGGTGATGGACAAGTACATCAACGCGGCGGATTCCCGGGAGCAGCCCCCGCACGTGTACTCCATCGCCAAGACCGCTCTGTCGGGGTGCGTGCGCGAGAGTTTGAACCAGGCGATTTTGATCTCCGGAGAGTCCGGGGCGGGGAAGACCGAAGCGTGTAAGATCATGCTGGGGTTCTTCGCGGACTCCGCCGGGCACAACGAGAGCCGCATCCAGGACCGCATCATGCAGTGCAACCCGATCTTGGAAGCTTTTGGGAACGCGAAGACCTCCCGGAACAACAACTCGTCCCGGTTCGGGAAGTGGACCGCGATCATGTTCGGGCAAAAGGGCTCCATCGACGGTGCGCTGCTGGTGGACTATTTGCTGGAGAAGTCGCGCGTGCTGAAGCAGACCAGTTTGGAGCGCAACTTTCACATCTTCTACATGCTGCTGCACGGCCCCGACGGGGCGAAGTACGGGCTGCCGAAGGGCACGAAGTGGAGCGACTTCAACTACCTGAAAAGCGGAGCCCAGCTCGCCGACGGCGTGGATGACAAAACCGAGTACAACGAGGTGGTGTCGGCCTTCGAGGACGTCACCATCGGCGAGAAGAAGCGCGCCGACCTGTTCAAGGCGGTGGCGGGCATTTTATTGCTCGGGAACGTGAGTTTTAAAGCGGGGAAAAACGATTCGTCCATCTGCGACAAGACCAAGGAAGTGTCCACCGCCTGGGAGTGCGACGACAAGGTGCTGCAGACCGCGATCACGAACAAGAAGCTGATCGTCGGGAAGGACGTGACGGTGAAGCAACTGAAGCCGGAGCTGGCGAACGAGGCGCGGAACGGGTTAGCCACGCTGGTGTACTCGCGGCTGTTCGCCTGGCTGATGGAAAACTTAAACAAAGTTGTCGCCGGGGACATCGGGAACAGCAGCGCGAAGAAGATCGAGGTGGGTTTACTGGATATCGCGGGCTTCGAGTCCTTCCCCAACAACACCTGGGAGCAGATCACCATCAATTTATCCAACGAGAACCTGCAGCAGCACTTCAACGAATTCGTGTTCAAGCGCGAAATGGCGGACTACAAGGCGGAGGGGGTTTCCGTCGAGGGCATCACGTTCGCGGACAACCAGGAGATCCTGGACACGATTGCCGCGCCCAGGGACTCCATCTTCAGCGTACTGGACGACGCCACCAAAGGGATGCGGCAAACGGACAAGACGTTTATGAACAATCTGGGGAAGCTGATGGAAACCAAGAAGAATGCTTACTTCGAGGCGGACAAGTTCAACAAGGACCCGCCGGAGTTCACGCTGACCCACTACGCCGGCAAGGTCACCTACAATGTCGGCGGCTGGGTGCATGAAAAAAACACGGACGACCCGCCGCCCGAGGCGATGGACGTGCTGAAGACCTCGAAGAACGAGTTGCTGAGGGATTTAGGGAAGCAACTGGAAGAAGAGGGCAAGCAGAAAAAGTTGACGGTTTCAACCCAGTTCCGCGCGTCGCTGAAAACGCTAATGGAGCGAATTCGTTCCGCCGTGCCGCATTTTGTCCGGTGCATCAAGCCCAACGACGAGAAGAATCCGAAGATTTTCACGCGCGCGAAGGTGTTGGAGCAGCTGATTTTCTCCGGCGCGATGGAAGCGGTGAAAATCCGGCAGCAGGGGTATCCGTTACGCGCTTTGCCCGCCGAGTTCTGCCGCAAATACCGTGCGTGCTTTCCGGTGAAACTCCGGATGGAATGTGAGAAAAAAGCGGGCAAAAAGCTCCCCGACCCGGCGGTGGTTACGCTGATTCTGGACCGCCTTCCGGAGGTGTTCCACCAACCGGAGTTGAAGGGCCAGTACGTGATGGGAAAAACCAAGGTGATGGCCCGTCTTCGGGGCCACCAAGTCCTCGACGAGCAGGTGCGGTTTGCCACACTCGAGAAAACCATCAAAATCCAGGCGGCCTTCCGCGGCTACCGCGCGAGGAAGATGACGAAGCGGGCGCGGGAGCTCCGCGGCATGACGCAAAACTGGATGAAGACGACGGGTTCCAAGTTGTACAAACCGAACACGCCCAACACCAACGCGTTGGCGACGTTTAAGAACGACTTGGGCAAGTTGAAGGCGGAGTGCGACCAGGTGAAGAAGTGGCGGGCGGAGATCGAGTCCATGAGCACCAAGCTGAAGGTGTGCGAAGCGGCGTTTCTCACCTGTCAAACGAAGCTCCACAAGGAGTACGAAGTCTACAAGGACATGAACGCATTGCTGAAGACGGTCGATTTGGATCAGTTGCAGACCGCGGTCTCCCAGCTGACCAATCTGGCAATCGAGGACGAAGTGGCCAAGCGCCTGGCGGTCCGGCTCGACATGCTCTCCGTGCAGCTGCCGCTGATCACCGCCATGGCCGGTCTGTCCGACCGAACCGACCCAAGCCCGTCGGACCTCGACGCATGCAAGCGGCTGCAGCACGTCGTGGAGCAGGTAAAGTTCTTCAACTTTTATTAGCTTGTTCTTCCTGTGGTCAACAGCTTTTATTTCAGGAGCATGTGTTAGCGTCGGTAGATAAATGATATGAATGTGATATTGCTTTATAGCAGCCCACGAGGCTGCCTATGCCTGATGAAGTACTATTTCAAACAGTTTCATCAACACTTAACATTAAGTTACTCTTGTTTCTGACAAACAGGCTACCCAGAAGGGGTTAAAAAACCAGTCCGATTGGTTGGACGAGCAGGCGGGCGCGAAATTTGTGAAGCTACAAGCGCAGTGGGAGCGGCTGAAGAGCAAGCTGGACGAGGAGAAGCTCGAAAAGCACGTGTTGAAGCACGATTCTCCCAAGGAGCTCGTAAAGTTGTTGACGGCGGCCATCAACAATTGCGACAAGCGGGGGATCCAAGCGTCCCTGTCAACGTGCGTGGCGAATGGACAGGTGGACGCAAACGATCTGAAGCCTGCGCGAGAAATGTTGACGAAGCTCATGGACCCCGGGTGGATCGAGGAACAGCTGCATTCCTGTCTGAAAACCCTGGAAGCCAAGAAAGACCTTCACGGCCTGGCCACCAAGGTCGCGAATCTAGCTCTTGCAGGACAAGATGCGGGCGTCGACGCCGATCTTCTCACCAAGGCGGAAAATGCTTCGCGCATCGCCCATATTCGACGCGGATCCCTGTTCCAAAGGTATTATCACAGTGTTGTTTGTTCCCCTTTCAAGTATTTGCATATGCTAGTCTGTGTTTGATCATGCACTGTTGTAGAACAAACGGCCCTGCTTGCAGCTGGGCCGGCACCAGTGCGTTTGAATTTTCATTTTGAACTCGACCTGATCAAGTGTATCAATATGTGAATGACACGCAACATCAACCCCAGGGACGGTAAAGTGGCGTCGGGTAACCTCGACATGGTGATGGCGTTGTACGGTGACATGAGTAAGGCCCCCTGCATCAACACGGATGTGGTAAAGCCGATCACGGGTCCGGACGGGAATAAGATTCTTCCGTGCGAGCCCGGTGGCACGTTCGCGTGGAGCAAGAATAAGCTCTCCGCCCCGTTGACGAACATCGGGGACGCCAGCATGAACTCCACCGCCACCGCGGCTTACCGAAACGTGCTCGGGTGGATGACGGACCACCCCGTGGACGAGAAGCGGCGCGCGCCGCTGGCGTACGCGATTGTGTGGAAGGCGCGATCCGAGGCGGCGCTGACCAACGAGATGTACGCGCAGGTGATCAAGCAGCTGACCCACAACCCGGGGCTGCGGTCCCAGCTCTTGGGGTGGAAGCTGCTCGCCTTCATCTTCCAGCACGCCATCCCCACGCCGGACTTCATTGAGTACGTGCGGGCGTTTCTGGTCAAGTCCAAACAGAAGTTCGAGAAGGAGCTGCCCGAAAAGAAGGAATTACTGACCATGGCCACCCAGTGCATGGACACGCTGGCCAATATGGCGTTCTCAACTGTTACATTCTCAACTGTTACATGATTTGTCATGCAAATTTACCACCAAGATCGCCACGATTAAGCTGTTTCGCATGACAAATATCCGAAGGGCTAGACTGACAGCATGCAAATCTGTGCCAAATCTGTAATGCAAAAGGCGCAATCTTGTCCCTTTCACTTTCGCCGTTCTTGCATTACAAATTCATGTAACAGTTGAGAATGTAACATTTGAGAACGCCATAGCCAAAACCGCCCCGCCGCCGGCCGCGGGGGAGAAGGCCGCCGCCGAGGCCGCGGCGGCGACTGGTAACGCTAATAGCAACGCCGCGGCGGGCCAGGACCGCAAGACGGTGAGCATCTGGGACGCGGAAAGTTTGAACTGGCGCAACAACACGCCCAACAAGGACGAGAAGGGCAACGATTTGAAAGCGCGGATGGTGAAGGTGGGCAAGGACGGCAAGGTGGGCGACGTCCTGAAAAAACTGCTGGTGGTGATCGGGGTCTCCGCGGAGAACGTGCCCAAGTTCGACATGTACCTTCCGTCGAACATGAACCAGCCCGTCCCCCAGGACGCCAAGGTGTGGACCGTTCTCGGCGCCACCGATCGGTTCATCCTGCGCAGGCGCTGGATCGGCGCGAAGGAGAAGGTGAACGCGGCGGACTCGCGGTTCTCCTCGTTGACCGTGCTGCAGGCCTTCCAGCAGTATTTAGACTACCGCATCCAGGAGGATGTGCAGACGTTGGCCGTGTGTGCGGCGGCTTGCGCGATGGTGAGGCAGCCGAAAAAGGAGAAAGTGATCGACGAGAATACAATTTCCTCCCTGGTCCCCGCTTTGGCGTTGGAAGAGCGGGGGAAGGCGACCTGGGTGAAGGAGGTAAAAGAGGCGTACGACAGGGAATTTTTGCAGTTGGTCTCGGACGGGGCCACCCGGCTGGACCAGTTGCAGCGCGCGTTTTCTCGGCTGCAAAGCATGCGCGGGTTCGGCACGGTGCAGGTGCGCGCGAAGCAGCTGCCCCAAGAGAAGCCGCGGAGCCTCGCGCTGCCGCCAAACAGCGAGGCGCTGATGGACCTCGGCGCCCCGAGCCTGATCGTGGCGGTCGGGCTGTCCGGGCTGACGCTGTGCGCGGAGCGGGACGGCCGCGAGCTGGCGCGGTTCGGCATGACGGCCGCGAACAGTCACCGGGTGACGGGCTGGGCGGGCGACGGACAGAGTCTCAGCTGCGCCATCCAGATTCCCAAGGGACCCACCTACATCGTTTTTCAGATGGACCAGGGCGTCTTGATAGCCAACATGTTGGAATCCCTGCGAAAGGAGTTGGGCACAACCGGGGCAGTGGTGACAGCAGGCGGACCGGGTGGAGGAGCCACCGTGGTGACCCCGCCACCACCCACTCCAAGCACGACACAAGCGCGACCAGCAGCTCCAGCCGCTAGCACCGCGACCAGTGCAGGTGGTGCAACAAGTTCCTCCGCGGAACCCACCCCCCGGACAGGAGATGAAAATACTAAACCCGCAGCTGTACCAACTTCGACCCCCGCGCCCGCGGGAAAGGTGTCCATTCCTCAGCGGGCACCCACAGGAGCCGCCGAAGGAGCGCCAGCGGATAGCAAAGCCCCAGCCGCGCGACCCGGGTCGGCCACCGTCAACACCCCCGGCGAGGGCCCCATCGCGATCACGCCGTTCACTTGCGAAGAGGTAAAGAAGGACCGCGAAGCTAGGAAGGAAAAACGAGAAGAAAAAGAAAAGAAAGAAAAGAAGGAGAAGAAAGAAAAAGACAATGCGGACGACGATGCAGGAGGCGAAGAAAAGGACAAAAAGGAGAAGAAGCAAAAGGACGCGAAAGAAGACGGCGGGGAAAGCAAGAAGGAGAAAAAAGAGCGAAAGTCGCGCGAAGAGGGGGACGACGCGAAAAAGAAGGAGAAGAAAGAAAGAAGGTCACGCGACGACGCCGACGGTAAAGAAAAAAAGGAAAAGAAAAAAGAAAGGAAGTCGGCGGGCGACGGTTCATAGTCAATATGAATCGTTCGTCGGGATAAAGCTCAACAGAAAGCATTGGATCAAGCACACGGTCCCAACTCAGAAGTAACTTATTCTTATTTGCTTCTAGTTCTAAGACGACCTTCAGAAGATGCAGAATAATAAGTAGATACGCCTTCATTATGGAGGCGTGCAAAATTCGCGTTCATCTTTTCGGGCTTTCGCGCACTACTGTTTAGTGTGTGTTGGTCAAAAATGAATCTTCAACCACTCTCGCCAGTGTCGTTGTATTTGGTTTTGCTGTTTTGCATACGAGTAAAAAACATGGATAAACAGTAAAACACCTTTTTCTAAGTACTTCCCTGTAAACAGATTTTCATATAATACGTTCACGACCCACACCCATGGGAATTTCGTTTTTTGTAAATGGCCATTTTGACTCCCCCTCCCTATCACATTCTGCTTGTGCAACAGCACTACGTGACTGAGTCATTGTCAATCTATGACATCAGTCTCTCTGTAACGATGCCGAAGACGCATACAGCGCGAAGGACGAGGAACAAGTAGGACGCTACCATAATAAATATTATTATCTTTTTCGTTCTCGTGTCTAGGTCTACTTGTAGTTCAACAGAGTCAAAATACAAAAAAAAAGAGCGGGCCGCACCAACGCGGCCAAAAGAAGACGATGCAGTAGCCGCAAAATTGTTCGAGGCCTGCGTTACTATTCATTGCGTGTGCGTGTCTCTTCCTTGCCGGAGACAGAGCCCGAGGCTCAGGCGGCCTCGTAGAAGACGTCTTGCGTCGGTGCAGTTGATCGAATTACTTCTCAGGCACAGGCGAAGCATTTGACATTCACAGCCTTCGGATTCGGTTCTGCTTCTGCAATCGTAATGTCGGATGTTGAGGAGATGGATGATAAAAATCGGTGTGACAGCATGGCGTTGACTTGACAGCAATGGACAACTACTTTTGATAGACCGCGAGCATCGACGCTCCGGGGCTCGGTCGTCCGTACTCTGATTCATTATTGTAAGTGATGTCGGTGTCGTGGTCGTCGTGAATCGGATCTAAATTTCTCTACCGTCAGGTGGATCAACGCCATTCTGCAGGAGCACATGCACGTCCTCGGTTGATCGCTCCCCATGCAAAGCCCAAGCGGCCTTCGGTACAGTGTCATTCTTGTTTTGCGATATCTTCTGAAGCGTTTTCGGTTTCATTCGGCGCAGTAACCGCATGTGCATGCTTTTTCAGAAAAATACTAAAAACCATCAGTCGCCGCTAGTATTCCCATCGAAGACATTATGTATTAATTACCCAATCTTTCAGTAGCTATCGATATGAAACCGTCTCAACTTTTTGTTTGTGCTTTTCAGCCCAACTCCCGATTCGAATGCAGGTACACTTCTCAGAAAATCTGTACTAAGTTTTATCAGTGATTGACAAATTTGCGAATTGTTTTATTTCGAAGAAGTATGCCAAGCGACAAACGCGATCTTTGTCGCTTGTACAAACTACAAAAAAAAGAAAAAGAGATGAAATCCTAATTGCTCACCGAGCTATATAGTACGTAGAAAACTTCTTCTACGAATTTACTTTGACTTTTAGTTACATAGGGAACAACAGGTCAGTCGAGGATGTCGACTAAGGTTTGGATTCCCCACCCTGAGGAGGGGTACGTGGCGGCCACGGCCACGGGGCAAGTGCAGGAGAAGAAGAACCTGAAGGGCGTCACGAAGTTGATCATGTTCAAGACCGACTCGGGGGAGATTGGGCTGAGTCCCGAGCAAATGAAGGAGGTTGTGGACGTGGACGACGAGCACTACGGTGCGCTTCCGGACGTGACCACGATCCGGAACGTGACCAACGCTGCGGTGCTGCAGACGCTGAAGGACCGCTACGCGAAGAACCAGATGTACACGTTCATCGACACCATCATCGTGTCCTGCAACCCGTTCCAGCGGCTGAATTTAGAAACGGCGGAGAACATGGACAATTTTGCCCACGCGGAAGACCCGCGCGACCACGAGCCGCACGTGTACGCGATCGGCAAGTGGTATGGGAGTGTCAGGATCGAAATCGTCAGAGTTGAAATAATTTGTGATGCATAAAATGCATGACCCGAGGTGCGTCTGTTGCAGAGCAGGCAAGTGAGGCCGATTGTAAGCCTGTTTGGGGTTACAGCTCAAGCTGCTAAAGTAGCATGAGAAAATCACTCTTCTTTGCCTAAACAGCATGAGAGACTGGATTTAGGGACCACCGAAATTTGTCATGCGCCACTTGGGAACTGGGTTCCAGCTGGCACCCATTTTATGCATGACAAATTATTTCAACTCTGTCGCTTTCAACTCTGACACATCCATAAGTGGGCGCTGGACGGGTGCCGCATTGACAGGAAAAACCAGGCGATTTTGATCTCCGGGGAGTCCGGGGCGGGGAAAACCGAGGCGTGCAAGATCCTGGTCGGTTTTTTCGCCGACTGCGCCGCTTCCAAGAGCGGCGTGCAGGACCGCATCATGCAGTGCAACCCAATTCTGGAGGCCCTGGGGAACGCGAAGACCTCGAGGAACAACAACTCCTCCCGGTTCGGGAAGTGGACCGCCTTGCACTTTGACAACGCGGGCAACATCGCGGGGGCCGCACTGGTGGACTACCTGCTGGAAAAGTCCCGGGTGCTGGCGCAGAGTTCCCTGGAGCGCGACTTCCACATCTTCTACATGTTGGTTTACTGCGACGCAAACAAGTACAAGCTGCCCGCCGACCCCAAGAGCTGCGGCTTTTTGAAGAACGGGTCCGCAAAGGCCGACGGCTTTGACGATAAGGCGGAGTACCAGGAGGTGTTGCAGGCGCTGGAGGATTGTCTCATGCCGGCCGACCAGAAGGAGCAGTTTTTGAAGATCCTAGCCGGGATTTTGCTGCTGGGCAACATTACCTTCAAGGACACGGGAAACGACACCTCCAAGTTCTCTACCGGGGGCGCCGAGGCGGCGGCGGCGCTGGACGTGGACAAGGCGGTGCTGGAAAAGGCGTGCGTTTCGAACAGGCTCCAGATCGGCAACGAAATTACCATCAAAGGCCTAAAAGTCCTGGACGCATCGAACGCCCGCGACGGGTTGGCTACGTTGGTCTACTCGCGGATGTTTACCTGGGTCATTCAATACCTGAACAAAGTCATTGCCGGGGACCACGACCAGAGCGCCGCTGGCGGCAGGGCGGACGAGATTGGGTTGCTAGATATCGCCGGGTTCGAGTCTTTCACCTTCAATACTTGGGAGCAATTCACGATCAACCTGTCCAACGAAAACTTGCAGCAGGTATAATTTGAATGATGTCGGTATAATCGCAAAAATAAAGACAAAAAAAAGTACGAGCTTATCTACTAGTTCGAAAGCGAATGCTCTTCTGAATGACAAGCCACCCAGTTACTGAGTTCATGACCAAGTTGTAAAAATGTGACGTGCTTCAGTTCTACTTCTGAAAAAGTGCAAAAACGTTGTCACAGCACTTCAACCACTACGTGTTCAAGAGGGAGATCCCGGAGTACAAGGCTGAAGAAGTCCCCTTTGAGGACATTGCGTTTACGGACAACCAGGAGATTCTGGACACGATTGCGGCACCGACAGACTCGATTATGTCGATCTGTGACGAGGAGTCCAAGGGGATGCCCAGTGAAAACGCGAAGGCGGACAAAAAGTTGATCGACAAGCTGAACAAGATCATGGGGGACAAGAAGAACAAGTGGTACACCCCCGACAAATTTGGCAGGACCGAGTTCACTTTGCTGCATTATGCCGGGCCCGTCAAATATGACGTCACGAAGTGGGTTAACGAGAAGAACAAGGATGAACCACCCCCGCTGGCCGTCGAAGTGTTGTCTACCACCAAGAATCCCCTTCTAAAAATCATCGCTGACGGCCTAGCGGAAGAGGGGAGGAGACAGAAGGCCACGGTCTCGAAGCTCTTTCGCGACTCGCTAAAGGTTTTGATCAACAAGATCAATTCCGCCGAGCCACACTTCGTTCGGTACAATTCTGGTTGTAATACGCTTTTTTGAAAACAAGTCAATTTATCTACTGTAGATGACTATGAGATCTGCACTTGCCTTTGACGATGATCTGCATCTTTGACCTAAAACTAATTTGATAGGTTCAGTCGTAGTCGTGAACCATATCAAGAAACGCCGCGTTTTTTTCAATGGAAAATAGACCGAGCGATTGCATCTCTGACGACACTTCTTTACTAGAAAAAAATCTATCTATCACACATGATACATCTTCATTGCTACTTCTACTGTATGAAAAACTCCAACAGTTGCATCAAGCCGAACGACGAGAAGAAGCCGAACATTTTCACGAAGAAGAAGGTGTTGGAGCAGCTGGTCTACTCGGGTGTGATGGAGTTGGTGAAGATTCGTCGGCAGGGCTACCCTTACCGGGCGTCCCCGGAGGAGTTCCTGAAAAAGTATCGGTGCTGCATCCCGGTCCCACTGCGGGTTGCCGCCGAGAAGAAAGTGGGGAAGAAGCTGGCTGCGACGAGCCCGGACCGGGCGATCGTCAAGGAGATCTTGGCCGGCATGGCGGACGCCTTCAGGCAACCGGAGTTGAAGATCGAGTACCAGATGGGGAAGACCAAGGTGATGATCCGCATGAAGGGCCTCAATCTGCTGGACGAGCAGGCCCGCTACGCGAAGATTGCCAAGGCGATCATCATCCAGAAGATCTACCGCGGCTTCGCCGTCCGCAAGAAAATGAAGCGCTCGCGCGAACTGAAGAAGCTGATCAGTGCCTTCATGAAGCAGTATCCGCTCTACAGCGGCCCGAACACGTCCGGCATGTCTTTGATGAAGGATGTGGCCACCATGAAAAAGAACAAAGACCAGGCCAACGCGTGGGTCCGCGAGTGCGAGGGCATCACCTTCGTGAAGGTTGCGGACGCGACCTTCTTGGGTGCGGTCATGAAGCTGGAAAAGGAGTACGCAGTATACAAGGACGCGGGGGATCTTCGCAAGTCTTTCGACATCATGGCCCTGGAGAAGGCGGTGGGCGAGCTCACCGCACTGAAAATTGAAGACGCGATCATCAAGGAAATGAGTGAGCGCTTGAAAAAGCTCGTCACGCAGGTGCCCCTCATGAACGGCATAAAAGCGCTGAAGCTCCCCCTGAACCCTGCCGACCTGGTTTCCTGCAAGCGCGCCAAACTCATTGTCGAACAGGTAAGTATCTCTACGGTTTTTTTTTGTTTCATGTTTTTTTCGCATGAAGGTGGAACGTTCAAAAATTCAGATTTAAATTGGTGGCGCGGTGTGCCTGTGGCTAACGTACTATATTTTTGCAGTAGCGCGTGGGTGTGCGTTCTTCTGTTTATGTTTAGAAGCAACATTCATGATTCTGTTAGTAAGTACACGACCTGACCACAAACGACTACAGCTGGAGAAGCATGGTTTGGACAAGGGTCAGGACACGTGGCTGCAAGAGGGCGCGTTCAAGTACGCTTCTCGGGTGTTGAAGGAGTGGGACAACGTGAAGGGCAAGTTGGACCTCGCGGCGCTGGATAATCTGGACGAGCAGACCGAGCAGCAGAAGATTGTCGTAAATCAGATCAGAAAGAAGATGGATGCGGCCAAGGCCTCGGGCAACAAAAAGGAGGTGGAGGCGCTCACAAGGTTCAAGAAGCTGGTCGCCGCGGGGCGGAAGATGACGGTGGTGAAGCAGATTGATCCGAAGTTCCTGGAGGCGCTGAACGAGGCCGTCACCACCTACGACTTCGCGGAAATTGAAAAACACATCAAGGGGTGCCTGGAGAACGGCGTGTCCCCCGAGGACATCGCGGAGCAGCGCCAGTTAATGAACAAGCTGCGCGATCCGGAGTTCGTGGGCGCTTTACTGGGGAAGACCGTGAAGGCGTTGAAGGCGGAGAAGGACGAGAAGAAGAAGCTCCAGCTGATCACCGCGTGCACAAATCTGATGAAAGCAGGGAAGGACGCCGGTTGCGACCAGGAATTGCTGACCATCTCCGACCGGGCGGTGAAAGCCGCTACCCGGGGCGAAAACATGGGCGGGACGGAAGCACAAATGCAACTCATCAATCTGTACGGGGATTTCTCGAAGTTTGAGAACATGAACCCAACCGTAGTCAAACCCGTCTATTTGGACGACGGTGCCAAGGTCATGCCGATGGAACCGGATGGCGCGCTCTCCTGGTCCAAGTACAAACTCAACGGCACGCTGACGAATGTACAGATACACAGCTTTCATATCACTGTGAAGTTCAACATAGCCGTGTCGATGTTTCGCTTGCAGTCGGAGAACTTTGTTATCCCATCATGCTGGCATACTTGTTGTTTATTAGAACCAAGAGTCATGTTGAAATACAGTTTTCTTCTCATAAAATGAAAAATAATGGCTACCAAAAAATAGCACAAGCAAATTTCGACGGTGGAATCGAAGAACGGACGGACATCATAGGGCCGGCAGGGTGCAATAATTTTGATTTCACACTAAAAATTCAAATACAGATCGACAACCCGAAGCACGTGACAACCGTGCTGTCCGCTTTTCGCAACATTTTAGGTTGGATGACGGACCACCCAGTCGACGAGAAGCGGCGTGCGCCGCTAGCGTACGCGATCGTGTGGAAGGCCCGCGACCAGCGGGACGAGATTTGCACCGAGATTTACGCGCAGGTGATGAAGCAGATCAACAACAACCCGCGGCACCGGTCGCGGCTGCTGGGGTGGAAGTTGATGGTGTTCCTCTGCAAGCTGGCGCAACCGATTCCGAATTTCAAGAACTACGTCGACGCGTTCCTCCTGCGCTACGAACTGGAGTACCGCGGGCTGAGTGACGAGCGCTCCCGCGAGATCTTCAACGTGGTGAAGCACTGCAAGGAGTTGCTGGAGAGGTGGGGAAAGGCCGGGGTGGACGACGGGGATGAGGCTGCGCCGACGGGGGATACGGAGATGAAAGTGGAGGTGTACACCTGCGAAAGCTTCGACCTGATTGCCGAGAAGGAGATCCGAAAACCGATGATCATCAAGATGCTCGCCAAGGACAAAATGCGGCTTCTGAACAAAAAGGCGATCTCGGCTTTCATGCTGTCCACCGACGTGGACCACTTCCAGGTATTCCGCGTGGACATGGACGAGCCGCCCCCGTTTGAGGCCAGCGTCGGGAAAGTGTGCAACCAGAACAAGATGGTTTTGAAAAAACGAATGCTGCGCCCGAAAGAAAAGGTCCAGTCGGGAGACATGGGCTTCTCGGATATGATCGTCGGCCAGGCCGTGTCGGATTTTTACTACTACGCCGTCCCGGAGGAAGAGTCGCGCATCGCCAAGGTGAGCGCCGCCAACGCGTTCTTCCGCCGCAACGACGGCGGCGCGCCGGTCATCAACGAGACCACGATCGAGGCGCTGGTCCCGAAGAGGTGCTTGAGGGAAAAGAGCAAGGGCGAGTGGGTAAAGTTAGTGCAGAAGTCCTACGAGACCGACTGGAAAAAGGAGGAGGAGAAGCCAAAACTGGAGCGCGTGTGCCGGGTTCTGAAAGCACACCAGAACCTGAAGGCCTTTGCCTCGCGCCAGTTTCCCTGCGTGCACAAGGTCGGATTCAAGCCGGAGGGGTTGGATGGGGTCTCCAAGGTCTGCGTGGAAACCATCACGGATTTAGGGGCGGAGGCCATGTTGATGGCAATCACGTGCAACGACGTCACCATGTTCGATATTAGGGATGGCAAGCACCTGGCCAAGTTTGGGATCGGGGCGGCTGCGCACAAGTACAAAATTAAGGCGTGGGCCGCGACGAAAAACCGGGTCTCCCTCGCCATCAATATTCCGGGCAAGAATGTCTACATGGTGCTGGAAAGTGAGAAGGCGGACGCAATCGTCAAGTTTCTCGACCGGATGGAAGAGGAAGAAAACGGGATAAAGGAGGGCAAGGACAAAAGTGACAAAAAAGACGAACGAGAAAAACGAAAATCCGGAAAGTAAAGATGAAATAGAAAAGACTGCGACGTGTTTTAGATTAAGATAGAAAAAGGGCTCTACTACTGCGACAAGATCAAGAACAAGATTTCTGAGAAGTATATTCATAAATCTCATCTCCATCAGTTCCAGTCCAGTCCCGGACGGAAATCAGACCCGTTCGTGCGAATTTGAACCACCGCAGGCGAAGCATTTTAAAACGTGTCGGTTCATTTCTCAGTACTAGGACTAGCTCTGACAATCTGCATATGAAAAGATTTTTTCGGTCCCACGAGCTTTCGTGCTCGAAGCATCTTCGGTCCGTGCTCGAAGCATCTTCGGTCCGTGCTCGGAATTAATGAGATTGTAGACGGAGTCGGTGTCGTCCTCAAGCAGTGTGAATGTGCTTACCTATTTCATCTTATCGTCAGCATGAACAGCAATAGCATCGTACGCGTAAATGATGGCATAATATCGTGCGAAGTGAAGTTGTAATACGCAACAGCGGTCGGTTTCATCGTAGCAATAGGAACTGCTCGTTCAGCCACAACCCATTCGGTACGTACCTTGGTTGCTTTCCTACATCCTCTGACGCGTCTATTTCCCGTAGTTTTTCCACCGTCGTTTAGTTGAAGATTGTATCATTGAAGCCAAAAAAAAAACCGCCAGTCACCTTCGCCCCTGTGGTAATTGTGACCCAATTTTTGACTAGCTAACATCTTTTTTATCACAAAATTTTCAAATTCCCGAACAACATCGCAATTGGTAAAACAAATTTTCGAATTTATGAGGCTGCACATGAGTAGGTGTTGGTGCCGAGCTGCCGCTGGCAGGCCGTAATTTTGCAATTATCCCTTTTGAAATTCTTTTGTACAACAATAAAACAACTTGAACTTTGTGAATTCATTCTGTAGTTTCTCTGACAAACGTAACCCGGAGTTGGAGCTAATATACCGAAGTAAAATTCACACGACGAAGTAGAGCAGAAGCCATCGCATCAATAAAATACAACACGACGAACACAATTTTCCTGGCTTCAACAAACTTTGTTTTTGCAAAACAAAATAAAGTCAAAGTGTGTGAAAAAATCGCGTTCTTTGCTTCCTAAAATTTCGTACTAAACAAGAAAGCAAACAGGAAAAACTAAAGCACATCACCAGTCCAGAAAGATGTCAACGAAGGTTTGGATTCCTCACCCCGAGGAGGGGTACGCAGAGGCCAAGGCCACGGGGCAAGTGCAGGAGAAGAAAGACATCAAGGGCGTGACGAAGCTGACCATATCAAATGTAAAAATGTCTGGGTCTGGAAAAATGCAGAGGTTTGTGATGCAGCTTTGGCATGACCCAGAAGGTCTACCATGCACGCCCTAGCATGACAGGTTTTGAGAAGGTCTCCTAATGCGTCATCCGCATGACAAAGCCCTTCTTTCGGTGGCCGGAAATGTGCACCTTTTGGCTTACATGCATGACAGATTTTTGTGTGATGTGAAATGCGCATCACAAGTTGCATCTTTCCAGACCCAGACATTTTTAGATTTGATAGACCATGTACAAGACCGACTCGGGGGAAATCGGGTTGACCCCCGACCAGTTGAAGGAGGTAGCGGACGTGGAGGACGACCATTACGCCGCATTGAACGACGTGACCACGATCCGGAACGTGACCAACGCCGCCGTGCTGCAGACGCTGAAGGACCGCTACGCGAAGAACAAGATGTACACCTTCGTCGACACCATCATTGTGTCCTGCAACCCGTTCCAGCGGCTAAACCTCGAAACCGCGGAGAACATTGACAAGTTTGCAAAGGGGTCCGACCCGCACGACTACGACCCGCACGCCTACGCGATCGGCAAGTGGTCGCTGGACGGGTGTCGCATCGACAAGCAGAACCAGGCTATCTTGATCTCCGGGGAGTCCGGGGCGGGAAAAACGGAGGCGTGCAAGATCCTGCTGGGGTTCTTCGCCGACTGCGCCGGGTCCAAGACCGGGGTGCAGGACCGCATCATGCAGTGCAACCCGATCCTGGAGTCCATGGGCAACGCGAAGACCTCCCGAAACAACAACTCCTCCCGGTTCGGGAAGTGGACGGCCCTGTACTTCGACGGAGCGGGCAACATCGCGGGGGCCGCGGTGGTGGACTACCTGTTGGAAAAGTCGCGGGTGTTGGCGCAGAGCTCCCTGGAGCGCGACTTCCACATCTTCTACATGCTGATCTACGGAGACCCGGGCAAGTACAAGGTGCCAACCGACCCCAAGAACTGCGGCTTTTTGAAGAGCGGGTCCCCCAAGGCCGACGGCTTCGACGACAAGGCCGAGTACCAGGAGGTGTTGCACGCGCTGAAGGATTGTCTCATGCCGGACGACCAAAAGGAGCAGTTTTTCAAGATCATGGCGGGGATTTTGCTGCTCGGCAACATCGTCTTCAAAGACGCGGGAAACGACACGTCCAAGTTCGCGAGCGGGGGCGCCGAGGCGGCCGCGGGGCTGGAGGTGGACCAGGGGATCCTCGAAAAGGCGTGCGTTTCGAAGAAGCTCCAGGTCGGCAAGGAAATTACGATCAAGTCCCTGAAAGTAGTTGACTCGTCCAACTCTCGCGACGGTTTGGCCACCCTGATCTACTCCCGGGTCTTCACCTGGATGATTGCCTACCTGAACAAGGTCATTGCCGGGGACGCCGGCGCCAGCGGAATCGAAATCGGGTTGCTGGATATCGCCGGGTTTGAATCCTTCCCCTTCAACACCTGGGAACAAATCACGATTAACCTGTCCAACGAAAACTTGCAGCAGGTACAACTCAAACGACCGTCAGAAAGATTTCGAGTTAATTATGAAACAATAAGCTTAGGATTAGGTCTAGTGCTAGTCGCAGAATACTCTGTCTTCTGCTTCCGACGACTTCGTTTTGTTTCAACTCTGCGACGATATCTTCATGTTAGTTTTTCCAGCGTATAATGCCATCTTTGATGGCGGTCCTGCTTGGGTTGAGGTGTTACTTGATGCACTGATCGATATTATTGGTCATCTCAAATTGAAATTGTGCGCTCCTTCTGCATATTAAGCACTGATTTGAATTTGTCCACAAAAACCTTCTCACAGCACTTCAACGACTACATTTTCAAGCGAGAGCTCCGGGATTACAAGGCTGAGGGTGTCCCCTGCGAGGACATCGTGTTCGCGGACAACCAGGAGATTCTGGACACGATTGCCGCCGCCAAAGAGTCGATTATGGCCATTTGCGACGACGAGTCCAAGGGTATGCCCAACGACAACGCGAAGGCAGACAAAAAATTCATCGACAAACTGAACAAGGTCATGGCGGACAAGAAGAACAAATGGTACACTCCGGACAAATTTGGCAAGCCCGAATTCACGCTGCTCCATTACGCCGGCTACGTAAAATACGACGTCGCGAAGTGGGTCAACGAGAAGAACAAGGACGAACCTCCGCCGGAAGCCGTGGACGTGCTGTCTACCACCAAGAACGCTTTACTGAAGGTCATCGCCGACGGCTTAGCGGAAGAAGGAAAGAAACAGAAGGCCACGGTGTCGAAGCTCTTCCGCGACTCGCTGAAGGTCTTGATGGAGAAGATTCAGTCGGCCGAGCCACACTTCGTTCGGTACTCATACTACAGATTTATGTGCTATCAGTGCGTCTTTGTAAAAGTGAACTTTACGATAAATGCAGTTCGTGTACTTAAGTACATCATTTTTACGAGTGAGTGTGAGGTGTTCATATTACATGTATAGAAATACAACATTTGGGAGTAGGATGTAAATGTAATTGTGCCGGCCCTGGACCTGGTAGGTCTAAAACTTCACAACTCATGGTCAGCAATGACCATAACGCACGGCCGCGGTACGGGCCAAGCTGAGCAGTTTCACACGGCCAGACCATGGTGTTGCTCGGAAGCAAATTGAAACTTCACTATTGAAACAACTACAGTTGCATCAAGCCGAACGACGAGAAGAAGCCGAACATTTTCACTAAGAAGAAGGTGTTGGAGCAGCTGATCTACTCGGGTGTGATGGAGCTGGTCAAGATCCGTCGCCAGGGTTACCCCTACCGTGCGCCCCCAGATGATTTTTTGCGGAAGTACCGCTGCTGCCTCCCGGGGCCGCTGCGCGCCGCCGCGGAGAAGAAGGTGGGGAAGAAGCTGGCCGCCAAGAACGCAGATCCGGCCATCATCAAGGAGATCTTGGGCGGCATGGCGGACGCCTTCGGGCACCCAGAACTGAAAATTGAGTACCAGATGGGGAAGACCAAGGTGATGATCCGCATGAAGGGTCTGCAGCTGCTGGACGAGAAAGCCCGGTACGCGAAGATCGCCAAGGCGATCATCATCCAGAAGATGTACCGCGGCTTCCGCATCCGCAAGAAAATGAAGCGCGCGCGCGAACTGAAGAAGCTGATCAGTGCCTTCATGAAGCAGTACCCGCTTTACACCGGCCCGAACACGTCCGCCATGTCCTTGATGAAGGATGTGGCCACCATGAAGAAGAACGTGGACCAGGCCAACGGGTGGGTTCGCGAGTGCGAGGGCATCACGTTCGTGAAGGTGGCGGACGCGACCTTCCTGGGCGCGGTCAAGAAGCTGGAGAAGGAATACGCAGTATACAAGGACGCGGGGGATCTGCGCAAGTCTTTCGACATCATGGCCCTGGAGAAGGCGGTGGGCGAGCTCACCGCACTGAAAATTGAAGACGCAATCATCAAGGAAATGAGTGAGCGCTTGAAAAAGCTGGTCACGCAGGTGCCCCTGATGAACGGCATGAAAGGGCTGAAGCTGCCCCTGAACCCCTCCGACCTGTCCTCCTGCAAACGCGCCAAACTCATTGTTGAAACGGTACTTACTTAAGTATTTTTACACATACTACATGCTACTGAACTTCGATATTTTGATAACGAATACGATTTCAATTTTGCATGCATCCACGGTCCACCTTGAAGGGGTTGGGGTTCTACTTCTACTATCGTCCACCTCTCCTCGATCGGTCTTCGTATATATGATTAAAAACAACAGCTGGAGAAGAACGGATTGGACAAGGACCAGGGCAAGTGGCTGGACGAGAACGCCTTCGAACACGCTGCTCGGGTCGTGAAGGAGTGGAACAACGTGAAGGGCAAGGTGGACATGGCGGCACTGGATAAGCTGGACGAGAAGAGCGAGCAGCAGAAGATCGATGAGATTCGCAAGAAGCTGGAGGCGGCCAAGGCCTCGGGCAACGCGAAGGAGGTGGAGGCTTTGACGGAGGAACTGAAAAAACTTTTGTCCGCGGGACGCAAGATGACGGTGGTGAAGGAGATTGACCCGAAGTTCTTGGACGCTCTGAACGAGGCCGTGGCGACGTATGACTTCGGGGAAATTGAAAAACACATCAAGGAGTGCCTGGAGAACGGCGTGTCGCCTGAGGACATCGCGGAACAGCGCGACGTGATGAACAAGTTGCGCGATCCGGATTTCGTGGCCGCGAAGTTGGGGGCCTCCGTCAAGGCGTTGAAGGCGGAGAAGGACGAGAAGAAGAAGCTGAAACTGATCACGGCGTGCACCAATTTGATGCGGGCGGGCAAGGACGCAGGCTGCGACCAGGAGCTGTTGGACGTGTCCGACAAAGCGGTGAAAGCCGCCACCCGGGGCGGAAACATGGCCGGGGACGAAGCACAAATGCAACTCATCAACCTGTACGGAGACTTCTCGAAGTTCGAGAACATCAACCCGGCTGTGGTCAAACCTGTGTACACGGATGACGGCACCAAAGTCATGCCCATGGAACCCAATGGCACGCTCTCCTGGTCCAAGCACAAACTCAACGGCACCTTGACGAAGGTATCTACTACTAGTTCTTTCGCGGAGGTGATGAAAATATGCAGGAGCATATTGAAGTCTACATCCACCGCTATATGGTTCATCTTCATCCATTGCGTAGAGTTCTTTGAGTCTGTGCATAGCACCAGCAGCTGCAATAGTATGTAGTGAGGTCACCGAACGGTTCTAACCGGGGAGTTTTTTTGCCACCCAGCCAGCAAAACGACCGGCAGTTTTCAAGCGGCCGAAAGCGTTTTTTGACATAAAAAAATTTCAATTATCAAGCGGGCGGGGCTTTGATATCAAACAAGCCCGGTCGAAAACTATCGACTCGCACTTGATAAAACGACGCAGGGGAGCCGGCAAAAGGGGCGCCCTTCTGCGGAGCCCACCGCCTTAGTTTCTGGCGATTTGGGGCGCCCAAAAAGAGGCGCGCAAAAAACGCGCCCAAAATCAGAACAGCGCAACAGCATGGCACGGCCGCGATTTCGAAGCATTTTGGGCGGCCGCGAAAGCGGCCGTCTTTTCGCCGGTTTCAGAGCCTGGGGAGCTTTGCAAAAAGCGCCGGCGTGAAAATAAAAACGCAAAAGAGAAAAAGCGCGCCAGACGCGCAAAGCCAACCCGCATGCTACGGGCCCGATTTTTCTTCGCTTTTTGGGCGCCCCCCGTGGCGCCCGGATCGGCCCCATAGCATGGGGGCTCGCTTTCGGAAAGGAATTTTGGAAATGTGCCAAAATTTGTGACGTTTCTCAAGTGACCGCCATACCGTGCGGCATAACGTTACTCACGGCGGTATGGCGAGCCCAGAAAAAGCAAAGCCGCGGCCAAGGCGGCGGTCGGAAAAAAAACGCCCACGACCTCACTACCCCCGCCCCGGCGGCTATATTTGGTATGTACGCACGTTATCGGAAAGCGCGGCATCTCTGTGTCGGTCCTTACTCATGATGTAAATGCACACGACTTTTTTTGGTCGTTGTGCTGGTTGTGCTCGAAACGCAAATTTCTAGGGCCATGTAAAATTGTCCTCGGTGGCAGCGAACCATACATGGGGCACCCGATCGGACGGGTAGGGATAAAATTAAAAAAGAAAAACATATATTTTCATGAAAATTTCAAACTGAAACACAGATCGACAACCAGAAGCAAGCTACCACCGCTCTGTCCGCGTACCGCAACATTCTCGGTTGGATGACGGACCACCCGGTCGACGAGAAGCGGCGCGCGCCGCTGGCGTACGCGATCGTGTGGAAGGCCCGCGACCAGCGCGAGGAGCTGTGCACCGAGATGTACGCGCAGGTGATGAAGCAGATCAACAACAACCCGGGGCAGCGGTCCCGGCTGCTGGGGTGGAAGTTGATGGTGTTCATGTGCAAGCTGGCGCAACCGATTCCGAATTTCAAGAACTACATCGACGCGTTCCTCGTGCGCTACGAACTGGAGTACCGCGGGCTGGACGATGACCACTCCCGCGAGATCTTCAACGTGGTGAAGCAGTGCAAGGACTGCCTCCAGAACTGGGGCAAGTCCGGGGAGGAGGAGGAGGAGGCCGCCCCGGCGGGCGACGCGGAGATGAAGGTCGAGGTGTACACCTGTGACAGCTTCGACATGATTGCGGAGAAAGAGGTGCGGAAACCGCAGATCATCAAAATGCAGGCCAAGGACACCATGAAGCAGCTGAACAAGAAGGCGATCTCCGCCTTTTCCCTGTCCACCGACGTGGAGCACTTCCAGGTGTTCCGCGTGGACATGGACGAGCCGGCCCCGGACGAGGCCAGCGTCGGGAAGGTGTGCAAGAAGAACAAGATGGTCTTGAAAAAACGGATGCTGCGCCCCAAGGAGAAGATTCAGTCCGCGGACATGGCCTTCTCGGACATGATCGTCGGCCAGGCCGTGGCGGAGTTCTACTACTATGCGGTCCCGGAGGACGAGTCGCGCATCGCCAAGGTGGGCGCGGGCAACGCGTTCTTCTGGCGCGGGGACAGCGGCGTCCCGGTCATCGACGAAAAGACCATCGAGTCCCTGGTGCCGAAGAAGTGCATCAAGGCCAAGAGCAAGGACGAGTGGGTGAAATTGGTGCAGAAGGCCTACGAGAGCGACTGGAAGAAGGAGGAGGAGAAGCCGAAACTGGAGCGCATGTCCCGCGTGCTGAAGGCGCACCAGAATTTAAAAGCCTTTGCCTCGCGCCAGTTTCCCTGCGTGCAGAAAGTGGGCAGCAAGCCGGAGGGGCTGGAGGGGGTGTCCCAGATCCGCGTGGAGACCATCACGGATTTGGGTGCGGCGTCCATGTTGATGGCGGTCACCTGCACGGATGTTACGCTTTTCGACAGCAAGGACGGAAAAGAGCTGGCGAAGTTCGGGTACGGGGACTCGCACCGACACAAGATTCGCGCGTGGGCGGCGGTCAAGAACCGGGTCTCGCTGGCCATGAACATCCCGCAGGGGGATGTGTACATGGTGTTGGAAAGTGAGAAGGCGGACGAAATCGTCAAGTTCCTCGACCGAGCCGAGGAGGAGGAGAGCGGCAAAAAGAAGGGCAAGGACAAAAAGGACAAGAAGGACGAACGAGAAAAACGAAAATCCGAAGGCGACAAGAAGGATAAGAAGGAAAAGAAGGACGACAAAAAGGAAAAGAAGGATGACAAAAAGGACAAGAAGAAATAGGCGGAAGATAAAGCATTTCAGAATTTTTATCGCCACACGTACGAAAATCAACATTCTTCTTTACATGTTTTTCACATAAGTACTTACCTACTCAAGGAATTTTGTACATGAAATTTGCAGTCTGGTGTAGCACTAGCGATCTTGTTATTTCGACGACGTTCGCGAGTCATAAACTAAAACTCGCTTGCGATGTCGTGGTCGTAAGGTAAATGCTATGCAACCCGCTGCGTGAGTCAGTAGTCATTTTCTTTTTTGTCTGATACATCACAACACACAAAACACAGTTGAAAACCATCGCAACAGTTTTTTACACATCGTTCAACTTTTGAGTTCCTTTTTCGTTTTTATACATAGATTACACTTCTTCTAGACGTCTGTCTACTTATTCTGGCGCTCACGTTGTCACGAGGACCGCGAACGCCTTGCTCCATTGTACACTAAATTACAATTCATAAAGTTCAGGCTGTGCTTGTGCTTCTTTTTGGTTGTAATTCATGTAGGATACTAAACTAATTCCGTGCGCAATAAAGGGTGAAGTAGCCACGGTCAGTTGTTTATTTAGTTCATTTTTTCGTTCACATTTGCACATCTTTTTCGGTATCTTTACATAAAATTTCAGAAAACCCTACTTCACGACGACGATCAGAGTCCGACCCAACGGCGATCATCATATGTTTACGGATGAAAAATGCAACAACTCCATAGCGTTAGCGCACGAGATGAACGCTTCTGTCGAGAGCCACAGTCGCACTCACAACCCCCCGCAATGCATTTTTTATTGTTGTACTGAGAAACCCCCAAGAAGAACGACTAACTACTTGTATTTGTAAAGTAAGAGCAGCACTACATTCTCGCGCATAGTACTAAAATTACAGAGCTCTTCCAATTATCGAAGTACGAAAAATTTGTCTTTCTAGTTTGGCTGTCAAAGTAGAAGGTGGAATCAGCATGAATTATCGGAGCCGGGTACTAGTCGCGCAAGGTCTATCTCAAGATTTACTTTGAGGCAATTTTCCAGAAAGCCCACAACATTTTGTTGTGAAAAAGGAAGAGTGAACATTAACTCTGCGTCTGCACAGCTAGACTGCAGCAGTCTAGTAGATCCCGGGCTCGGAATTACAATTATTAGCACCGCATGATATCTAGAAGGTAGCGACTTCCAAACAGAAAATGCAAAATGAAGCGCACCATTGCAATGAACAGAATTCTGGGTGCTACAAGACAATACCTCCACTTTTCTTTTCCAAAACTAAGTACATCTAGTCGTCCCCGCTACTGCTACGCCTGAGTGCAGCTTTTTCGTGTTTTCCACATGATGGACAACTGTGTTCTCTATCCGCGACCGCGGCTTCCGTGCCTGTTTTGTGAATGCAACAACGGGTAGTTGTAGCAGTGCCAGTGCTTATTGCGCGGTTCCTGGTATTTTACTGGCCTAGTAGGAGAGCTGCAGCTGCTTCCTCGTCTATTACGAGATGCATAATGAAAATTTCAGTTCTTAAGGAAATATGCCGCATGGTGGCCTCCATGGATGTTCCAAGATTTTCGTGGTTCGCCAGAAGATCTATTCTCCCTCAGCTCTTTGTCTGACTGGCGCTCTCCGCCGCAATCAAGCCATGCGCTAGTATGAGCTCGGTTGAATTTTCCTGCATCTAGATCTATTTCCATTCGTCGTGTTACAACTTTCCTCTCCCGTGAACAAGATTAGGAGTGGCGACCCAGGAAGATGGGGATCGCACTCGGTTACAAGAACAATGGTGCCGCTACAAACAGGATGGCTGCAGGACGCTTGTCTGATCAACATCGTCGAGCCATCGAACGAGTTATTTTGAGCGCGGCGCCATCAACATCGTCCGGGAGTTCCACCTTTGGTTTTTCTGAAAGGCGTCGCACCAGTCCTTGCGGCGATATTGTTCGAACAAAAGACTGAAGGAAACGTCAAACAATTAGTTTCTTGAACGACCTGGGGCTGGGAAGCAGTTGTATTACGACGTAAGGAGCCACTTGCTCCATCACGACGACACCACGATCAAAGCCCTGAGGATCGATCCTACAACACGAGTAGGACGAGACAGTGGCGCAATAGTGTTGCATGGACCACGAGGAGCAGCGCGCGGTCGCCTTGCTCGTCCCGTAAAGTTCTTTTTACAGGATTCTTCTCTTGTTCATCTCGTGGTCGTTGATCAAAGCTGTCGAAAGCTGTCGTCATGTCGGAGAAATTCTGGGTGCCCCACAAGAGCCTGGTCTTCACGCCAGGCTTTGTGTCGGAAGAAGGCGACGGCAAGACTACGTACACGTGCGATAATGGAGACACCGTCGTCTTGCCCACCTCAGAAACTCTTGGGGTGGTGCACGATGAGCACCTGCAAGGCGTGGGCAATATCGTTTCCATGGAAACGGTTTCCCCTGGGGCTATTCTGGAAACATTGAGAAAAAGGTAAACTATCGTATAAAGTGAAAAAATAGATAACAAGATGAAGAAGCAACTTCCACTGTGTTATCTGCATGAAAGAGTTACCTGTGCTTGTGCGGAATAAAGATAAACCAATCGCTATAATCGCACGAAAAGTTTACAACTTTCACGAAAATCCAGGTACGCTCGCGACGAGATATACTCGAATGTGTCCTCCATCGTGATTGCGGTAAACCCGTTCCAGATATCGTACGAAAAAAGTGTTTCACTGTAAGGATTTTGCAGGTTTTGCATCACAGGTTTGCTCTACATCACAGAGAAAATTTGCCATGCGAGATTCCTAAGGGAAAACACAGCCAGAAATCCATTGTCTTGCATGTGTAGCAAGACAAACACTTCTCAGATGCACTTTCTGCATCACAAGTTCACAGTGAAACAGTTTTTTCTTGCGATACCAGATGCTCAACCTGTACTCCTCGGAAATCGTGGATGTCTACGCCAAAGCGGCGGACTATGGAAGCGTCAGGATTGAAATCGTCAAGGTTGAAATAGTTTTAGTTTGTGATGCATAAAATGGATGCCAATTGAAGCCCAGTTTCCAAGTGGCGCATGACAAACTTGGGTAGAGCCTAAATCCAGTTTGTCATGCTGTTTGGGTAAATGCGACGCGTTTTGTCATGCTACTTTAGCAGCTCTATTTCTACACCTCAACAGGCTTACAATCTGCCTCCCTTGCGTCCTCTGCAATAAAGACAGTTTTTGCGTTGCATTTAATGCATGACAACTTTGTCGATTTCAATCCTCCTGACACATCCATACGGACACCACGGAACTTTCGCCGCACATTTACTCCATCGGCGCGAACGCCATCCAGGGGCTCTTTGACTCGGGTAAGGACCAGGCGATCCTGATCTCCGGCGAGTCCGGTGCGGGGAAAACCGAATCCACAAAGACCGTCCTCGGGTACATTGCCGAAGTAGCGGGCAGCCGGGCGGGTATCGAGGCAAAGATCCTCTCTACAAACCCTCTCATGGAAGCCTTCGGAAACGCAAAAACTTCAAGAAACAACAACAGCTCCCGGTTCGGAAAGTGGTGCGAGGTACTTATGCTTACGCACTGGTAGCGAGTGCCGCTTTTGCTGTCGAATATGTAACTCCAGAGGTCACATTCTTCCTCTTTTGTTTGTCTATACAAAAAGAGAGAATCAAGAGCGCCCGAGCATGAGAATATGCTTGGAAGATCTACTTGCACTTATATTCATCTGAAAAGTGAGTGACGCTCTCCTTTGATTGTACTCCTGTAACTGCAACAACTTCAGGTAAAGTTCGATACGAACCTTTCCATTATGGGGGCTTCGATCACCGATTACCTTTTGGAGACGACGCGCGTGATCGACCAATCCTCCGTGGAGCGCAACTACCACATTTTCTACAGCCTGCTCGCGGGTGCGGGGAGCAGCAGCGACGAGTTTCATTTGGACTCGGACAACCCGAAGGACTACCAGTGCCTCAAGAACGCCTGCACGAACGCGGACGGCATCAACGACGCGGAGGACTGGGAGCAGCTCCAGTCCGCACTGCAGGAGCTCGGGTTGTCGTCGAAAGAGTGCCAGGCCATGTTCTCCATCGTCGCGGGTCTCCTCCACATGAGCAATTGCGTGTTCCAGGACGCGGAGGTGAACGGGGGCGAGGGGTGCAAAATCCAAGACGCCGAGGCTTGCAGCAAGGCCGCCGCGTGCTTTTCGTGCGACAGTGAGACGTTGCTCTCGTCGCTGGCCTTCAAACGATTGGTCGTCGGGAAGGACGTCACGCACGCGCCCCAGCCCTCGGCGAAGGCGCACGTGTCCAGGGACGTAACCATGAAACTCTTCTACGGAAAGCTCTTTCGCTGGCTGGTGCAGCGGCTCAACGTCACGCTCGTGGCAGACACAGGTAGAGAAGTTGAAGTTCTACTAAGGTGGTGGATTGGCTTTATCGAATATCATTTGCCGCTCCATTTTCGTTTTCCGCACAACGAACTGCTTGCTCATTTTCTGCAGTTGTTCTCGCGTCTACTTGGCAGAATCAAAATCTACGATTTCACCACCTCTTGCTGTCAACATGCACAAATACTGAAAATGCAGCCGGCTCCTCAAAGGAATTCCGGCGCATTGGGTTGCTCGATATCGCCGGTTTCGAGCATTTTGAGCACAACAGCTGGGAGCAGCTGTGCATCAACCTGTCGAACGAGTGCCTGCAGCAACACTTCAACGCATTCGTCTTCAAGACCGAAATGGCCGATTACCAAGCGGAGGGGGTCGCGATAGACGAAATCAAGTTTGCAGACAACGAGGACATCCTAGAGTTGATTCAGGGCAAAGCGGGCTTGATGTCTTTGCTGGACCAGGAGTTGTCGGTGCCAAAAGCGACTGACAAAACCTACGTCGCGAAGTGCACCAAGGCTTTTGGCGGGACCCCGCCCGCCGGTTCCTCGGACTCTACGCCGAGCTCGTCGTCGTCCTCGTCGTCGTCCAGCAAGGCTCGCTACAAGCCGATGCGGCACGCAGACAGTGTGGAGTTCACGCTGGACCACTATGCGGGCGAAGTGAAGTACAACTGCACTGTATCATTTGTAAAAACGTCCCCACCTCCCCATAGTTGTCATGCAATTCTGCATGCCAAAAAAGTTTCTCATGCGGAGCCCTATGAGAAGCATTTGCTGTTCGTGTTTCGGAATTTGTGATGCTAGAATCAGCAGGCTATGCTAGATCTGTGATGCTTCTGAACTAGCAAAAAAGGATTACACTACGAGGACAAACTTGTCATGCCAAACAAGCAAAGCTGGTTGATTTGTCTAGCAGATTTCGCATCTTGACTCTGGTGTGGGGACGTTTTTACTCAGGATACACTGGGTGGCTGCTCAAGAACCAGGACACGCCGCCCTCCGAGGCCGTGGACCTGATGAAGCACAGCAACAACCTATGAAAGTGCACAACTCCCCCTCCCCCTCATTTGTATAGCATGAACGGCAATACAAGCGTCAGCACGAGTGGCGGTTTTGCATGACAAACTTGCACAGGACGAGTGTAGTACTATTTTTTGGGCTTCCGGAGTCTGTCATGCAAACAGTGCCACAAGGCAGCGCCTGGATTTGAAGTTTAGCATGACAAATGAGGGGGAGGGGGAGCTGTGCACTGTCATACAACCTGATCCTCCAAAAAATCGGGCGCGACATGACCGAGGAGCAGGAAGCCGCGTCCAACGCCGCGGGGCGCGGTCGGGGGCCCGGGAAGAAGAAGACGGTGGCCATGAGCTTCAAGGAGTCCCTCAGCCTGTTGATGGACAACATCCACAAGTCGCAGCCGCACTTCATCCGCTGCATCAAGCCCAACGCGGACAAGGTGGCCAACAAATTCGTGCCCAACATGGTATACGAGCAGCTTATCTACTCGGGCGCTATGGAAGCGGTGAAAATCCGGCAGCAGGGGTATCCGCTCCGCATGCCGATCAAGGACTTCCTCGGGCGCTACCAGTGTGTCGTCCCCTTGGAGTTGCGCAAAGAACTCGAGGGCAAAACCGGGAAACCGATCTCCGCACCAGAAACACTCGCCCTGGCATTTGAGAAGCTGCCAGTGTTGCTCGGGGATTGTACTTACTACTGCTTCGAATTTTTATCCGGTCTATGTAAAAATTTTGTGAGACTCGCATTGTGTTCATCATCATTATCGCGATTTTTGTTTCGCTCTTTATTCATCTCCATCTGGTCATGTTATGTGCTTGTGACCTAGTAGCTACAAGAAAACATGACAGCCCGCGTGCGCGCGAAGGATTTCCAAATGGGAAAGACCAAGGTTTTTTGTAAGTCCGCGGCGCAGAGGGCGCTGGATACCGCGAGGCGGTTTGCCTACACGGGTGTGGTCACGAAGATTCAGCGCGTGTACCGAGGTTTCGTTGTGCGGAAACAGGTAAAAGCGAGCCAAAAGTACCAGCGCGACATTTCTGCCTACATCAACAAGCACAAGTTGTACCAGGGCGAAAACCAGCACGGATGCGTGGTGTTCGGTGCCCTCCAGGGCTTGCAGTCGGAGATCGAACAGTGCAACGTGCTGCTCGCCCGGGCGTACAAGGCCTACCCGGTGCCACCCATGTGCAAAACCCTGGAAGAGCTGTTACACAAGATGCAGCAGGAGCGCGACCTCTTCCAGGGACTGCCGAAACTGCTCAAGTCCATGGACTTCGTCGAACTCGACCAGGCGCTGGCGGTCTTTGCGAAGCTAAAAATCAAAGCGTCAAAGGATTTGGACGAAATCAAATGGCGGGCGTCGCAGATTGCCATCCAGACGCCGCTCATCAACGCTTTGCGAAGTATCGACGCGGCGGAACCAATTCCAGTTGACAACGAAAAGGCGATTTTGTCCGTGCGCAATCTGATAGAAACCTGCCAGCAGTCAGGCTTGGGGGAGGACGCGTAACATCATCCATACGAATCAATTTTTGGTTTTACATCGAGCATGAACGTAGGAGAAAAAACTTCAAATTCCGCTCTTCGTCTTCATATTCATTCTCGGGAACAATTGTAGTTGCTCGCCACTCGCTGGTGCTGTCGTGTAATAAAGCGAAAAAAATCGATTGTTACAGGTCAAAGTGGCTGGATCCCGAGGCACACAAGCTGTATGTCACGGTTGCGAAGTTGCACACCGATGTGTGCTCGCGAGTGGATGCAGCAAAAATCGAGCAAGCCCGCCGGGATGCCGAGGAGGCTCGCGCCGCGGAAGAAAAGCAACGTCGCTCCGAGCTCGAAAAACAAGAACAGGCTGCCGAGGCCGCCGGTGACAGCCACGAAGCGGCCAAGATACGGAACACGATCAGGAGGATGACGCGCAGCAGCCGGCACATGACTGTCACAAAGATGACGCCCATGCAACAAGACCAGGTTTGTGGTTTTGAGTACTTCTACTTGATCTTGATGAACTTGAGGGTACTTCTCCCTTGCCATGGTGTACGCTTTGTTTGTCTGCGTACGTGTTTCGTTGATGGTACTTACCCTGCCATGCACACACCTTCCCATCAGCACCACGTGCATTGGTGCCACTGCATGAGAAATACGCCATTAACATTCGTTTGCAACTGACACCAGATTTGCGGGCGTCTCGCGGATGCCGTCGCGGAAATGGACCAGAAAGCCCTGAGTACCTTGCTGGAGTGCGCCGTGTCGAATGGTATAGCCGCCTCCGAGCTGGAAGAAGCCCGCGCCATGTTCCGGAATTTGCATTCCGATGAATTTGTCAAAGAGGCGCTGCAAAAGTGCTACGACGAATACAAGCAAAACTTTTGTTCTCCCAGTGCCAGCCCGGAAAAGTCCTCGTCATCCTCCACAAGCTCTTCTAGTCCGAGCAAAATGAACGGCATCCGAGAGAAGCAGCTGCTGGTGAAAAAAGCCGCGAATCTGCTCCGGGCCGGTAAGGGTATGGACCTGGATCGGGAGCTGTTGATCGAAATAGAGAAGTGTGTGCGCAAAGACCAGGGCAGACGAGGCACCATGTTTGGGAAGGACGCTACGCAGCGCGACCTGGAGACGGCCATCTCGGTGTACGGGGATTTGGCGACGTGCCCGTTGTGCAACCCCAAGGTGGTGCGCACGCTGCGCCTGGAAGACGGGCGGGTCTTCCATCCCATGGACAGCGGCGGCATTCTGTCGTGGTCGCGCTCCAAACTTCCGTATTAAATGTAAAAATGTCTCCTGGGTCTGGAAGAATGCGCGATTTGTCATGCAGCTTCTCCATGACCCATGAAGTCTGGAATGCAGGACCTAGCATGACAGATTCTGTGCGATCTCTCTCATGCCTATCCTGCATGAGAAACTCCCTCCCGACTTGGTCAAAACTGGACGACTTTTGGCAGTCATGCAATACAGATTTTTGCATGCTCTAGATTTAGCATGACAAGTTGCATTCTTCCCGACCCAGACATCACTTTTACATTTGATATTCCGGGACCCCTCTCCATCCTGCCGGATACCTACGCGCAGGCGGCCATGTCAGTACACCGAAATATTCTCGGTTGGATGAATATGGAAGCGTCAGGATTGAAATCGACAAAGTTGAAATAATTTCTCATGCAGAAACTGCAAGGCATGAAGTGCCTGTCTTGCCGGGATGGCAAGTGAGGCAGATTGTGAGCCTATTTAGGGTTTGGGATAGAGCTGCTAAAGGAGCATGACAAAAGCAGTCTTCTGTGCCAAAACAGCATGACAAACTGGATTTATACGGTTGCGAAATTTGTCATGCGCCGCTTACAAATTGGGCTTGCAACTGGTATCGATTTTATGCATTACAAGCTATTTCAACTTTGTCGATTTCAACTCTGACACTCCCATAATGAACGACCGACCGGTAACGGAGGCGAAGCGCATGCCGCTCGCGTACGCCATCGTGTTCAAGGCAAAAGGAGAACCCATCCTGCGCACGGAAATCTACCTGCAGCTGATGAAGCAAATCAACAACAACCCAAATCGAAGAAGCGAGCTGCTTGGTTGGAAGGTATTTCAAATTGCGCCTGCGTTACTTGTGATTTAAGGATTTATCGATCTGTATCAATCTGTATGCATTTTTATTTGCTCCATCCGCTAGAAAGGAAAAGGTATACCGTAGTTCTATTTGAAACGCAACGACGCGTGCTGCTGTAGTTATAGTTTTATTTGTTAGCACATGTGGTCTAAAAGGCCACGACGTCCAAGGGGCTACCTTTTGTAGCCCTCACGCATAGTTGCACTTTTCGAGGAGAAGTGCAAGAATTCCATTGGTAGTGAACAAATTTTTTTTACGTATGAAAGACACTCGCGGTGAGAAGTAAAAGTTAGTAACACATCAGTCCAAACGTAATGCAGCGGCAGCGCAGAATTTTTTTTTTACCAAACATCAAATTAATTTCGTCCGAACGGACCTCCAATTGGTTATGAAAATGAAATCAGGTGATGGAGTTCATGTGCCAGTACGTCGAGCCTGCGGGGGAGCTCCTGGAGTATATTCGTGCCTTCTTGATGAAGCACAAAATGCGCACACGAACGGAAGAAGGCTGCGCCGAGGTACTGGCAGTGGTGTCGCAGTGCTTCAAGCACATGGAGAAGTTCGAGGTGACAACGATAAGAACTGCAAAAGTCTCGTACTCGTAGTATTGCAACACAAATTAGCTCAGCATGACAAAAGGAATTTGTGATGCTGATTTATTAGCTTGAAAATGAAACTCGTCTTGCATGACTGCGATTAGTACGAGTACGATGCTTTTGCACAGGATAAACGAGCCCGGACAACGATGGTAGTTCGAACGTGAAGAAAATTCCCGTCACCGTGACGCTGATGGACGACACGACGCGGAAATTTCAAGTCACGGAGCCGATGCAACTCGCGGACCTGGGTTCCAAGCTGGCCGCCCAGCTGTCCATCTCCACGCACCCCGCGGAATTTTCCTTCTTTCAGGTGACGGAGGGGCTGGATCAGCACCGTTTGATTCCCGACCACGCGAACGTGTGGGACCTGCTGGCCAAGTGGAACAAGCTCTATGACGCGACGCGACGGCAGTCGAAATTTCTCTGGAAGCGCCGCTTTCTGAAACCGAACGAGCTCCTTTCTCCGCACGACATTATGCACGCCCACCTCGTCACAAGGCAAGCACGCCTGGAGTGGTTGAAATATCCCATACCAGAGTCGGACGAACAGGTACCTAGTATGACTTGATTTCTTGGTGTGGGGCCTACTTCCGTGACTATATGAATGCCAACCTATGTATTGCTATTCCTATTTCTTGAGTTTCAATTTGTGCTAAAAATTGCAGATCGCTGCTTGCGCTACCGCAGTGTGTTTACTGGAGCGCAGCACGTGGAAAAGACAGCTGGAACAAGGCTTTTCACCTGACGAACTGCGAAGGCTGATTCCTGATTCGCACTTGCAGCAAAGTAAAACGAACTGGTCAGAAGCCATACTGAAACAATGGGAAACGACCTTTAAATATTACGCGAAGCAGCCACCAATCGAGATCATGAGCAGGTAAAGAATATGAGCAATTTTTACGTATCAGGTTGCTATCGACAAGCTGCAGCAGGTTTTTCGGAATTGTTTTTATCGAAAGTTCAATTTGTGGCGACCCGCCTCCAGAACATGACGAATGAAATTTCTTTGTGCCCTTACGGTGATTCAGAGAGAAGAGTGGATGTCCGAAATCTGCTCCATCCACAGGTTCATGACTACCTTTCAATCGCTTCGGGTGTACGGGGGTTACTTCTGGTTGGGTGAGCAGACGATTGAGCTTTCGGATTCCGATCGCGCGATGACGCGCATGCCTTCCGACATGCTGATTGTGAACAAGAAGGAGCCAAACGGGAAATTCTGGATTTCCGTCACCCTGGACGGCATCACATTGGTCTCCACCGACCGCGAGTCCAATTTTACGCGCAAATTTTCATACGCGGAAGACTCCCAAGAAAGGCTGCTGAGGTACTTACTTGTCTGTTGTCGTGAGAGCATCGGACTACGACGTTGTACTCCAAATAAGATGAAGTTCACATCGGAGAAAGATGAACACCAACAGATCTATTGCAGTTTTCTAAAGTGGAATTCTTGCAATGGGAATGGAAATGCTTGCTTTATACTTTCAGATGGGGCGCGAAGGGGAATCTGCTGCAGCTGGTGGTGCAGGCCTTTGGCAGTAAGCGAGAGCAAAAGATGAAGGGTCGGCTCCCACTCACGGTCGTTTTTTACTGTCCCGCTGCGATCGACGTTGCCTACTTGATTCACAGAATTTCCGCGGATTGCTTTCTAGGCCAGGCAGAAGAGCAACGGGCGAAGGAGGAGGAGGAAAAAGAACGAAAAGCCAAAGAGGCGCGGAAATTCCTACAGGACGCACAGGCTGCCAGTAAGGAAACCATGCGTCGCGAGAAGAAGGAAAAAAAAGAAAAGAAGGAAAAGAAAAAGGAGAAAAAAGAGTCGCGCGACGACGGGGCGGAAAAGAAAAAGAAGAAAAAGGAAAAGCGAGAACTACGCGAGGAGGACGCAGCTGCTGAGAAAGAGAGAAAGCCTGCTTCCGCGCGAAGCCGGGACTCACCGTCGCTAAACCAGAACGCGGATCTCATCGGTGCGTGAGGCAGCGGGTACCGAATCGGCGCAAGTAAAGCATTTACTGTAGGTCTTTGCTTGGACTCCTTCCGCGTACAAGTAGATGATGCGCAAAACCACGCTTTGGTGGCTATGTGTCTATCTCTTTAATACAGCGAAGGCAGGTGATGTCTAGCTGATATGGGAAGATGCTCAAGATGCAATGATACTTCTGAATACTTTGCTCCCCTCAACAGATACTTCTCTACTGCCCGTGTAAAATAGCTCCGAAAAAATAAAAAAACGTAGTGGCTTCGCAATCGCACGGCCACCAATTATTTTTTTGATTTTGACATCCGAAAGACGAGCTTAAAAAAAGTTTATGCGGCACACCAACTCCAGCTTCACCGCGTTTCACCTTTACCGTTGGTGTAATGCGATAATATCTCCCTGTTGGAATCTGAATCTTATGAACCGTCATCGTGCACCTGCACCACGCTCTTCTCGCATGTTGTAGGTGCTGTGCGCTGCAGCGGGAGCGGGTGCGCGACCCGTACATTATCGTAAATCTTTCTTTATTCGAACATCCACCAGCATGTATCTGAAACGTAATAAAATACACTTGTTTTACTTTTGCGACTTGCTCTCGACGGTATACGAAAAGCAACCTGACACGATGACGAGTACTTTTATTTGATTTAAAGCAAATTTGCGATTGACTTCGGCCGGGCAAGCTCCCGGCAGAGTCATCACATACCTCCACATCTAATGTAAATGATAGACAACAAGCATCCAAGAAAAAAACATTGTAGGTGTAACTTTTTTGGAGGAACAGCATTACAAGTTTGCCTGACATGACAGCAAAAACCTGTCATGCGCAGATAGTACGTGAAAACGCCCTTTAATGGACCCGGCGATGCATGCCAAGCACGACAGACGCAATCATCTTGCATGTTGAGCATCACAAATTTACACTAACAACGTTTTTTTCTTGGATAACAAGCATCAATATGTCGTCACTGATAGCACGCCACCAGTTTTTGACACGAGTTTTGGCAGGATACTAGAGCACGGCAAGTAGCTATCGAGGAGCCATCTTGCAGTACCAGTAGAAGATGATCTCGGACCTTCTGGCAATTTTGGAGAACAAGAAGAATCTCGTGCAGTGTGAGACCGGCCACACATCGACCAGTACTTGGCGACAACTAGCACGTTGCGCCACGACGACATTTAGAAGGCCTTACAACATCGAAATCAAGATTTCGCGTCGAGAGGCCACAGGTTAGTGAATATAGCTGTTGTTCGTCGCGGGATAGTTCGTTTCTGTCAAGTACCCCCATATACTTAAGCTTGTGTAGTTGTAGTACCATCTCTGCAGCGGCCGGGAAGATCGCTAAAAAACATCGCATAGATCATACATTCAGAATCGCTTTCGATTTCGTTGAACCCTTGCTCGTCCTTGAATCGTTATCGTCATCGCATCAAATGTTCGACAGTGTCGGCCTCGTGATAATGTCTCGGGGGGATAAATCATCGTGTGTTGCTAGCAATGTACCTGAATGCCGGCAGCACGTGAAGCGTCCTAAAATGATATACAGGAAGAAGAAAGAAGTCTTGTAGCTGCGGGTACGGACGAATTCAATGACCTTATCAAAGTATGTTTAAGAAGAAGAATCCGACCTCTGGTCGGCATGGAGGTGCTAGCGGCGGCTCTCTTGGTGTGTGTTATGGTGCAACGGCAGCGGGAGCGGGACTACAGCGACATTCTGCCTGTCGGAAATATTACGCAGTGATTTGGACGGTGATTTGCACTACCTTGTCTGCTGTAGAGAGCCGTGATGCGGAAACCGCCGGTCCCAAGAACAAAGGAAAAGAGGAACAAGCCTCCACGGTTGCAACACCTCCAGGATGGACAACGTCTAGTACAACCGGGCACAAGCACTTTGTTGACCCCTTGCCACGGGTGTCGTTTCCAGTGCGCCCACTCCCGGGATCCCTCGTCGAGCCCATGCAGATCCAATTACGAACAAACAAAGGAGCAGGAGGCGGATTCTCGTTTCGCAAATCGGTGGAGCGTTTTGGGTGGGGTCCCGCGGAAAAGGACGACTCCCTCAGCAGCCGGCGCCGAAAGATGCGGGAACAGATTTTGGAGGAAGAGATCGTTCCGCGCGAGAATGCGCTGCCGGACCAGACGCGGCACCGGCCCGGTTTTGCGAACCTTCCCTTGCACCAGCGAAGTGTCCGCCGGGAGTTGGAGTGGAATTGGTTGCTCTTTTACGACTACTTCTTCGAGACCGTCTTGACCACCCTCGCGCTCTTTTTCGCGGGTATCCTCGCCTCCGCGTCGGGGATCGGGGGCGGGGGAATTTTCGTGGTGGTGCTGATGTTTTGCAACGACATGTCGCCGCACCAGGCGGTGCCGCTGTCCAAGGCGATCATTTTCGGGGGGGCCATGCGCGTGATCGTGGCCAGCTGTGGTCTGACGGTCGAGAAGCTCACCGGGTTTGTGCGGGAGTGCGGCCGGGTCTTCCTGGTTTCCTCGCCACACCCCGCTGCGCAAGGCCCGACGCACGGTCGCGGAATCCCCGACGCCATTGCCTTTGTGGAATCCGTATCAAATGCAAAAATGTCTGGGTCTGGAAGATTGCGAGATTTGTCATGCAGTTTTTCCAAGCTCCCCCACGTCTGGAATGCAGGGACTAGCATCACAGGTTCTGCAGCTCCTTGGTGATGCGTATTCTGCATGAGAAATGCCCTCTCAGCATGGCCAGAAGTGGATACCTTTTGCACGTTATGCATCACAGATCTCTGTAGGATCTGAAATACGCATCACAAGTTCGGATGCTTCCAGACCCAGACATTTTTGCATTTGATAATCCGAAGAAGAGTCGCCATCGAAAAAAGAAGGAGGGAACACGAACAGCGTTTTCTCGCCCATGCGATCCCGAAACGCGAGTAAAGCAGGTACATAGGAGTTCCGTCAGTGTCAGTTTTACCAGTAGATTTGAATTTCTGCGCTGCCACGTGCTGCAAAGATAGGGTGTTTGTTATGCGACCAAAACGACCCATGAGGATTTTTCGTGCTTTTGACTATGAAGTCGTATGCTAAAACTGCTGGCACAACAGCGTCCGGCCCGCTGAAACCGAGACCGGACATGAACGTCGTGTGCGCAGTGGTACCCCAGGCGCTGGCTGGAACGGTATTCGGAGTCTTGTTTAACGTCTCCGTGCACCCGTGCGTCTTGGTGGTTTGTCTAGCCATCCTCTTGTCGCTGATGGCGATGAAAACGTTCTCGCAGGGTATTGAAAAATGGCGCGAGGGCGGATCATCCGCGCACGCGGCTACGTCTTTGGCAGGAGTTTCTCCATCGTCAGAAGAAAAGGAGAAAAAGATTCCGCTCGTGTCACCGGGATCCGCGTCCGACGTGGAAATAAACACGGACGTAGTTGAAGACAAGCAACGCGATTTGGTTCTGAACCTTCACTCCTCTGACTCGTACACAACGAGTGGCTCATCTTCCCAGAGCACGAAATCGCCACGACTTGTCCCCGGAGCGATGCCGTCGGCGTTCGGTGTAGACTTGACACAGCACTCCAAAAGTCCCACCAGCAATTCTAGCAACACAGCAAGTCCAGTGCATAGTAATCTTCAAGGTAAGAACAACATCGGGACAATCATGAACACGAATAGTATTAACCGCTCCGTCTGGCCGGACGAGGACGACGGGTCGCTCTACCTGCAGAAAGCTGCTACAAAGAGCGGGGAAATAAGTACCAAACTGCGGCAGCACTTCTTTGCGGTGGTTCAGACACTGCTGCGCGACAAGCGGGACGAGACCCTGATGGCCGTGCTGCTGGTAATCACCATTTTGGCCGGGTACCGGAGTCATCTGTACCCACGTGGGTCCACAATGTCCTACTTGTGGATATCGATTCCGGTGGTTTGCTCACTCACCTGCACAGCCTATTTCTACCGGAACCAGCTGTTCCGCCCTCCTGGCAGCAGCTCTGCTGCTCCCGATAATTTTTACAACGACCTGCACATTAATATACCCCCCACAAGCAACAAGACCGGGTACTATCAGAAGAATATCAACAAAACGGTGCACATCCGAACCGACGCGAGATCCTCCTCGAATGGGATCTCCACCTCTGCGAGCCCACGAAAAGTTATGCCTAGTTGGCACTTCCCGGCCGTCGCGACCTTTGCGGGCATCGGTAGCGGGTTGTTTGGGATCGGTGGCGGGCTGATCTTCTCGCCCTTCTTTCTGCACATGGGAATCGACCCCGCGACCGCGATCGCCACCAGTGCCTCGTGCGTCGTTTTCACCTCCACGTCGACGACGTTCCAGTACATGTTCCTGCACCGCATCATGATGCCCTACGCGCTCTGGTACGGAACGGTTTCCTTCTTTTCCGCCATCGTCGGAGCCAAGTTTCTGGCGTTCGTCCGGCAGCAGTTTGGCCCCCGGGGAGACGCGGCCACCATTCTGGTGGTCGCGACGGCCGTGGTCTTGTCCGCGACGGCGGCGATCATCAAGGTGTTAGTCACCGAATACTACACCGAAGGACCCGCCAGCATCGCCACGGCCTCGTCCTTCCTGCTGCAGCAGGTACAACAAGACCGCGTCTTCGAATCAAGCAGCGGCTTCGTAGCGAAGTACATCTTCCTGCAAACGAAGTAAGACAGGGATCAGCTACGAATTTGCAGTAACGAAGATAAAAAAGAAAAACTACAAGAAGCAAAGATGGAACACGTGGTAAGCACGACTTAAGCTTAACGACTGCACCGCTTCATGGAAAAGTCCGTCCAGATTCGTAAAAGTACAAAATCACTGACACTGTGACGCAGCTGTTGGCAACCTCCAAGCTCAATGCTTCTATTCCTATAGTTGAAGCGTCGTATGATGTAGATTGACGAAAATAGCCAGCAGCTTTCTGGCGCAAAATTAAATTACGTACCTGTCGGCTGTGGCGGTCCCTATCGCTGTCCTAGAGAAGCAGGGTGAAACTGGCAGCTGGATCTTTCTCCCTGGATCTGGGTATCAATAATGGCCGCCGCAGCACCATTCTCTGTACATTGTATTGAATATTATTCGTTGTCGATGCTTTATTCACGTTCAATTTCCCAAACTGATTTTTAGAATGTTGACGTCTCACTCGTTCGTAACCTAACGCTAAGGAAAATTGCTTCGAATTGCACTTTCGTAACCTTACGTTCTAAACACATGCCCATGCGATTGTGCCTTTCGCTATTGCATAGGATTGGTGTTGGTCTGTATTCTTCTTGTTCTTGAGTAGAATTTATTTGCTGCTATGTACTCAATATTGTCATTGTGAATGTTGGAAGACTGTCTTCTATCTAAACATGTATGATTTGTGCGATATTATGATCGATGCCGAGTATAAGAAATGGAAATTAGAAGCGGCACCAAGAGCATGGACCGTTTGCGCTTTTCAGGTGCATTGAGTGCATGCGCCCCCCCCACAACCACGCGAGGGTTGTGGCTGTCGTAATATTCTAGGCCGTGTATAGCTCTTGCTTGAATTCTAAAATGGTGACTGGAGCCGTCCTATGTATGAAACTGAATGAGAGAGCAATGACAAAACCAAATTCTTCAAAACGGCGGGAACTATTGCAGTGCGGGGTGGAAAAAGCAAAGTCTGTATGTCGTGTCGGGGGTTCACGCTCGGTACTGCTCTCGGTAGTAAGTTTCCGATGTTTCGTGGGTAGCAAAGCAGGTGGTACAAGAAAATTCGTGACTGGGGCTCGTCGTTTTCAACATAGTTTAGCTGCGCAGAGTATTTCCGCGGTGGAAAAACTTCGGTATGCATGTGGAGATGTATCCAGCAGGTTGTACTTGCTTCCACTAAGGCATAGCGTTAGGGTTAGCGACAGGGAAGGAAGAAAATTTCTGATCCATAAACCGTCTACCAAAAGCTGGAACTGACTCAAAGATGTCATCGAGCCCCTCGAGACCGCGCAGCGCGCCGCCGACGCCCGCCGTCACCAGCAGCACCGTGCGGAAGTGGTGTGGGGGGAGAAAGCACGAGAAACTGTCTTTTGTGATCGCGTACGACGGCACGACGGCCAGTCGCAACGCGATGAATTTGTGCACGGACTTTTTCCTGAAACACAAGAAGGAAGCCACCCTGGACGTGTTGCACATTTACGACCCCGAGGTGCAGTCGAAGCTACCGTACGCTTTCAAGGCGAAAACGCTGGAGGGCGAGCTTTCCGGACATGGTGTCGTGCTGGGTCCGCATCGGTACCGGTCCCACCTGCTGCCCCGCCGGGAAATTGCCGCCGGCGCGGAGAACCGGGTGGAGACGATTGGGAAGGTCTTGCTGGATTACACGCTGAAGTCCGCGAAACTGGTTGCTTGCAACGTCCCGGCCAGCGTCGCGGGGCTGCCCTGTGCGGGGGACAAGGTGGGGTCGCAGGCTCGCGTTCTGTCCGGGGCAGAGAAGCCAGGAGTGGTGAGCAGCGGACTGGATTTGATCATCGGGGGGTCTTCCACCGAAAATTTTCGCATCCCGGAGTCCACGCCGGAAGGCAGCGAGCAGGAGGAGCAGGTAGATTTTTTCGGGATAGTACGCTATTCGTTTTATCTTTCTTCTCAGATCGTGATCCAGATCGATTGCACCGTTCTGACAAGAGGGGATCATCCACCTTGCGTCACGTTTGTGCTGAAAATCACCTATTGTGGTCCACAGGCGACGACCAACAGCGTGTACGTGGATTTCTTGGTCCTCGGGTTCAAGGGCAGTAGTCGCTTCAAGTCCGTAGATGACGTTCTGCTTTCCTCGTCCATCCACTACTGTTTACAAAACGCGTCGACGTCGATGATCATTGTGAAGAACCGGTTTGACCCAGCGGCTTTCGCACAGTACTTGTCTGTGTCGGAACTGCTCCAGCAGCGGCGCCTGGGTACCTCCAGCGCCAACAAGTACAACGTGTTCGCGACCCCCGCCCAGTTGCTGGAAGATGCGGACGGCAGTCCAGGGGCGAAAAACCAGCAAAAAGACCGCGGGTGCCACATTCTGGTCTGCTTCGACACGATGCCGTGGTCCGAAAAGGCGCTCGTGGACGCGCTGCGCATCTCGGGGATCGAGAAGTCCGCACTACCCGACAAGTCGGGAACTACTGCAGGTGCTGTGGGGGCGGGCAAGAAAGGACAGAAAAAATCCACAGTACAGCAGAAGAACGACAGGATTACGCTACTGCACGTGCTGAACGAGGAGGAATACGAAAATGAGGCCGCGAAGGACAATTTGCGGGCGCACTACCTGAATGTCCGGAAACTGTGGATCGAGAAGATTTTCGCCCACGTGTTGTACACCGACGAGGGTGCGGAGGAGCGGGCCGACCGCGAATCCCGGGCCCGGGCCTCGTTGCAAAAGCAGGAAACCGAGGCGCTTCTCGAGAAGCAGGAGGACGACGCGATTGCGGCGAGACGAAAGTCGTGGGAAGACCGCGGCAAGTCGTGGGAGGAAATCAAAGCCAACTACGAATGGCAGCATTCGCCGACGAAACCCCTGCAGTGGCGGGACGAGGACGAGGAAGACGCTAGCAAAGTTCCCACAACAGAGGAGGAAACAACTGCGACGGAAAAGGAAACGACGAAAAAATCCACCACGCCCGGCTCCTCGCGCCCCGGTACCCCGGGAACCGTGTCCGCTTCGTCCTCCCGGCGAGGGTCAGTGGCAGCGAAACAGCCGGCGAAGACGAGAGGTGCCAACAAGACCGCATCTACGGCTTCCAACGTAGCAGCGGAGAAAACAACCGTCACCAGTACTGCCACCACACCCGGGCGCTACAAGAAGACGACAGTGTTGACAAAAGGGTCTGGAACTTCAAAGGCCAAGGAGAACAGTGCCAGTGCCGCGAGTACCACCGCTTCCAATTCTTCCTCGTCTTCCTCCTGCGACGACGAGGCGGTTGGTGCTACGGGACCACAGGCCACGTCTACTTCTACCGGAGACGCGGCGCGGAAATTCCGCGCCGCCGTGCGGTCGCTGAAGTGGTCGCAGCGCCTGAAAATCCACAACCAGAAGGACTGCCTTACACGACAGGAGAAGCTACAGCGGTTGCTGGATCGGGTGAACTTCAAGACCGTGCGGAACTCGGGCTCTGGGGTAGCGAAGGACCTTCTGTCCTTCGCCGACGAAAACAATTGCTCCATGTTGTGCATTGGCACCGACGCGGCCCGGCTGAAAACCAAGCAGAGCTACCTCGGTACCTATTGCAATTTCTTTTGGCAGCACAGTGAGGTGTGGATGTGGTCTGCACAACGTTCGCTCAGTAAGTGTTGAGCGCAGTTTCTCTATCTGATCTGTTTGTTTCAAGGAACGATTTTCGTTCGAAAATCATCCATCTCAAATTCTATCAGGATCCGTTGCCGCCCACGTTCTCTGCGAGGCGGACATTCCAGTGGTCATTGCCCGCTACGATGAAGAGTCCTTCCGCAGCATTGTGGCGTGATTGCGCACAACCCGGTAGTCTGCGTAGTTCCGTTTGCACAACTACATGCGCAGATAAGGGAAGTAGACGACTTCTCGGTTTCTGCACCGCAATAAATACTAGTTCTAGCAGCTGCAACAAAGAAGTCGAATCGCGACTGCTGGTGGGCCCCTGCCTACTTGTTGGGTCCCACCAGCGTCTCTAAGTCAACATCATACAACAGCACGACGTGCCCCTGGTGCATTTCCTTAGTTGCCTTGACTGTAACTTTAGAAAACGCCATTATTTCAAATATAAATACTTGTTTCGCTTTCGACGTACAATACATTATCGAATGCATCCAGCAGATGCAGAAAAAACAGAGAAAACATCACGGCACCTGCCGGGTAGTTATGGTTCTGTTTTCGGATTCAGCCTCTGTCCCCGGAGGAAAGAGAGATGAAGATTTTCCCTCAGATGTACCCCCACGATGCACACCGATATGACCGAAAAGTTGTTACTACTTGCCGGCGAAGAGTACCTCCTGTTGGAAGATTTGGAAAAACAATTTCTGAGAATGTGATTGATTCGCAACGAAAACAACTACAGCTCAATTGTCGAAAAAATCACGGTGAAAGGAAAGCACAAAAACAAAAAATAGTGGCAGATGCGTCTGCGCCACATGTTGCATAGCCGTTGCAAGCTAGTTTGGTATTGGCGCAAAACTCGATTAGTTGGAGAAGAGGGAAATACAACCGCCTCGGAAACAAAGGGGAAAGGTTCACTTATTCTTGTTGCCGTGGGTGTCGCAAAATAAAATCGCACCTACACACTGTCCGTGTCGCAAAAGTGGCAGCAAAAGAATCGTTTCTCGAATAGTCGTGATCGCAAAGCATACGTCGTTTGTCGCTCGTCGTTGTTCCTCATGATCGCTACTTATCAATCGTCTTCGTCATCGTCCCGCTCCCGATCTTTCAGAACATGATGCGCGTTATTTGGTGACAATGCGAAGCAGCAGCTGCTTTTCTCTATTCCATATGAGTCGCAGTCACCACGCTCGCGCACGAATAAAGAGTTTCTTGATATCAATAATTTGGGCAGATAAACTTTTCACCTTGCGGGCTTTATCCATCGTTTCAAAAGCCTCTACTTCAATTTCAAACACAAAAATGTTGCGTGGTGGTAGCAAGGACGCGAAGAAGCAGCCGCGGAGAAGTGTGACCCTGGCCAACTTGCGCGTCGATGGCACCGCGGCGAAAAAGGCTGCCGCGGAGGAGGAGGCCGCAGCGGAACAGAAGCAGCTCGAAGAACAGCAGAAAGAGATTGACGCAGCGAACCAGCAAATCCAGGATGAAGCGCAGAAGCAGTCCCTGGACTACCTCAAGGGCGTGGTGGACGAAGTGCGCAAAAGTTTCGGGGGCGCGAGCTCGAGCGCCTTTGTCCGGGCACGCGTGAACGATCGTGCGGAGTTGTCGTCGTCTTCGGAAGTAGAAGATACCCCGGCGCCGACGAAGATGAAAAACGAGGATGAAGACGACGTCAGGTTGGATTCGCCAACCTTGGAAGCGACTGCGGGTGTCGACGCTCCTGCTGGTGTTTCAAAAAAATCGGAACAGCACGAGGGAACGGAGATTCGCGCGGGGGAAAATAAATCCTCGTCAGCGAAGAACCCATCAGTCACAGTCGTGGCCCCTCCTTCTTCTAAAAGTCCGGCACCCGCTCCCGTCCCTGGAGCGGATAATTCCATGACCCAACAGGAGCACCGCGAGGATGTCTTGAAGAAGGCCCAGGAGGCGGGGGAGCAGGCGAAAGCCGCCATCCACGCGCTGATCTACGGCGTCCAGCTGAAGCAATTGAACATTGCCGCCAAGGTGAAGCATTTCAAGCGCGCAGCGACTTCGCGGAACATCACGGGCGCGCCGCGGTCCATGTTCGATATATCGGATGACGAGAACAACGCAAACAACGAGCCGCTGCAACGGACGGGTCTCTTCGACTTCAGCAAGTCACCATCAGGGACGCCGAAGGCCGCGCCTCGGCGTGTTTTGTCCGACGCCAGCGTGCTCACTGAGGTTGACGCGGACGTCGGGGTGCCGGACTACATGCCGACAACGAAGCAGACCAGCAGGCAGGGCTCCTTCAAAAACGCAGTCGGGCGAGCCGCTCGCAGTAGGAAGATGAAAGCCGAGGGCGAAGCGGCACATCAGCACCATTCGACAGCATCGTCTGGTGGAGCTACTTCTACAGATGACCAGAAACTCGGCGGTCCTGGGACCACTAGTCTCGCAACTAGTATTCAAGAGCTCGTGCAAGGTCTAGCCGGTGGAGCGCCGCCGAGACAGGTGTCAGGGCACAGCGAGAGAACGCAGCCAGGGGAGGACGATGCTACAGAACGCTACAACTTCGACGCTGGCGCTGGGCAAGACGACGATGAAGATGATGCACGCAGTACGTACCTGCAATCGCCGACGTGGAGGCGGTTGCCGGACTTTGCCGAGCAGCCGCGGCTAACCGGGTTCCCCCTACCGACGAAGCGCCACGTGAAGCATCAGTTGCCCTTTGAGGTGCCGTATCAAATGCAAAAATGTCTGGGTCTGGAAGATTGCGAGATTTGTCATGCTTGTTTGGCATGACAAAAAAGTTTGTTTGCGATGCGTGTCCAAGAAGAGACCCTTTTGCCTGTCATGCAAAAACGCAGCTTCTCATGCCCATGCGAGAAACGCAACACAAAGAACTGCAGACATTTCTCATGCTTGGCTGTGCATTACAGAGCATTCACTATTCCCAACTCAGCATTACAAGTTTCCAGACCCAGACACTTTTGCATTTGATATCCCGCCCCCCTCCACGGCCTTTCCCATTCCGGCGTTCAAAACGGCGGGCCTGAACGACGGAAAAGCCTGGATCTACAAGGAGGACAGTCCGCCGAAGAGCCCACTCTGCATCTGCGAGAACGAAAACCAAAATCCCTTCAAAGTCTCCAAGAGATTGCCAGAGGGCGGGGTCTACTTGGACGAAGAACAAGAGGATGAGAATGATGCCGCGTTTTTACTTGCGAGAAATAGAGACAACAAGAAGATGTCACAGCACGAAGCGGAATCGCAACAGAGGCCGTCGTGCGGCTTCCGTTTGCTTGCGGATCGCGCTACTGGCAACATCGGCGTGCCCGTGTCAACGGAGGGCTATGTACCGGACGATTCGCCGACTCTGCGGGCACGCATAGTCAATGCGTTGTACGATGCAAAGGAACAGATTTCCGACGCCCTGTGTAGTCCGAGGGAGGAGCTGTACTCCCCTGCCACGTCTAAGAGTACGGTGATTTCCCCTTCGGTTTTGGACGTGTACTTCTCGAAACCGGGCGCAAAACGGCCACCGCGGCGCTTGCGCAACTACGTGCGCAACAAGTACTTTTACCGGACCAAAGTTGAACCACCGGCGTCGCGGCCGAAGTCCGGAGGCGGCGGAAGAAGTTCTATTCCGACTAAACCGTTCAAAGTGCACACCGGCGGACGCAGCGCATCCGTGTTTCCGGCCCTGGATTCCGAGGTGGACAACGCACCACTGCACACCGTCCTGGCGGACTACGTGGAAAATTTGCGCGAAATCCAGCGGCAGTACATCCGCAGTCGGCTGCTGGAGGAGGACTGCGACGACCAGGTGCGTCGATACTATCACCAGGAACAACGTCTGGAGGCGCGAATCCGCGCAGTCGGCGAGCACCCCATCAAGCCGAGGTACGTGGGGCCCTGGGTGGCACAAACAAAAGCCTCCCGCTTGCGCGCGGAAAGCGGGCGGCGGCGCCGGCAGGAGCAGCAGTTGGCGTACCCAAAGAAATCCGCCCTTGTTCCGAGTTACAGCCAACTGATGTCGGCCATCTCCGAGAAGGGGGCCAGGTCGTACAATTTGCAATGGCCGGAGGTACCGCTTTCCGCCAATTCCTCTTCCGTCTCGTCTACTGTCAGTGAAAGCTATGTTGAGCGGCCAGCGAGTGCGGGCCGCGCCGGCGAGGTCCTTGGCGAGTTCCTTCAGAGGACGGAGAGCAAGGAGGAGCAGGACTGGTTGAAGAGGCCACCAGAAATGAAGAATTCTTTCGGCCCTCCGTCACGGGCAACTTCTGGCGCGGTGTCTCGCATGCAAGACAAAATCTTGGCGGTGGATTCGCAAGCGAGCCAAGTCTTGTCCCTTTTGCGCCTGCTCAAGGAGCAAAACGGCGACATAAGCAGTCTGGGTCACGAATCCAGTGCCGAGTCACTGTTTGGACCACAGTAGTCGCCGACCTGAACTATGAACGTACGAGCTAGAGTTAATATAAATATTTCTTGTTTTAAGTAGACATGCTTCAGTGCTTGTGCTGTGTGTCGGCTTGTGCTGTACTAAGAAACTCTTGCTTGTACCCTTACGTTTGAGAATCACACTCGCTCTCCAATCTGAATCTGCGTATCTATTTCGCGTTCACCTATACAAGATTTTCATAATCTAAATCTCCCCTACCTGCTGCTGCTTGATGAATTAGACTTACGATCTTCGTGCTCCTCTTTGTAGATAATCGCTCCCTGAATGCGAACAAAAAAAGCGGTCTGCAGAGTCAGAGAATCGATGGTGCACTACTACTTACATTAGGGCGTGTGATTCGAAGGCGCGTTACACCTCGCACCCTTGAAATTACCCCTCCTGTACAACATGTAATTTCATTACGCAGCGCGCTGGTGTAACTGTATCTGTAAGAGAGCTTGAAATCCTCGAAATTCTATACTCATTGTGAAGGCATCTGGTGCTTTGTTTTACGCCAGCTACCGCGTGAATGCTGCGCACAGCAACAGGCACTACTTTTCAGTCTGGCTGGATGTTTTCCGTAAATTTACAGAGATCTGCGGCAAATAAAGAACTCTAAGGTCCGCATGATTAGCGACTTGACATGGCGAGGATCAGAAAATGCAAAAGTGGCACTGACTTCCTTTGAGATCGATTGGGTAGTAGAAGAGGTTGATCAGCATCACTAAAATTCGAAATTTTTTTATTGTGAGCATGTATGAAAGAGACAGAAACACGAAAAAGTAAAAGCGTCAAGACGTCAAGGCCGAGGCAAACCTGTCGAGAAGCAAGAATAAATTTCGTTCTCCTGCTGGTGGTCGAGGCTTTTCACAAAGCGAGGTTCTGCACCAGCGTCTGCTGGTGACTGAACAGAGAACTGCAAGACAGACTGGAACTACACAGGCCGCACACCCCCGGTGCACTTTTTTTATCGAAGAGGAGAACGAACGTGGTCGAGCAGTCTCTGCTTTGCGTTCGCCACAAGAACGAAGAAAGAGACAGTTTACTTTTATTTCCTGCTTCTACGACGCCTATACCTACATCTCGAAACGAAAACGTAAACGATCTTTCGGCTGTGCCACAATTTTTCTTTCCGCCCAAACTGGCTTTTCCTTTTGTATTTGAATCCAACGACCTCGACCTACTATTACTGATTGCGAGGACATCAAAGAGAAAGCAATCCTTGTTCGTTGAAGAGGCACTGGCACATCAAAACAAGCGGGACAGTCCTGAACGGCGAACACCACAGTAGCGCCGAACAGAGATCGAAAGAGGCCAAAAAATCGACCAAGAAGGGGACGAAAATGGCGAGCTACAAACGGCAGGGACCACGAGATTTGCAGAGGAGTATGCATCTTGGTGCCTTGGCGGAGCAGCATCTTCGCAGTGTGCTGAAGCAGCGAGGGCATCATCGGAGTCGTGCCTGCAGCCGGACAATAACGCCGCTTCGCACAAAAAGCGTCAAACGGAAAAAGGGCCAAGATATGGCCGTCTTTCACGACTTCGTTTAGCAGGGCGCAAGGGACGGGTCTCGGAACCCAAACCGATTTCGTGTAGTTCTAGACGGGAAAATTTATCCGGCTTCGCACGCCTGCAACTCTAGCGACTCCCGTACTTGACTCTCAGCGACTCCCCAAAAAAGCGACCGAACTCGTTTTTCCGAGTTTTCTCGAAAGTAAGCGACGACATAATGCTGGGACGACACGACAGCGACAAAATAGGTACTTGAGATTCTTCGTGTAATTGGATGCTGTTCGTGTACTAGTCGTCTTACAAGTTTTGCAGTCTTTCGTTCATCTTCTAGTTTAGTGGCTTTGTCTTTGCTGCTCTAACCATGCATGTGTATCCTACATGAACATGGCCTGCTCGTCAATTTGCCTCGAGTTAAGAACCTTACTGAAGATAGATAGCTGTGCTTCTGATATCTATCGCCACCGCGCCGGACGAGGATCAATTTGAATAAACGAAACTACGACTACGAGCTTGCTAAGCGCGATTTCACTTGTACACAGCACTTCCGCGGCAGCCGCGGCGCGATCGGCGAAGCAGCAGCTTTTACGTACTCACCAGCGCAGGGCGGTCGAGCTTCCACCACGCATTTTCCGTGGCCACCGACCTCCTTGACCGCGCGGAGTGGTACTTTTCCGCCGGGCACATCACGCAATTCATGCGCAACACGTACTCAACTGCAAGTGCGCGATTATTTTCATCGGCCTCGCAGAACCAGAATGTATCTTCGGTGCAGGAGCACGGCCTCCACACCCCAGATTTAGTACACGAAGAACAAGATGATCGCCTTCTGAGCGACGACATCGAGAACAACCTGCGGCTGGATCTTCGGGGACGACCCGATGAACGAAGATTCTGGAGTAGTACTCCTGCAGACAGATCTGTCCGCCGGAACGGGCACCATGGCAGTTGCTTTGCGACGGGCAACAAGACCGAGGAGCTGTGCGAGGCTTTGCTTCCGAAAGAACACAACGAAGATAATTCGTCGCTTCTGTACCGAAACGCAGAAGAAACAGAGCAGGGCACGCCGTCTTCGGCGCGGTCGTATATTTTTGGAGGAAGTACAACTGCCAATTTTCAAAACAAAAAATATCGAGGGCGCGGCACTAACATCCCAGAAGATGTTTCAAGCAAAGGAGCGAGTGCGACGAGAATCGGGAATGCATTTTTCCACAATTCGCTGGAAAAGTCCAAGGCCTGGTTCGCGTCGAAGCTATCGACGATCCTTTCGTCGCCATCTTCTCGCAGTGTAGCGCAGGCAGCCGCAGCAGCCGCTAACTCGGAAACGGAGATCCGCAGATTCGATAGCCGCGCGTCTTTCTTTGGAGCAGGGGAATCTGACAACTTCCAGCAGGAACAGGCGTTTGACCACCAGCAGTCGTTTCGCGCCGCTTCTCCCGGCATCATGTCACGAGGCAATAAATCATTACTACCGTTTTCCTCTTCGGGACCACAGCAGCCCCCGCACAACCTTGTTGTCTCCGCCGGTCAACAGCCATTACAAGGTGCAGCCGTCGCGACGAACCAAGATACGATCGAAGCAGCGGAAATACAAATAGCGACGAAGACCACGGACGAGGCGCGCGCCTCGCCACTGCGACTCATTCCGCGGGACAATTACAGTAATGGCGCCAACATCGTTCGCGAAAACCGGCCTATGTACCTGCTAAACTCGGACACGTTTCACGTGCTGCTGGGTCTCACGGTGAAGGAGCTGGTGAGCGTGTTCTTCGCGACCTACATCGGGCTCTGGGTCGTGTTCGCCGGGGCGATCTATTACCTGGTTCCCAACGACGCGTGCGGCCTGAACGTGTCCTGTTTTGTGGATATCCTGAGTAAAAACGTACCCACACCAGAGTCAGGATGGGGATTTTGCAACACAAACCTAGGAGTTTTGTGAGTCACGCATGACAAGTTGCACTATGCAGTGTAGTGCAGGCTAGCAAGTGCAGCCGCGTCACAGATTCATCTGCTCATCCTGTTCACAGCATCACAAATTCCAAAGCACGACTGGAAATGGCTCTCATTGGGATGCGCATTACAAGTCTTCCTGTCTTTGCAAATCTGCATTACAACTCTGGTGTGGGTACGTTTTTACTCAGGATAGTGGACGCCATGTACTTGTCCCTCGAAACCCTGACCACGATCGGGTACGGCGTTCCGGACCCCTACTTTAACCACTGCCCCCACATGATCTGTGTGCTGGTGTGCGCCCACCTGCTGAACCTGTTCTCGGCTTCCGCGGTGATCGGCACGGTCCTCACCAAGATCAGCAAGGGCCAGAAGCGCGCCGCCACGATCATGTTCTCTGACGTCGCCGTGGTGGAGCCGATGGACGGATATCTGTATTTCGCGTTTCAGCTCGGGGAACTGCGCAAGACGACCCTGATCAAGACCAACGTGTCCTGCTTCCTCTTCAAGCACAACCACGCGTCGTGCACGAACCTGAACCGGCAAACGGAGGCACTGCTGAGGAAAACTGTCGCGAAGCAAGCGGAGCGGCTCGAGAAGATGCGCGAGGACTGTCGGAAAAGTTTGGAGACCCGGGCCGCTTTGGAGGATAGAAAAAGTAGAGAACGGGTGGAGGAAAACAACCACTACTACGCGTCCTCTGAACGCGAGCCGTCCCACCACGAGTTGCGCTTGAGAACCCCCGTATTGTTGGCGACGCCCAAGACAAGAACATCCGAGGTCGTCGCAAAAAGCTCGCAGTCGCAAGGCGTCGTGCAGCCTCTGGACGGCGATGGTTTTTCCTATGAAGTTGTAGAAGAACAACAGAACAAAACAAAGCTGGTAGACGACGTAGCAGCCGCCAGCAGTCAAGCTCTACCAACAGGAAGCGACCACGACCCCGAAGCACCCGGAGACCTTGCAGTTTCCGGCCACGACTGTGTCATGGAGACCAAGGAGGCTGCAAGTGTGTCCACTAGCACCAACATGCCGAAAATGACCGTTGACAACATGGAGCAGCAACTGATTTCAGGTTGCTCAGCTGTTGCTTCTGCGGGGGCTGCAGATTGCACCAGGTTTTGTTCGCCGGCGAGGATGCCGGGCCAGGGTTATAAAACCGCGGCAGCGGGTTTGTACGACGGCACGTCATGCGAAGAAACTACTACCTTGATCCCCCCGGAGGACGATTTCGTGCTTCTTCCCGAGCTTGTTGATGGCACGCCTGAGAAATACAACTACACATCAACTACTATGCGCAACTGTTCGTTGCCACCCCGCACTGGTGCTGGAGGTCGCGCGCACGATCCGGACAACCAGCGAAAGTCCGGGGCTTCCCTGTTTCCGATTCGAAAAAAGCAGACCCAGGAATCCTTCGCCACGGACGGACCGCTGGGAGAAGGAGACGATGAACACGCGCGGTCGGACACACGGACGGTTGACGGCGAGGATTCGTCGGATGGATACATGCTGGATGACGCTCTGTCTCTGACGCCCCGCGTTGTGGACAATGAGCAAGACGTCGTCCCGGCTCTAGCAAACAGCCCCGCGCAGCCGTCGAACAATGGTTGTCCGCCTGGAGGAGCAGGAGTAGGGGGGCATGAGCACGTAGTCAAAGACGACAACAATCCCAATCGCTGCCCCGAGCCGCGCAGCTCCGGGGACGAGCGCACGTCGTCCCGAGACCGAGCAAACCTGGAGGCCGGCACGGCAGGCTGCACTACAGAGTCGCTGTTGCCAGGACAGCACCAGCCGCACGATCGGATGTTGAATCAGTGTGCGACGTCGTCCAATTGCAGTGTGTCCGACGGCCAGGGCAGTTTTTCACGGATTTTGCCACTGACGGAAGAGTTTCTCTGGTTGTTCGCGGACACCTGTCCTTCGGCTCAGCGTGCGAAAAAGCCGAAGAAGGCGATAGCTCCAGCTGCGTTAACGCCCGTTCGTCACCACTTTTCCTTCGCGGACCCCCTGCCAGAGCTCAAGGCACTCCCCACCCCGAGCCGTCCCAGCCGCGACCGCAATCTGGAGCTTCCCGCCGTTGCCGGACTCGAGGTTGTTTCGCAGCGCCTGCTGATGCGCGAGGCGGGGGCTGAAGCAGTGGGTACTACCGGGGAGGACGGTGGTCTTGCAGACGTGACGTCAGAAGTGAGGGCTTATCATGAAGTTGGTGATTTCCTTACGTCAGACCAGCAGCAGGAACACGTATTATTAAACGACGCGGACCGTGAGACAGTCACCTCTGAAACTCCGGCGCTAGAAGTACCAGAACAGACAGCGCTTCCCGATGGAGCAATAGACGGTACGGGTGCGTCTGCTCGTCGTCCCGAGGCAGTACTAGCAGAGTCGGACGAAGAGGAACCGTTGTGCAAAGCAAAACGGCACCTCCAAACGGAGATGACATCGAGCGGGGAAGAACAAGGCCACGGAAACCGCGCAACATCAAGCACCGAACTAGTGCCCCCGCCGCCACTGCTGCTAGACGTTGAATCCGAGCAGGAGGAGGAAGAGGAGCGATTTTTCTGGGAGTCGGCCATCTTGGAGTCCACCCCCACCCACGTGGTGCTGGACATTCGGGGACCGGAGAACGTCCCGGTTCGACTCCGACGCTCCATACTGCACCGCGTGGTGGACCGTTTTTTGCAGCCCGCGCGCGAGGCCGAGGACGACCTGGAGAACCCGGAGCCCTTTGCGGGACTGGAAGATGACCCTCCGGAGGAGGAAGAGGAATATCTGGTGAAAACGCCGCTGGCGGGCTGGGGCAGCGAAGAAAAAGTGTCATCGGGGGGACAAACTTCCGTCGCTGAGCCCACGACCTCCACCCGGGATGAAACCTCAAATAACGTGAAAGCAGACCACGCACCGGAAACAAAGGTGATCGGGAAATCAAGTGCAAACACGGGGGAAGACCAAGACGAGCTCGACCGCACTTTCATTAAGGCTACCAGTGTTGGGGGCTATTCCCTGTCGTTGTACCCGCCACGCTCGCCGCAGTTTGGGTCCTGCGTCCCCGACCTCCCAGCGACGGCCAGCAGCGACGCAGGAATCCTCACAATTCGGCGCGCCGAGACGAACCAAGAAGCGGTTTGCTCCAGCGGCGAAGAGCCTTCGCCGTCCGCGACCCGCGGCGCTGAAGCTGTGAAGCGGCCCGCTGAAACCAGCTGCAGTGACGAACATGTAACTGAGATCGCAGGAGCGGCGCTTCGCCCCGAGCCGATCAGCGTCTTGCACCTGCCACCGGTGATATTTTCTCCTAGGAACAAAGCTCCTGAAGAACTGCCACGGGTCCTTGACCCACCAACCAAGTTGTGCGAGATCCACCCTCCGATGCATCTGGAATCGCCTGCAGAAAAATCCCCAAATGATCAGCTGATGGCCACCAGTGCGGCCACGCCTGGCGTCAGGAAGCGCAAATCCAACACCTCCCCACGGACCACTACGGGTTGTAACACCAACAGCCAGCGACAGGCGCAGAACATCAAAGCCGTCAAGCAGAGCCCGCCGCCTCCCGAGGCGCCCGCGTTTTCTTTCCAGCAGTACCGAATGCGGCTCCAGAACCCAAGCGACCGGGAGGGTGCACAGGTCGACTTGGACTTGCCACAGAAGATCATGCACCGCATCGACCAGTGGAGCCCCCTGGTGCCGTCCGCATACCGCGAAGCGATGGCGCGCATCGAGGACGCGTTCTTCTTCACGTGCGATGACCAGCGAGACCCACAGCAGTCGCTTTTCACGGCACTGGGATTGCCATGCTGCTTTCCCTACGAGGAACCCGAGTTGTTAATACCGCTGGACAAGAACTACGACCTCAGCCACACGTGTGTGGTCGGGCACCAAGCGGCCGCGCCTTCCGTAGTTCTGGCGCGAGGACACGACCAAGGTGGACAACAAGCCGACCAGGTCGCGGAGGCAGCGGTGGCGTCGAATCCCTCTGAGCAGGGCCGTCAACTCACCCACGACTCGGGATCGGCCCTGCCGCAAGACAGCGCGTCGAATACGGTGGTCAAGGAGGAACCTTCGAACACGGAGCATTTTGGTAAAACTGGGGCCACCTGCGTATCGTTGCCTGACGGCTCCATGCGTGCGCGCAGCTTAGATACGGCGACGACGAGGGAACCCCAGGCGAGCAGAGCCTCCAAAGCGAGCGGGCCGAGCTGTCCTAGTGTCGGCCCCTCTACTGCGCCGGTCGTACCCCCGCAGAAATCGCTGAACCCTCGTCCTGCGTCCGAACACGTCCACACACCCGCACTCACGATCAATACCGTGACAAGTCCAGCCTCGCACCATCGACCGCAAAATGTTTACCCGCCAAGCACGAGTAACTTTCTGCAAGGTCGTTTTGGAGGCACCACAACTGCAGGACTTACAAGCAGCTCATCTACTTCGACGTATCGCCGACTGCTGTCGCGGAATCCGGGGGAGCACGAGATTTCGCTACGTCAGGAGCTCGTCGGTATGCGGCAGGTGGACGCGGAGATGGGGATGCGGTGCGGGAAGGTTTGTAACGTGTGCGGCGAGAATTTGCTGACCGACCACGAGCTGTTTCTGCACTGCCTGCACAACTCGACCGACGCCGAGCGGCTGGAGGCCAAGCGGCGGTTTGTGGATCACAAGCCGCAGTTCGCGACGCACGGCGGGCTGTTGCTGGTGCTCGAGTTTCGGCTGCGGCACGACATTTGGAAAAGTGACGTCTTACTGGAGTACCTGAAGGACTACCTGTCCCTTCTAGCAAAATCCGAGGAGGAATTGCAATGCATTGAAGTCGCGGAAGCAGAAGAAGAACTACCTGCTCCCGGTAAAGATGTGGCGGCCGCAGGACCTGGCTTCAAGTGCAGTGCTTTCGACAGGAACAAGGACATTGTTGCTGATGGGGCTCGTGCAGGTACTGGCTCTACGCTTGCCTGTCACGATCACCGGCGGAGGCGAACAAGTCAAAGTGATATCCCTGGAGCAATAACTACCACCAGTGCGAAGGCGCTTTCGGTTTCGCCCGCATCCTGCAATTACTTCGAAATGGTGTGCATTTTGGAAGGGGTCGAGCCTTTGACCAGCCACCCGATTCAGGCCCGCTACTCGTACCTGCCGGAGGAAATCGTTTTTGGGAAGAGCTTCGGGAGCTGTGTGCGCCAACAGCAATCGGATGATGACCAAGGCTTGGTCATCGATTACTGCGATTTTCAAGCCACTACCGGTACCGGTGCAGAGGTTTGATGAGCACAGTGGTGAGTTGAGATGAACGAGTATCAGGATCAACTTCAACATACAAAACTATACGCACGAAGCACATGTTTATTATTTCGACTCGCAGTGGCAGTCGTGCACGTGCTCTGCCATGCATGTACTAGTTTCTCTACTTCTTCTTTCACAGTGGTAGTCCACGAGACTGCTTGATGAAGCTTGTGTGGCAGGAATCGCACAGGCACTGGCGCTTTGTTCTAATCGACAGACGAGGAGCCGCAAGCTCCGTCAAAAATATTGTTGTCTAAGAGGAACCGAACCGCGAACATCTCCCTTCGGTGCTCTCCACAGCCAGACGAAGAGGGTTCATTCGTGTAGCGCCTTGAAATTTCGCTCAAACTTCGGAAGGAGGTGTCTTTCTGCAGAAAAGCTTTCATAACTACCTGCTCTATCCAAGGTCAAGGATCATATTTATGGAACTAGCACGACCACCACCAGCTGTTTTGCGTCGGTGAAGGGAAGGATTTTTTTTCGACCCAGTCCCTTCACATTCGAACTCAACGAGGACAAGATATGGACGTGTTAGTGAAAGCATAGCAAGTCCAAGACGGTAAAAGTCTGATCTGAAGCTGACCACAAGAATGCTTACAAACGAACACTTGCTCGCCCTTCATCTTCGCCCTCTTTAGGTTCCCCATGCTCCTTCTTTCCGCTCTTGAGAAACGAAATTACCAGCGATCTAGGTGTGCTTTCCATATTTATTTTAAAATGTTTTAGATTAGTTTACTTTGCTATGCTTATTGTTGTACTTCTCTTATTTATTTTGTTTCAACGGAGGTGGATCACTTTCACTACGCGTCGGTTGAAGCAAGGTGTCCAATTGGTGTCGTGCATCAAGTCAGTGACCCGGAAGGCAAAAATCGCTCTCGTCCCCGAAGCTCCTGCGGCATAAAAAGAACAGACAAAAATCGGGAAAATTCTTGAGGATCAAAATCGAAGATCCATTGAAAGTCGTAATTTTAATTTATTCGATCAAGCGGAGCATCATCAGAAATTGTAAAGGATCCACAGTAGACTTGATCATGCAAAGACTCATCAAGCTCGAATAGCAAATAAGTAGATCTTGGGACCACGTCGGTGCGCAGAAATTTGCCGGTCCAGTGTCTCCTTCCACACGCTAACAAGCTGCATGTCATGAGGAAAAGTCGGCTCTGATCGCGATCGTTTTATATTATGGTGGAGCGGGGACGCGTTTACGTTTTTGATACTCTTTCGGTTTTGATAGAAGTGTCCTCGCTTGAATCGAACAAGTGACAATCATGAAAAATCGATTGTCACTTGTTGTCACTTGTCAAGTGTTTGGATTGGTTCATTTTGCAAACTGTTTAACTATATCTTCATTTTTGCAAGCAGCGCCGTTTTTCTACAGCTATTTCATTTTTTCCAAGAAGAAAAGGCTTAAACATTTCATAGCCCCATCCCGCCTTTAACAAAAGGAGTCTTTTCTACCCGGAGCAAAGGAATACCCGCAACTTTAGCAACAACACAATTGTCGAGCAAAAAATTAGGTCGTCCCCTTCTAACCTAGAAGACCATCGAGGAAAGCGAGAACAGCTACAATTGCAAAACTCACGTTGTGGCTTTATTATTCTTGTAGCCGACTGCAAACTTTAACTTACTTTTACTTCGTACTAATATACTCGATTTCGAATTGTCAAACACAACTACGAGCTCCATAATGATTGTTCATAAACCTCTGAAGATGCTCTCGTCCTACTTGCGGGTCGTTGCGTTTTTGTTATTGATCTCCATGCCCGCCACGCTTGCACTAGATTTGCAGCGGTGCTTCGACCTTGCGACGGCGGTGCAGTATCATTGCCATAAAAATCCGCAGGACAATATGGATGCCGTTCTGGTCGAGTACGTGGAAACCAAGACGGCGCCTGCAGGGGCGCCGGTGTACAAGCGGGAAGAATGGGTGGAGAAACATACGTCTAAAAATGGCACTGTCCGCGATCGCATCAAGACGATTGCCAAGATTGGAAAACTGTTGGAGGCCATCGCGACTGACGCGACGCATGGACTTGAGGAATACAGCGCGGCACTTCAACAGTCCGGCACAGCTGCTGCTAACCCTAGGCTTTGGGTGGAAGCCAAGAAACCTGTGCGCAGGCTGCAGGTTTCGCGGGACTGTTTGAACGCTCGGTCGGCACTGGTGGCGCGGGAGGAGTGCAAGGGGGTGCTCGATGTGGTCCTTCCAATGAGTGCGGGGGAAAAAATCAGGCACGACATCGGAGACGATCGGTTATTGAAGATGAGACGCATTATCGTCCCAGCTTTACAAGAGTTCGAAAGATTAAAGGCTGGGTTCCGGAGTCGACCGAACGGAGCTGTTGAGGCGTCGCAAGAAGTTTTGGAAAAGCAAAGGCACCTTTTTGGTTCTCCGGTCGGCCGTGGCAGTGAGTCGGATTCAGACAGGGAACGGGAACTGCAGGAAGCGCAAAAGTTGCGCGACTTCCGGCAGGGTGAGCGCAAGAAGTTCCTCGAGGAGCAGCGGCGCGCGGAAGCGAAAAGGAACCGAGAGGAGGCCGCGCGCCGGAAGCAGCTGGAAGAAAACGCGCTGCGCACCGCTTTCGATGAGGCCAAAAGGGCAGGCGAACTACGCGCCCCCACGGCAGACGGGAACACGAGCCAGGCGGTGGACACACTAAAAGGCTCTGAAGTGCCAAAAGAGGTCCTGCAGCGAAAATGTTCACCCCTGACCGACGAGGAAAAGCAGAAACTGCAAGTGGCCAACCAACTCCCCATATCAAAGTGAAAAATCCCCCCTCCCCATATCAAAATGGAAATTGGTGATGCTGATTTGTGGCCGAAAACCTATCACCTTTGTGTTGCATATAGAGTAATATGAGCCTTGTGGCGCATCCTGCAGCCAGTCCGTCGCGCGCTTTCGACTACTTTAGTCCTGTTTGCCATGCCCAACTGCTACCCTTCTGCATTCCCGAACAGGCTATAGAAAATACCGCCAAGCACTTTCTGCAAGACAAGTCTGTGATTTGTGGCCGCGAATCAGCATTATATATAAGTTTTCACTTTCACATTGGGGAGGAGGGATTTTTCCTCACAATACCCCAACGTGTTTAAGCCATCTGGGATGGGTCGGGAGGCCGAGGACCAACGTCATGGCCGTGGATACTGGGCCTTTTTCCGGGATGCGTGGCTTTCTGCTGAACTAGTCGAAATCGAGAACGATGAAGGAACACGCAAGATTTCACATGGGCAGGCGGTTGCCGACTATATCTTGAAAACAAGCGGCACTTTCGCCACATTGCTTACAAAGCTGGAAAAGCGCGAGGCAAACCTTCAAGAGGGGGAGTACCAGTATGGCGTGGTGCTAGAGCTTCATAATCAGCGCAAGCTTAAGCTTGAGAAAGTGGAGGAATGGGTTCTTAGAGCGGTGAAAACAATTAATAGCAATGACGTCGAGCTTGACGAGCGGCGGAAATGGGTTCCGCTTTTTCGGACCATCGTCGAGATGAGACTATCAGAGGTGGCCTCTACCCGCCGCGTGGACGTTATCACCCGAGCCTGGGAAGCGATGGGGCCGACGAGCGCCGCCGCGTCGCCGTCGCCGCGTACTACCGGGATGCGGAGGTCGCGGTCCGCGCGGAACGCGGCCCGCCGTGGAAATCGGTCGCCGCCGCGTAGTTCGGGGCGGAGGTTTATCGAACGGAAAACCCCCCCCTTCCCATATCAAAATGGAAGTATGTGATGCGGGATTCGGGTACACAAATCGTTTTGTTTTTGTCATGCTAGAAGGGAAAAGATGCGGACTGTAGTGCTGGGTGGCGTGGGAAGGCATTGCATCTGCAGCATGACAGGAGGCAGCTGATATGGGGAAACAGCACGACGAATTGCCTGCAAACGAGGCCACAACTGCGTCTCTTGGCCTTCTAGTCATACAAGTCGGCTCGTGTCTCAACTCACTAATTTCGTTTTCGATATGAGGAGTGGGGATTTTTCCTTTTGATAAGTCCGCAGTCCGCGCGCAGCGCGCTGGAGGGAGCTGGCATGAGCCGTGCAGATTTATTACGGGCGGAGCTGGCCTCTGTATTGGCAGCGGGCGGCGACGGTGAACATGGTCTTGTTGCGGACTCGCGAGATTCTGCTCCGGTGCCGGAGTGGTGGAACCAGCTTCGGCTTTTTGTTTTTTTGAATAAGAGCAAAGGTTGCAAGACGACGGGAAGGGGAGGACGATTTACGGACGACGGCGCGCCGATTATTTTTTTCGATGCTACCACATGTCTCGAGAAGCTGTGGGAGGGTGTTGTCAAGAAAATGGGTGAGGTATTATCGTTAAATGAAAAGCTAAAGAAGGAATTATGGACATCTTTTGGAACGCAATCTTTTGTAAGAAAAGGATAAAAAATAGGAAAAACTAGGAAAAAAAGAAAAATTTACTTATCATAAAATAGTCAATCCTTTTCTTTTTGCTTTCCTTTTCCAAAAAACGTATGCATGTAGGGATCGCGCTTGACAAGATGGGCGTCCGTCGCGGCGGGATCTCCCAGGGTTTGGCTTAGGTTTCAGGGTTTAGGGTTATCCAAATTTATCTTCAAATAAACCAACGGAAACCAAAAATTTCCTCAGCGCTCGTTCACCAGAAATCCCCGTAGTAGATGTAGTCCCATAGAGCCCATGTCGTTGCGCTTAGTTCTAGTAGAAACCCATAACGTTACCGTCCATGTCGTTGCACTTAGTTCCAGAACTAGCGCATTATGTTTTCTCTAAGAGAACTAAACTGGACTAGCATAATGCTAGTCCAGTTTATGGCGTGAATATGCTATCCGCATAGGGCCCTATTCTGCTATTCCGCTTTATAGCGTCCCATGTGGTGGAATGGCATATCGATAACCCTGGCCACATGTGGAATGCTACCCTGGACCTATTCCGCTTTATAGCGTACGCACCACCGCCCTGGCCTGATATGCGTGGATTTTTAGACCTGCTGAGGAAACACAAACAAAATCGCAAGACCACGTGCAATAGTGTGTGCGTGAATCTGAAACAGCACAGACAAGACGAAGAACCTCCCCTAGCAGTCGCAGTCCCCCCCTTTGCTAGGCTGGTGATCATGATCACGATATATAAACAAAGGTCTTTAGCGTCTTGTGAGCAGTGATTTCCCATAGTTGACACAGCAAGAAGAGAGGACAAAAAAAAGCGGTACGGATAATTAAAGACTGTGGCTCGACGTTTTTAGCAAACAATGACATTCATCGTATTTTTGTAGAAGTAGCATCTTCTTTCAAAGAAACGTCACAGTCACGCCGTACCGATAGCGATGTTGAAAGGTCGCACTGTACGCTAGATTAGTAGTTTTGAAAGAAGTAGTTTTGAAAGAAGTAGTTTTGAAAGAAGAAGTAGTTTTGAAGGAAGAAGTAGTTTTGAAGGAAGAAGTAGTTTTGAAGGAAGAAGTAGTTTTGAAGGAAGGAAGTACTTCGACAGCAATTATCTCCAAGAACAGCAATTATCTCCAAGGACAAACGCATCTGTCAATGGAACTTTTGAAGTCCGGCGTCGGTCATCACAGGGAGATGCGCTACCGTAGCGATGGAGGCATTTTGTTCTTCGTCGTTTGTTCTTCGTCGTCGATGAGAACGGATACTACTTGGAAATCAACCAAAAACCGTGGGGGCGAGGGGCCTCGAGAGGGTCCCTGGATGCTGCAGGGGGCCCCAGCGAGCCTCGTCCCTTTAGGAACCAAACAACGTCGGTCCAGAGTAGAAGCAAAATAATGACGCCGTCCCTCTCACTGACAGCGCCACCGCAGCACGGGTCACCGCGTAGCCCCGCCAAGGAGTTAGATAGACGGCCTCGGATAGCAATAACTATAGTAAGAGTAAAAAAGAAAGTATAGAAACCGGGCCAATAAATATAGACATAGTGCATAGATTAGTTATACACTCCACCCGCGCCCGCCGTGGTCGTGACCTTCGTGCCGTGATCGAGCGACGCGACAAGGGCCTGCGTTTTTCTTAGGGACGAGGGCGCAGGACATGTCAGTGAGGGGAACCCGTGGGCTTGTCCTCGTCGATCTTTCTCCGTTCCCCTGGTTATTCCTTTGATTCCACCCAGGCTATCTCTCTTTGTGCATCAGCACAGCCCGCTAGCTCGAGAGCAGCGCCCTTCTTAACGACGTCGGACGTGGACGCGCCTACACGCGCGACAGGAGGACCTCCGCCAACGACGGGGGAAGGGTCACCGAGGATCGACGACGGGGGAGCTTTCTGTACTGCGTCGGATCGGGCGGCGTTTTTACATATATCATCATTCTGGACTACTTCATGTCGACGGTGGAGGGATTGGGAATCCTCCACTGTGGGCTTCAGCCGACAGGTAACTCTGTTGCTTCGCCCTCACAACCATTCGTCAGTAGTGGCTCAATTCTTCTCGTCAAACAGGCGTGGCGTCTGGGCACTCTGGTTACGGGCTTCGGTCTCGACCCTGTTGTCGCTCCAGCGCCACAAATCCAAACTTTGCGCCCCGAGCTCTCTCGCTGTGGTTTGACACGGATCACGGTGTAGTAGCTAGTATGTTGCGTCGTCTCTCCACCGGGAAATTACGACATCACGTGAAGACGTACAGCAGGCAGATACAACTACCGCGGATCCAGCGAGCCACTACATTCAAGCGGCCAGCGACACCATGGGGGCGTTTGCAGTACAGACTCGGGGACGGGCCTTGAGCGGAGAAAAGGAGATCTTCATGGGTCGTGGCACTGAAGTCCTAGGTTTTGTACACCTGGCAGGGCTATTTGTCCACGATATAAAAACCCACGATATAAAAACACCTGGCAGGGCTATTTGCCCACCTATTTACTTCGACCCTGACCTAAGGAACCCGACATGGGAAGCCAGCTCAGCTTCAGCCCCCGCCGCCCATTTTCACGTCGAGTTCCCCGATCCGTAGCCGGTCGGGACGGGTGCACGGCGTCTACGGCCTTTTTTCACCATACCGCCCTGATTTACAACCTGTACATTTTTCACCACCCCGGGGCAACATCTCCGGTTACTCCGACGGTGTTGCAGACCCGACAGCTACCGATAGCCCCGACGTGTCGGCTACACGTGGCCACCGATGAAAGCTTCCCGCTCGTCCTCAACATTCAGCTGCGGCGCCATGCCCCCGCTTCTCTACGCCCCCCTCGCCGCCCCACCTCGAGTCTGCTGTTGCCGAATTCTGGAAAAGACTACTTCGTGGCGTTGGTTTCACGGCTTCACGCGCCCCGGAGCCGGTTTGAGCGGTTTCACGGCTTCAGCGCGCGTTTTCCGGCCTATTGCCCAGATTCCCGACCGTGCCAAATTCCGCCGTCTATTACATGCGGGCAAGGAAAATTTTGAGGTTGAGGAAGCTGTAGGCAGCAGGGTTTTGTATGAGGCGGCTGAAAAAGAGAACTGAACAACAAAGGACAGAGCTGTTGATGTTGATTGTTGCTGCCGAAAAACAGCGCGTGAAAAAAAGCGAGTAAGTACGTAGTACGGTGTGGTGAAAAAAGGAGGAAACAGAAGTAGAAGTAAAAATAAAAAGCTGTATGAAATTTATTTTAGTACTTACGCTTGGCCGGCGTCCAGACCAAGTTTTAGAAGACAAGAAAACTTTACTAGCGCCTCCGATTGTACGTCGGTGCTACCCCTAGACGTAACACGCCGCGCCACGCTATATAAACGGGGGCGATAGTTTAAGTACACTATGCCAAAAAGGCCTAGCTTAGTCCTCCCCCCGGTGATCTTGCTCGGCACTGGAGCCCCAGGTTTATACACCCGGCGGGGCTATTTGTCGTGTGGGGGATCCGTAGTAATAGGCCCCGGCCGGTTTTGTATGAAATTTGTAGTGGTGGATACTGGCGGCATGCGGAGGAGTGCAATAACGTTAGTCGCGAGGCATGCCCGCGCGTTAGCGCCTGGCACGGAATGAAAGCCGTTTTTGTAAAAAGCTTTGTTTTGTAGAAGAAGCTGCTCTAGTGTATATGGTGCCAGTTAGAAAGACCGTCGGCACGCAGCACGCGCGTAGACGTAGACGGGTTTAGGGTATACCTACAAGCAGCGTTACAAGTTCAAAAGCAGAAAAGTTTTCGTACAAGAAGCTAGTACTTAATACGAGGATGATACAATAGACAGGGTTTAGGATTAAGTCTGTGCTCAGACTTGGCGCGCTAGTTCGACTGTTACTTCACTACAAGACCACTTTTGGTGGCCCGCCCTGCATACACGCATCGGGAAGCAATAGTCTTATTAGTGTAGTGCTATGGTGGAGGGTTTAACTGCTTTGCAGTGCCCGAGTCTGTCGAGCACAAGTAGTCGTACTTGGCACAAGTTTTAGGTGCTACACTACTCGCCACACCGCACCCGTACCCGTAAAAACCTATCCCCAGCTCGGCTAGTCGTCCTCAGAAACATGTCCTATGGTTAGCTTAAAAAAGAGAGTAGCTTAGTAGTTAGAAGCTGACTATAGAGGTGTCCTCCTCCTCCTCCTCTCGACGTTTTTAGCAAGTGCAACTACATGTAGCAACAGTCGAAAAACTTGTCAGCCAATTCGGCAAATAACTGACCGTGCTTTATCTACTGTCGAAAATATAGTTGTAAACCTCCAGACAGCTGCCAGGTTGTGCTTGAAGAATATTCGGCAAAAGCACTTGCAGAAAGACGGCTTTTATTCGTTCCGACGCATACTAGCGCGAGCGTCCAGATCATGTCGCGAAGCCCTTCGCGATAGTATGCTGACGAGCTAAGGCGGATTGGCCTCCGTTTTGTATAGAAATTCAAAAAAAAACTTTACACTCAGCCGGACCGGTTTACACACGTTCAAAATACTAGCGCAAATATTTTGAACCTCAAAAGTATGCGCATGTCACTAGTGTTGGCTCGTTTTGCGTGAGAATCTATTTCGCATGGTATAGAGCTTTCCTCTACATGCTTCGCATATTTTTCTCTCTTTTCTTGGGTGGTGTGGATGTCGATCTACCACTCGAGACCTAGACGTAGTATCGAATCAACACGATCAGCAGCAGGCACAAAAAGAAAGCATAAACCTCCATACGAAGCAAAATTGGATCATGAGGAAACCGCGATGGAATCACGACGCGAAAGTGGAAAGATTGGGGTTTATGAATGGAGACGCTTTACGACGAAACAAGAACAAACTGGAAACCGATGCACAACAGTGGCCGCCCATTTGGGCAGCCATAAAAACCAAAGCACTTTTTTGCCTATAGCGGCCGTGCCTGATTCGTATCAAGATTGTCCGCGTTTTGTCTTCGCCTCGTGTTCTTATCTAGCCGTCGTGCGCCGGCTGTAGGGAGTCCGAGCAGCTATTGAGAGGGGTGCATGAAAGAGCGAAGATTTTTGGCAGGGGACGGAAATGCAATGTTCCGCCTCCCTGGATAGGGACGGATACAGAAGTGTCCCGCATCCTTCGATTAGATTTTTGATTCTTCGGTCGATACGGGATACGAGGGTTTCGATTTCGGTATCGTTTGGTCATCTTCTGGTCGGTCATTCATTCGCGATCGCGCCTGAGGGTTCTGAGAGAGATTTTAAATTCCTTCGCTTCGATTTCAAATTTCTTCGCTCTCTATCCTCCTCATCTCCAGCTCCTTACTCTCACAAATGAACCTCTCGCAACATGATTTTTCCATGCCAATAATTTCAACACTTTTTCTGGCTCTCTCATCAGTTCTTGGTGTGGTTTGGCCTTGGAATCAGAACGCAAAGTGAAAATTGAGAGTAGAGAAACAAATCTATAAATTTCGATTTTCTCATTCTGAAAAAGCAGACGATGTTAGCTGGAGCAGGCGGAGAAGCAGACGCACCACGTGGTTCGCCGCCCCACCCGCCCACCGCTTCTGGGAATGCGAAAATCCGAATTCGGAACTTCTTTGGGGACGAGCACTCTGCAGACGTTGCTGGGCTGGCTCGCGTGCGAGACCTAAGCCAACCGAGAATTCTCCAAATGTTCTTCCAGGGTGATGAACTGATCCCGCCAGCTTCGTTAATCCACTGGACGCTCGTGCGCGAAGATAAAGCGGAAGCGTCGGACGGTGGAGATTCGAAAGGTGAACAAGGCCCAGCTCCTTCGGTGTTGCCAAAAAATGACGCGGAAATGACAGACAGCGAGGTGGTGCTTCCGGAAGACCCGGACTGGGAAAGCCTCTTGCCAGTGGAAGGACGAGCCGAGGACTCCGATGCTGTGCCTGACTGCTTCCTCGACCCCGACACGGAAATCGATGTTGACAAACTTGAACAGGCGGTATACCAGTTCGGAGTTGGTTGCGTGAGCTACGACCTCAAGAGACAACCTCAAGAGAGAGATTTTGATTCGTGCTGCCGAATTAATTTTAATGACGCAATACATGACTTGCAATCTGTGGACGAAGCGGAGGCGTTTTTCTACAGCGAAGCTCACTATTGTGGTGGTGTCGAGAGCCAGGAGAAGCTGAAGGAGATTCGTGGTTTTTGCGTACCGTCATCGGCGTTTGTTTTCGACAGTCACCTCCTCGCCGTGTCTCCGAACCTAGATATTCGTTCAAAGGGGCACTACAATCTTGTCTGGGCGGCGTTGAACTTTTCCGCGACGGATTGGAGAAAATACCACAAAGCGATTCATGGAGAATTCTTTGCACCGTCGTGTCGGGAGGCATTTTGCTGGGCTGCCATTTATTCAGCGTTTTTCGCGGGCTCCACACGGCAACAACCCGAGCGTGTTGCTATCCTCCCTCCATACAGGCAGGAAATCACCGCAGAAGACTGCCAGAAGCTTCTGCGCCGTGCTCTCGCTGCATTGACGGAGGACGGAAAGAATATCGACGCCCGCCGTGCGGCAAACTTGTTCCGCACTCCAACATCATATACGACGTGCCCGATATTACCACTGCAAACTAGAGCGCAGGCGGAAGCAAATCCGTACTATTTGTACTGCAAGATCATTTTGGAAGGCGTTGCGAGTACCGGACAAATACCAGCTTTCACGGCATTGCTTCATGAGTATTTTGGGCTGCACGAGTGTGTCCTCCCTGACTGCAAAAGATATTGCCGAACCAGTGATCATCTTCCTCCGTTTCGTTTTTTCTTCAGGGATGACGGAAGCCGGCTGACGGATCCGGGCGCCGAATTCGTCGATGGGGTCTCTCGTGGTTTGAAGGAACTGAGTTCGGCGTTCGACAACTTGTGCAACGCAAAGACGAACTCGCTGCATGTGATCGAGTACATCATCAGGAATGATCTGGAGCTGGAATGCGACGTGGCGCCAGCCATCAATCGCCTGCGGAGCTTCGCAGGCCTCGCTACCGCAGAGAAACTGCAGGATGTCGGCGTCACGTTTGAGTACTACCGGCAACTTGTGGGAGAATATGACCGGAACGGGGATGACTTCGGCGGGACGATCAAGTGGACCCAGATAAAGAACCTGTGGGACGCAGATAAAGATCCCGTGGACGCAGATCAGAGGCTACGGGCGAAGCAGGTGGAACTCAGCAACGACGCGACGGCGCAGCAGGAGGAGAAGATTATTGCGGACTCGGACGGTATCTATGGGCCTTCCCCTGGCGAAGGTGGGGTGTTGCGATGCAGAACCTGCGATGTGAATCTGGGTGGGAGCCTCCGAGCATTGCAGGCGCACTTGAACTTGCACGAAGCGGGCGAATTCGTGCGTCTCGTGTCGGAACCAGGAGACTATTGCGTTCCGGTCGAGGAGTTTTTGGATGGCAAGTCAGGCAACTGCATCATACCACCGAAGTACACGCTCAAGATGAGGCACGTTCTTCCACCGGAGCGCTTCCTCCCTGACGGCGAGGCGAGCAAGTTCAAGCTGACGCGGATTCGATGCCCGGTATGCGCCAGCCACGAGATCCCGTGGCCACGGAAGTACCAACAGAAAATCGGGGCGAAGACGCGGATGCAGAACCACGAAAAGCAGTGCAAGAAGAAAATGGCGCTGAAACTCGACAAAGAGGCAGATTGATAGGGATGCTGCTGGGGCTGCGAGTTCCTCTGAAAGCGAGATTGACGACGAACTGGTCGACGGAGTTGAAGACGGAGAATGATCGCGAAATGAACACGACAAAAAGGACAAACAACTTTCGATGACACTGCAAACTAGGGCGCAGATAGCGGAAGCAAACCCGTGCTACTTGTGCCGCAAGATTGTTTATTTGGAACGCGTTGCGAGTACCGGACAAATACCAGCTCTCATGGCAGCGCTTCGTGAGTTTCTTGGGCTGCACGAATGTGCGTTCCCTGAGTGGAAGGAATACGTCCGAGATAATAGTGTCCTCCCAATCCTCAAGGATCGTTCGGCCACCAACGTCATCGATTTGGTTTCTCGTTGTTTAAAGAAACTGAATAATTGGGTGTTCGACGACAGTTGCAACAGAAACATTCACACGCTGGAACTGATCGAGTACATCATCAGGAATGATCTGGAAATGGAATGCGACTTAGCGCCGATCATCAATCCTCTAAAGAGATTCGCCGGCCTCACGACCGCACAGAAACTAGAGGAATCCGGCCTCACATTCGAGTACCACCGGCAACTTGTGCGAGAAATTGAACGACCCGGGGAGGACTTCGACAATACGACTCCGTGGACGGACATCGAGAACCTGTGGCGCACTGTGGAATGAAGTACTGATGGTGGTCAAGTTTCCGTGTCGGGGGGAGATGTTTATAGTTTTGCTGCAAAAAGACTGCTTCTGGTCCCTATTCCGATTGTTCAAGAATGTCGAAACACCATGACTACCACGAGCTTTTTTGTATTTGTATTGTAATGGTAATAAAAAGACGGATCTATGTCTACGTCTAGTGGTGACGCTTGTGAGTACTATTTTGTTTGAGCTAGTATGGCCTACTGCAACTGCTCCTCATCTGGCAAGCTACTTCACATTCCAGATCGTTTTCGTCATGAGTTATTTGGCTGTTTTTCTCGGCTCTTGTACTTAGTTTGCTTTGATGCTCCTGTCGCATACGAGAGAGCTGAATCGTTGTCGTCCGAGAGAGTTGCGTTCATCTTGGCAAGGTTTCGGGCGCATTTGTTTTGACAGTTTAGTGCTACGGGGATAGGGACGGAAGTGTCCCGCATCCCTCGATTTGATTTTTCGTTCTTCGGTCGATACGAGGATTTCGTCATCGGTATCGTTTGTTCATCTTCTGGTCGGTTGTTTGTTCGCGCCTGAGGGTTCTGAGAGTGATTCCAAATTTCTTCGCTTTGTTTTACTGCAAACCGCCTCTTCATCTTCTCATTTCCAGCCACCGACCTTTTATCGCATGACTTTTCCGTGTCAATTTGAACTTTCTCTTTCAACACTTTTTCTAGCCCTCTCAGCAGTTTGTGTGGTTTGGTTTTCGCTCAGAACGCAAAGTAAAGGTTGAAACTACAGAAACAAGACTAGAATTTCGATTTTCCAATTTTGAAAAAGCAGAAGATGTCAAGTGCAGCAGGTGGAAAAGCAGAGCCACGTGGGTCGCCACCCCAACCGCCAACCGCTTCTGCAAGTGCGAAAATCCGAGTCCGGAACTTCAGCGGGGAAGAGCATTCTGTAGACGTTGACGGACTGGTTCGCGTGCGAGACCTAAGCCAACCGAGGATTCTCCAAATGTTCTTCCAGGGTGATGAACTGATCCCGCCAGCTTCGCTAGTCCACTGGACGCTTGTGCGCGAAGATGTACCGGACGCGTCGGACGGAGGAGATTCGAAAGGTGAACAAGGGCCAGCTCCTGCGGTGTTGCCAAAAAATGACGCGGAAATGACAGACAGCGAGTTGGTGATCATTCCGGAAGACCCGGACTTGGAAAGCGTCTTGCCACTGGAAGAAGGAGCTGAGGACTCCGATGCTATGCCTGACTGCTTTCTCGGCCCGGACGCGGAAATCGATGTTGACAACCTTGCCCAGGTGGTCTACCAGTTTGGAGTTGGTCGCGTGAGTTACGACCTCAAGAGGCAGTCTGACGAAAGTAATTGTGATTGGGAAGTGCGAATTAATGCCGCGGTGAGAAACTTGAAGTCTGTGGACGAAGCGCAGGCGTTTTTCTACTGCGAGGCTCATTATTGTGGTGGTGTGGAGAGCCAGGAGAAGCTGAAGCGGATTCGGGACCGTAGCGTACCATCATCGGCGTTTTGTTCCGACACCTGTTTTTACTGTCGATACACAACTACATCTACAATCTGTCGAAGCAGGGGTCCGATTTTACTGTCGAAACACAACTACAATCTTGTTCGGGCGGCGTTGAATTTTCGTGCAGCGGAGTGGAGTAAATACCACAAAGCAATTGGTGGAGAATTCTTTTCCCCGTCGTTTCGGGACGCATTTTGCTGGAGTGTCGTTGATTCGGCGATCTACTTCGGCTCGCGCCGGCGACAAGCCGCGGTTTTCGCTGTCTTTCCTCCAGACTTGCAAGAAATCACCGCAGAAGACTGCCATAAGCTTCTGCGCCGTGCTCTCGCTGCATTGACGGAGGACGGAAAGAATATCGACGCCCGCCGTGCGGCAACCTGGTACCGCTCCGAATCAAATACGACGTTTCCGAGATTACCACAGCGAACTAGGGCGCAGGTAGCGGAAGGAAACCAGTGCTATTTGTACCACAAGACTGTTTTGGAACGCGTTGCGAGTACCGGACAAATACCAGCTCTTACGTCAGAGCTCTATTGGAGGTTCCGCCTGCACGAGTGTGTCCTCCCTGATTGCAAAAGAAACTTCGAAAAGAGTGGTATTCTACCGCTGCTGGGCCAGAATTTTTTTCGAGACAAGAACCTGCTGCTGAATCTTTCGGCGGCCGACGTCATCGATGTTTTCTCTCGCCGCTTGAAGCGCCTGAGTTCGACGTTCGACTCCCATTGCGACCCAAAGATTAGGGCCCTCGAAGTGATCGAGTACATCATCAGATATGACTTGGAAATGGAATGCGACTTGGCGCCAACCATCAATCCTCTGCAGAGATTCGCAGGCCTTACGACCGCACAAAGACTGCAGGAATCTGGCCTCACGTTCGAATACTACCGGCAACTTGTGCGAGAAATTGAACGGCCGGAGGATGAGGACTTCGTCAATAGGATACCGTGGACGGAGATAGAGAACCTGTGGCGCACTGTGGAATGAAGAATGAGTGGACCCGGTCAAGATAGGCTGGACTATGCAAGCTGCTAGCTTTAACGAAAAGACAAGAATTCTGTATGAGCATGCGAAGTGCCTGTTCAGAGTAAGCAAGTTTGTTGGCATGGGTCGGACTTTCGAACCTAATTGAAAACAAGGGTAGTTGTTTAACGTATTTCAGTGATGTAGCTCATCTGAGAGAGCCACGGCTGAGCTCGCTGGTTCATATGTGGTGGCGATCGCACTCACAGTTGCGAAAAATGCGCTCGGAAGTCTTGTTTTGCTATAGTCCCGTTCTTGACAGTGTCCCTGTTAACGCTGAGTGTCGAGAGTGAGAGCAGAAATAAATCTGATAAAAAAGAAAAACCTGTTCTTAGAGTTGTCCTGAAAGATGGCTCTGCATTGAGATTCGTAATTGGAACGAAGGCACAGGTTAGAAGATTACGATTACATTAATTCATATTTGTATATCGACATCCATGACAGAGATAGGAGTACCCCCACTGGTATTGTGAGGGCGGCGGCAACACAGTGGACTGCAGGCACAAGACGTTCATAATGATCTGTGTCTGGATCGATCTGCATTTGTCCTGGAGCAGCGACAGCTCTGCAGTCAATGAATCGTTTTTTGATTCGACAAACTGTACAGGAGACTGGGGTATGGACTCACATGCGATAGCGTTCTGGAGAAGCGAGGCTGCTCTCTATGACGCTGGAGAAAAATCCAAAGAAATTTTCTTCATCTCCGACAGTATCGGTCAGCTCCGTTGAGCCTCTGTATGAGCTAGCAATAAGCAACCTTCCGCGACGACCTCCGATGAAAGGTGTATCTGCCAGTGCCCCAAACTGTGAGACTGCAACGTCGTACTGACCTATACTTGCATTTGTAGAAGGCCTCTCTCGTTTTGCTTTCGCTGCATGTCATGATGGGTTTACCAATCTACTTTTGCTTTTAGTGAGCAACGACATAGCGTTAAATATCCATGCGTTTTACACCAGAATATGAATGGTATTGGCGTTATTTATCTGCTCTTTCCTCGCACGCTCCTATCGTGTCCCATGTTTCAACCTTCTATCGCTCCTTTTGCCTAGCGCATAGGATCTGTCATTCGTATTTCTGCCGAAGTTCGTGCTGTTTGATTTCGAAAGTGGTTTAAGTGTTCCTAAATAAATGGAAAAGGAGCCATAAATGGAGAAGCTACGTTTTTGATCTAGAACTTCACCGTGCCTAAAAATCGCCAGGCTAAAAAAATGTTCAGCGGTCTCTTTGGATCTGCTGGCAGCGATCAGAAGAAAGAAGCGCAGGCGGAGAACGCTAAAGCACAATCACGCGAATGGCAGAGGCGAATGAAATCAGAAATGCGGTCCATGGAGCGAGAAATCGCTAAGATAAAACGGGAGGAAGACAAACTCAAGCGAGAGGTGAAGCAGTATGCCAGCAAGGGCGAAATGGTCGCGGTCAGAACGCTAGCGAAGCAGGTATAAGTACTTCCTTCATCGCCGTTTCGCATTCCTTTCGTGCGCGGGCACAGGAGAAACAGAAAAGAACATCCACGCATCACAGGATGCGAATCGTGAAACAAAGTTTGAAAAATCACAAACACGTCGCAAAAAAATGAAAATACAGCTGGTGGGGTCCCGGCGTGCGACCAATAGATTGTACCTGGCCAAAACACAACTCAATTCGGTGTGTATGGAGCTGACTGCCATGACAAGCACGATGCGACTCGCGGATTCCCTGAAGCAAAGCACGGCCATCATGCAGGGAATGTCGCAGCTGATGTCGATACCCCAGATCAGGCAGGAGATGACAACCATGGCCCGCGAAATGCAGCGCGCTGGACTTATACAAGAAGTCCTTGACGATGCAGTAGAAGAAGCCCTCGACGCCGACGGCGAAATCGAAGGCGATGCGGAAGCTGAGGTAAGTATGTACAACATATTCTCGTCAGGATGCTCGCGCTGCGATACGTGTAGCATTGGTGTTCTGTTCATCTTCGTAATCGTTGTTTCTATACTTGTACCGGGACACAAATCGAAAGCAACAGGAATAGCAAGTGCCTACTGCTGCACTGGACGAATGGTAAATACTTACGATGCGAACTATAACTAAACTTGGAGTGGTTTCACAGACATCCAAATACATTTTTCCAAAAATGCTACTCTAATACAGACACAAGCAGTCCTGCAAGAGCTGGCTCTCGACAATTTGGAGGGCCTGAAGGCACCTGGACAAGGGAGTTTGACCGGTGGAGCGGCCTCGAAAATATCCACACGAACCTCGGCCAGCACAGCTGGCGCGACGAGTGCACCACGAGAAAAGAATCTAGCAACGACAACGTGAATTTGCTTTATCTTCTGCATGAGCAAGAGTCCTCTAGGAATATCAATGTAGCGCGTTTGTCTCGCTCCCTCAAATATGGTAAACGCGAGCAGTCGCTTTCTTATTTTATATTTGTGTTCCATTCGATTTCGACGTGATCGTATCGTTTGCATACAGCTTCGCTGTTCCATGTCTTTATCGTTCGGAATTGAACGAGCTCAGTCTGTCACGTAGGCGTATCAATCGAGAAATGAAGAAAGAATAAGACTTTCTTTCTGCTTTCTAGATTCTGCTTTCGTGTTGAGAGAGTGCAAGACATGGCGGCATTGCTTGTCGATCTATCACGATCTCCGTCGTAAGTATCGAAGTCGATACGTACGTACTTCTTTGAAGGCTCTATGTGAATAATCAGGATAGAAGACCGAAGAGAGAGGTCGTAGTTGACAAAAATATCTGATTTAGAATGACCGCATTTTTAGCGGGTGGATTTTGGAGCGACTGGTTGGTATTTGCGAACGACAGTGACGCTCTTTCGGCCAAGACCGATTGCCGGCGGGGGTGCGGCGCTACGGTTTCGTTCTTCGACCAGGATTCCTATCTGAAGAAGTGGCTCTTTCACCAAGACGTGGAAGAACAATCTGAGCAGCACCTCCAGGACCCCGACGTAGTACAACACCACGCGGGCAAGGCTTCTCTTCGTCGTGCTCGAACTAAGAAGCCCACGCCGACGAGTCTTAAGACGTCCAGGCGAGTCGATCTGCTGTTCAGAAGAGGTACGCACAGGGTACAGCCCCTTTCTCAACTACAAGCGTCTCAGTCAGCGTTAAAATTTCGCAGGGGAGAAGTAGACATGGCAACGAGTTCCTGTGTGTATGCGGAGGTACCGAAGAGTCTTCGCGAAGATTTCTTACACCGTTGTGCAACTACTGTTCTCCACAAAAATGATGTTCCAAGAACCAGGAGCCAAAGCGGCTACCTGCCGCTTGCGCAATATAATGACGAGGATCCACCTGCGTATGATGGAGCCGCACTCGCGGCGAGGCACCATAATAGCAAACATCGTGTGCGAAGCAAAAGTTCGTCCAGATTTCTCTTTGCCCCTGATCCAAAGGACGGAGAAAGTCTTGATCATGCAGGTGCAAATCAGGATAAGCATGGCGGGCAGCAGCTAGGAGATACAACGGCGATGAGAACGCACGCACGTAGCCTCGCTGTTGTTTCGTCCTCAGACCACCCGGGAGGTGCTGTTCCTGGGCAGCGCAGGAGACAGGGGGAGCAGCCCCCTACGGATGCGAGCACGGGGCAGCGGCGCATGCGGGAACAGTTTGGCGACGACGAAGAGCCGACGAGCGACAATAGTGTCGTGCGTGCGGGACGCAAGATCAGTAAGGAGATTCGGGTCATGTTGTCGGACCTGTCGTGCCTGACCTTCTTTGAAACTTCGATCCACACGGCAGGCTACGTGGGCATGATCATTCTGGCCAAGGCCTTGATGACGAACGGCATGCCGTACCCTCTGTTTCTGATCTTCACAGACCAGATTGTCTGTTGCGGCGCGATCATTCTGCTGCGCCGCATGGTTCTGCTGCACCAGGATCGGCAGGAAACGCGGGAACAGCAAGCCTCGATGTACATCGCGGGTGCAGCAGGAGCTAGTAGTGCCAGTAGCACTTCTGCAAGACCGCTGGTGGGCGAGGACGCAACATCAAGTGGAGCTCGCGAGGAGCCAGGAATGAACCGCGGGGGTTTTTCTGTCGACGGACCCATGTTCATACGAGAACACAGCGGCACTGCAAGTCCTGGAACCACCAGCGGCACCACGCCCCGTGCAGCGACGTCGCCACTGGAATCTTGGATCGGACCGGTGAGCACGAGCTTTAGTGCGCTTCGCGAGGTTTTGCCGCTTTCCGTTCTGAATGTTGGCACTGGGGCGACCGGCATGGCGAGCAACTTGTTTCTGTTTCCCGATGTGACGGAAGCGATTCAGATGACGGGCCCCGTGTTCCAGATCCCGTTGTCCTTCTTCGTTCAGGGTGAGAAATTTTCGACCTACACCTTGCTCTCCTTACTCCCGCTGTGCGTCGGCGGCGTTTTGTGCTCTGTCGGCGAAGTGAACTTCAACTCGGTCGGAATGACGCTGGCCATAGTGTGTGTTGGCTTTCGCGCCGGGCGCATGCTGTTCACCGCAGTTTTGGTGGACAAAAAAGCAAATGAGCTTTTGCTTGCTGGGCGTGGTCCTGGGGAGCGCCTCGTGACCGCGGAAGGCGACGAGCAACAGGATGAGGGCACCTCTACTGCTATTTCAACTGAAGGTCTTGCGCTCGAGGCAGACGAAATAGCAACGAGAAACGCAACAAATGCGCAGGAAGATGCAAAGAGCGAGTACAGCCCGGGACACGGGGCGCACAACCGCCGTCGCCGCCACATCGTGCTGGACCTTGCGCTGTTAGCATTGCCGGTAAACGCTACGGGTTCGTTGCTCATGTCGTTGCTGTTTGAAGGGAGGGCGCCGTGGATTCACGTGCTCCAGCACCCCTGGGCTTGGCAGTCGAGCGTAATTTTGCTGAAGGGGTTTTCTGCCGCCTGCTGGTACGCAACCGAGTTTTTGCTGATTGAAGAGCGCGGCGCCGTTTTCACCAGCATCATCGCTAACGTGAACCGAGTGTGCTGCATCGCGACGGACCTGCTTGTCTTCCACAACCCGGTCTCGCTGATTCAGGCGGGCGGGTTCGCGCTCACCGCTGGCGGCCTCAGCAGCTACCTGTTTTCCATTGTGGGTCGCGACCGCAAGGTGGGGCCGTCGGAGAACGCGTTCAGTGGGCAGGAAGTTGTACTCGAGGACGTGGTGGAGCACACGGGCAGTGAGGGCGAGGAAAATGTTCAGGTGATCCGCCACGTCCCCGTCGACATCACGACAGGCCAAGCTGCACCTCGGGATGTTGAAGGGGGCAAACAGACGACCAAAGCCAGTAGCGACGGCAGCAGCATTGTCGCGGAAAAGCAACCACCGCTGCCGGCCACCGACCAAGGAGCTGTCGCGAGGCGAACCGGCATGGGTGCGCCGGATGACTCGCAAGGGAGAAGGCGAGCCGGACAGGGGTCTAATCCTAACACAGAAGAAGGACAAACGACCGGCGGGGGCGGAGAGTTGAAGAATCGCGTGTGAGGAGCCCATCGTGGATGAGGGGCTGTACATGTGCACTGCTATTGCCTGTGTATGGAGTATATCCACGCAACGAACGCATGTGCAGCTGCTGCAGGATCGTGACCTTTTTCCTGCATGACCTAGTGGGGTTGACAGCAAATAAGAAACGTTGTCAAGGAATGAAATTTCGAGACCTTGAACTTGTAGTTGGCAGAGTGAGTACTCCGAACTGTTTTGTAAGCTCGGTAAAGAGCTAGCTTTGTGAAGGTACTAGGCAAAGAACTTTGACATCCGGGACAAACGACCGCATCCTGGAGTCTCACGCAGACAAGGGCGACAGATTACATCGATCGAATGTGGCCACGCACCAGCAATCATTCAATGCCAATGAATATTGCTCGCACTGCTCTTGTTTAATACCGAAGTCCTGACCTGGTTGTACTCGACGTTTTTTCAAGGACCCTGGCACGGGTCGTTTTCGTCTTTGTGTATAGGCCGATCAGGATCAATCATGGACTGAGGAGCACTATCGTAACATGATCAAACAACCGTCTGTATGTAGAAGCTTGTTTTCATTTTTTTTCTTGGATCCTCACCCAGTTTTAGCGAGAAGGAATATGTGAACGAGACAAATAGTCGCATATTGTGGCGCAGCAGCGCCGGCGTTTTTGAACCATGGATCGCTGTATCATAATCATGTAGTGAGTCGCTTCTCGTGAATTCAAGAGGAAGTTGTGTTTCCATGATGTGCAACCGATTCAAAGCAAACATTCGCGAACGTAGTTTTTTGGTTTAACTGTTACATGGATGCTTAGAAACCAAAACAGCACTCATCTTTGATGTAAGTTATTTTCGGCACACAGCATCATGACCATCAGCATGTAGTTCTTCACAGTCACAGCAACGGCGAAAATACAAGATGAGCGCAGTTTATACCGTGCGTCTCATCTCATCGGAGACCTGTTTTGCTGGGTTGAACTCCCACCGGCATGCGGAAAAGTGGGGCCAGCATGCGCTTAGCAATGTCCGCGTCGTGGAGCTCGCCGTGCTATCGTCGTTCTCAGCGAGCCCCTCAGCATCTTCACGGAGTACATCAACTACACGCGGAGGTAGAAGTGCTTCCAGCACCAGCACAACTCCTACACCGACGAAAAAAGTGTGTGTCGGCTGTCGTTTTCTTGACACGTGGGAATTCCACCGGCAGCGACGAGGGATGGTCGGCCCCGATGCGGACGAACACGGCAAAATTACGGGTTCCGCCGAGTCGCCGGATGAAGTCCTGTACCTGTCGGAGTCCTTTGCCGAGAGTGTGCAAATTCCGGCGAACGCACGCGTCACGGTTCGTCCAGTTTACAATCACGAAACGCAGAACGCCAAGGAAGTCCACGTCCGCGCCTTACATGCCAACGATTTCGAGCTGGTGGACGCCAACGCCGAATGGATCTGCGACAATCTCCGATCGCAAATCGGCAGCTTGACAGGCGCGACCACGTATTTTCCCATTTTCATTCACGGTACCGCGATTAAGCTGCAAGTGCTGAAGGTCGTCGCCGCGAGCACTTCAAGTACTACCGACGAGGCCGCAGTTGCGGAGCAGAAGATCGAGGAGTCCGATGGTAGTTCCTTTGTGTACGTTCTCACACCGGAAACGGATCTGATCATCGAGGCACGGCAGCAAAGTCGTGGCAACCTGCACGAAGACGAAGAGGTCAAGAGCTTCTGGCTTTGGGTCACTTTCGTTGCCGCTTCCACTGAAGAGGAAGCGAGTTTAGAGGACAGCACAACTACAAGTGCAGATCTCGACACGATGAATGACGGTGCCCCGCCGGGTTCGACAGGAAAGCTTGAGCTCCCCCCGGGACGAATTTACCCCAGGTGTCTCGGACTGCATCCGCGGCTTTTTCGCGCAATCTTCGATCCGACCTACACCGATTTCATGATGGAGAACCCAGCAACCGGCGTGAAGGAAACACACTCGATGCAACGTGCGAGGCTGCTCCGCACAACCGTGATGCAGAAGGGCGCAGGTTCGGCCCGGGGCGGAGCCAGCCGGCACTACAGCGATTCGGAGTACAGCAGCCCGGCAAACAAGCTGCGAGGAACTACCGCTGCCTCACAGCAGGCGCAGCTGAGCTCTTTGCCGAAAGACCAGACCCTGCTGTGGGTAGAGGGGGAAGTTTTCCTCTGCGTATTGGATCGGCGGTTGCAAAGCCTGCGCCACTGCAGCGTATACGGGGACGCCCGTTTCGCCAAGGGCAGCTTTTTGGTGGCAGAACACGACACACGGCAACTTGCGGTCACAGTGCCGAGTATTCGCCTCACACTGCAGCTGCCGGAGCGCTTCCGAGGGGCTGATAAAAAAGAAGGGTTCGAGCAGGGCGTCGCGAATGAGGAAACGATGGAGGTGCAAAATGATCTTGGTCTTGCTATTGCATCGGGCTCGTCTAGTATAGACATCAAAATCTGCAACCTCGTTGACGCCGCGTTTTCCGACTTCGTGATGCAGGAAAATGGGGCGATCCTGCAACACGGCATGCAGCTTTGGCTGCGCACCAAGCGCTCCTTCGAGGCACAACTGGAAGTGGCGCGTCTACGACGGGCTGAAACGGCGTGCGGGGAAGAGTCAGGAGCCGACGCTGACGGCGTAAAAAACGTGGACCTGTCATCGTTTACGGAGCTGGAAGAAGAAGAAGATTGCGAGAGTCTTTACAACTGCGATTTGTCTGCCTCTTCCGCGTCAGAGGCATGCAGCCTTGCCGTTAAGCAAGTCCCAGATGGTAGCAGGGCGGACCTCGACAAGAACATAAAGAGATTGGCCGATGATGGTGCTGTAACTTCTGCTTCCCTACTAGGAAGCGCCGGAGACCCAGCAAACGTGCAGCCAATGGCGCCCCCGGGTCAGCATGAGCATGAAAACCAGGTGCAGGTCGTTGTTGGAGACCTAGATCCATGGGCAGCAGCGCACTTAGACATGACGTCTCTGGACTGGGGCTTCGAGGATGTTAGCGCTACTGCTGCAACCGGCCTGGGTCATGATGCTGAAGCGAGTCCTCCGGAAAGAGAAAACGAAGATGACGTCTCTGCGGAACTACTTTTCGCGCCGACGAAAAGTGTGGGGCAGCGGTATTTCTACTATCCAGTGCGTCTGGAGTTTCAGAACATCGATGCCAGTGCGGACATGTACACACTTCTGGAATCCTACGAGCTCGGCGACCATGACATGGACGTTGATATTGAGTTCACACCCACGGAGTCCAGGAGCGCGCTTCTCATGACGAAGGCGTTTGCTTTTCCGCAGAGGGATTTTTCTCGCCCTGGAAAGACAAGTGCTTTAGCCTTGGAGCCACCTACTTGTGCTGCCCCATCCTTTCACTCTGAGACACTGCTACGCAGCTTTTGCGAACGGGCAAACGTGGAGGATGCAGTTACCCGGCTGGTGCTGGAAGCAGTAGAACTTTCACTCAGTCGTCAAAGCGCCACCAAATTTGGCTTGCCGTCGCACCTGAGGGAGCTTCCGTTTTTCCAAAGGACCTTGTCAGCAGCTAGGAGTAAAGTAGATTCGCCGGCTGTGCGTAGCGGACTGCTGATGAGCGGAGCTCGCGGCGCTATGCAGAAAGATGTTCTGCAACACGTGCTTTCTGACCAGAACAAGAACGCACTCTGGATCAATTGCGCGCTTTTGGCGAACAGCAAAGTTGCGTATAAAACGATCGGGCTCTTGCTCCAGACCGTTTTGCTCCTTGCCGTGCAGCTCTCTCCAGCTGTCGTGGTTTTCGAGGAACTAGACGCGTTGCTGCTCCCTGAGAACGCCGGTGAACAGCCAGCGGTAGAGAACATTGCGTCGTTGCGGAGCCAGTGTCTTTCCGATACGCTGAAAGACCTGCTTCCGGTTCTGCGCGCCAGCTGCGCAGAGGAAACGGCCCTTGCACTGGACTTCTCTGCGCTTCACAAGCAAATTGTGTCTGCGTTCGAACTGCGTACGACCAGTCCCGACGCGGCGAGCGATGCGTTACAGGAGTTTTACTGCGCACACCAAGAATCTGCTCTGCCCTTGGCGCACAGCTTGCAATTTGCAGCCACGGTCACGAACCGCGAATTCAAAAGTTTAGTTACGTCGTCTTTGGCTCTAGATTCGCGTGTGCACCTCGACAATCCGGGGCTGCGAGACCGAGCGGACATTTTGGCAGCTTATTTGTCGCAGAAACAAAAGGAAAGCGCTCCTGTTGCTTACAGTAGTGACTACATGTCTGATCTAGCAAACGATCTTGCCGCACGTACCGACGGGTCCACAGTCACGGATCTTCTTGAAATTGCAAACTTCACCATGAAAACGCTTCTCCGATCCACCTATGGCGATCCGTCGGGCTCAGAAGAAGACTTGTTATCGCCTTCCACACCGAAGCTTTCCGCCGAAGCGGTGCTCGAGGAATACCGGCGAAGCCGTCCTGGACACCAGGCGTCTTCCAGCAGCAGCTCATCGACCGGAAAAGCGCAGCCGCTACAAGCCGAGTCCATTTTTTGGGAGCACGTCGGGGGGCTGCAATTGCAGAAATCCGTCCTGCTCGACACCCTGCTCCTTCCCACCACGTTTGAGCCGCTCTTCAAGCGGTCCGCCATGAAGCAGCGCCAAGGCCTGCTTCTCGTTGGGCCGTCGGGGTGCGGGAAGACGTTCCTCGTGCATGCACTGAGCAACCGGCTTCGCGGCTTCGTGCGCTTTTTCCAGGTGAAGGGGCCGGAACTGCTCTCTAAGTACATTGGGGAGAGCGAAGCCGGGGTGCGCAACGTTTTCGAGCAAGCCCGGCAGGCGAGTCCCAGCTGCATTTTTTTCGACGAAATCGAAGCGCTCTGTCCCGTGCGCGGTGGCGAAACCACTGGCGTGACCGACCGCGTTGTAAACCAAATGCTGACCTACTTGGACGGGGTGGAAGCGAGGAAGCAGTTGTTCGTCATCGCTGCCAGTTCCCGACCGGATCTTGTTGACCCTGCGCTGTTGCGGCCGGGCCGCTTCGACCGTAAGCTGTACTGCGGCCCGCCTGCCGGAGACACGCGGGAGTGGCACGCAGTTATACAAACCGTGATTGAAGCGGGCAAATTTGGCCTAGACAAGGAGGCCCGGGAGTATTGCCAAGACACATTGCCCGCGGAACTGGCGAAGATTTCCGGTTTCACGCCCGCAGACGTGCGCGCGCTGTTCTCCACGGCACAACTCGACGCAATTCACAAGAAGCTGGAGGAAGCGCGGCACCAGGGAGATCGCGCGGAAGAAGACGACGAGAGTCAACAAGACGAAGCTCGCATCTCTCGAGCCATGTTGGAGTTTGCCGTGGCCTCGACAAAGCCGTCGCTATCAAAAAACGAGGTTGCACAGCTGGACGCTCGTTTTGCGCAGTATCAGGAAAAATCTCCTGGTCGTACGGATCGTGGACGAGGGGGAGAAATCGCTGGAAGGTTGCAACACGTGTCGAAGAAAGTAGCTTTGGCATAATAGCCTTGACTGCCTGCACCTGCGCAATGAGAAGTACTTTATCAGTCGGTTACTTTAGACTGGCCGCCGCACAACTGATACCTACTAAAAACAGCGGCTCTTTTTACTGCAGGTGTTTGCCTCGAATATTTTACTGAGAGCCATCAACAACGCAATTACAACAAAGCATATATGGTTTATGCGCATAAAAATAAATGCGGATGATGCAGTTGCAGTTGCACTAGCTCTTTTTCTCCCTAGGTGGTATCTGAAGCTCAAGAAGCTCTTTTTCTGCTCCAAGTTCTGCCACGACAGACGGTTGAAGCCATATGTTTGTTTTTTTTCCTTTCTTACGTATTTGGAGTAGCCGGCCGATAAACCCGAGTGCGAAGAAAAGCAGGCAATCGGCCAATTTAGCAATCTGCTGACACAACATCAAGTAGACTCGTGGACTAGATTCCACATTGTGGAAAGCTAAAGCAATGGAGCGGCTTCTAGATTCGATTCTCATCTGAATCTGATTTCAGGGTCGATTATGTATCCCATCCTGACATGATCATGAGTAAGTGAGCGATGTCAATATTTGTTGTGAGTATCATTTGGTTTCGTTCGACCATTCGTCGCACTCGCAGTGGGAGAGCTTTTCCTGGTCACGTAAACAGGAGACAATTTTGACGGTGACCACCTTGATGCGTGGTCGTGAGTCGCAGCGTCGTCGTGGTCGTCGATGTACTATAGATGATCATTGAAAGGGAAAGCCGAGATGAGACGCAGGCAACGATCGCTTTTTCGTGGTGTTGCACTTACTAGCGCCATTATAATATAAATTCCCTAGTAAGTAGTTCGTTGAGATACTGGATTCGTGGACCACGCTTGAATTTTCGATCTTTTTTATGTCGTTCTTCGCATGCGATCGACCTATATTGGTATTTATGGAAGACAAACACAAAGACTAAGAGGGAATGCGTGCAGGTATCTCGAAGTTTACTTTTCGCTGTAGTTCCCCAGAACGATCATGACGAGGCACACTCGATCTGAACTCATGAAATGATAATGAATTGCGTATGAGTCTTGATGGTCTTCTCTCATCGACAGAACAATACGACGAGTTGAAGTCCTCGTCACGACGTGACAAGGTCCAACCTTCGCCCAAGATGGAATTCTTTCGTAAAAATACCCTGACCGAGGCTTGTGGGAAATGTTTCATCTGCCAGGAAGCAATCGCGACTGCTCCGGCCGAGACAACCTGCTGTAACAAGTGGGCTTGTGTGTCCTGCCTCGAAGAGTTGTACGAGGAAGATCCCTGCCCCTGCTGTAGGGCTGAGGACGTTGAGTGGACTACCGTAAAACTCATGGACAAGTTGCTGGACGAGGAGGAGGTTTTTTGCTCGCTCTGCAGCACGAGGAGCACGACTACCATCAGCATGACTCGTCACGACTACAAGTGCGACCATATCCATAAGGAATTTTGGTTGTGCGAAGATCCGTGTCCACTTCTCATTCGCCCGTGCATCCACGAGGATTGCACCTTCCACGGCAAGCTTGAGAATCTGAAGAAGCATCTTGCGCATGACTGTGAAAAGGTATACGTGCTTTCCTAATTTACGCTATCTTCACCCCTTCTGATCATCCGCTGGGTATTGATTTTATCTGAACCAGCAGAAGCGGAAGGTGACGACACTCACAGAGAACTACGAAACTGTTTGTTGTTTTGCGTGACCAGCTAGATTTTTTTTTTTCACGGAGGACTGCAGTTCCGTATCCGTTCTACGTCCTGGCACTAAAAAAACAACTACTTCTGCAGGGTTATCGCAAGTTGGACGAGGAGGCAATAAGAGCGTGTGGTGGGAAAAAGGGTCTCAAGAAGTCACAACAAATGATCGAGGACCTGTTAAAGAAGTTCCCACCAATGTCTCCGGAAGACCTGCGCCGCACACTTGCGGATAAGAAGCTGAATCTCACGGCGAGGTGGGCGATTGCGCTTGCCGGGAGCGAAGAGGACGAGATTGACCTGATGGTCGAGCGTGACCTGGTGAGTCCGAGAAGTGGGTGTGCAAAGAGCGTCACTCATATTACGGAATATCTATTCAAAGGTACCTGTTATCATTATCTCGTGTCGCTGTTGGCAGAAGTCTTGGTATTGGTTTTGGTGTTCGAGCACGAGTTTTTTTTGTGGTAAGGCTGAGCTTGTCGCGCTCGTGCGTGACGAGCACTCCAAGTGTCTCACAGTACGAACAAAATTTTAACTCGTGTTTCTTTGTGTTGATGCCAGCCAGCGTCTAGTAGCTGCAACAGGAGGATGGTACTGGTAGATGTAACACAAGAAGCTCTGTCCTAACGCCAAAAAAAAACGAAACATCTCTTCTCAGGTATTAAAAACACTGTGGTTGACAAATCGAAGCTCACCGGAGAACCGACTCGGGGAACGCTAGGCCCAGGCGACTCCATGTACGAGTTGCTCCAGGCGTATTGGGCCACACTGAGTCACCGGGTAGTGGACCGTTGGAACCTCGAGGACTGGAAGGACCGGGACTTGCCAGAACACTGCAAAGTACAACCAGCACGCGACGACGGGATGGCGTTGTGGAGTGCTGCTTTCGAAGCGCCAACGGCCGCCGTGCCGACGCCTATGAGCGCGAGGGAACGCAGTCCGCGGCGATAGATCGTTCGTGGCGATTTTTCGAGGACAACGACAAAACGTGCCTGTTCCGTGTAAATGAGACGGAGCGTCTGAAAAGTGAATCTGTATGATAAAGACAAAAACAAATAGGGAAAGGAAAACTACTTACTTCTGAGACTGAGTCTGGTTTAGGTTTGGATACAGCAAAGACGCGACGGTCACTCTTTGTAGCTCAACGAGCTACGACGAGACAGAAACAAGAGCTAAATTTTCTTTGTACGATTTTTGAACTTTACTTCTTGTTCTTATCTTGAAAATAATTGATCGCCGTCTTCTTGATGTCGTGCGATTCGCCTACAGGTGCACAAGTATTCAAATAAAGGAAATATTTTGCCGCTGGTAATGCTAATGTAGATTTTCAGAACTGAGAACTAGTCGTTGGGTGTGACAAGTCCTTGATCTTTACGATTGAACTAAGAGTGAGACCAGCACAAAGAAAAAAGCCTCGCAGTTGTATCATGTCCTGGCGAGCCACAGCGTCACCGCAGCCGCAAAGGCGTTTTTTTGTAACTGCGGGAATGGTCTCGGTTTCCGCAACGAATTCCGTGTTATGTGGATAAAAATATGGATGTGGATCATCTATTGATGGTTGTGCTTGTGGTTCTTTTTGTACACAGTTGTGGTTGATGCCCTTGCCTTTCTTCACTTGATTTTGAAGGTTTTTTTCCTGGTGATACGCGAACGTGCGGGCAGGATGCGCAAGTTTGTACCTGGATGTATGGCCACACGATTCCTGTATAAATAATTGGCGAAGCGTGGCAATAATATCTTGAGTGTTGTTTTTTTCTACTTGTGATTTTTTTCGGTTGTTTCTTTTTTTAGTTGTGATACGGCTTGAGAACCACCCACGGAAGAGTCCTTCAGTGTCGTGTACAAATCTTTTTTCGGCGCTTCTTTTTTTTCTGAGGAGTTTTATCATTGGTACTCGTGGTCTGAAAATCCACTCCAATGGCAATGACTTTCTCGGCTTTCGAATTCCCAGAGTGATTCCACCCTCACAGTCTGCAGTGATATAATAAATTCGCTCGTCGACGTCATAATATCTATGCAATTGAAACTAGAAATTTAATTCTATTGTTGGAAACGCTTCCTTTACGTATTGCCTGTCTTTGCGAGATCATAACTCATTAAGGAAACAGATACAACTAGAAAGCTGCGTAAGAATACACAACGACAGTAGCAAAAAATGACGTTTCGGTACCCGGAGAAATTCAGTGTTTTGGGGCAGTTTGATGTTGTCGTCGAGAATGTGACGTTCGACATCGGTGAAGCCCAAGCCTTTCGGGAAGTGTCCCTCCTGCAGTTACCCACGAGCAACTCCAGTTCGCCAGCGAAAAACCGTGGCCAGATGAAAGCGAACAAGGTTCGCGGGTCTGCAGCGATGCTGCGAACGACGTTGTCATCCTCGCCGTTGGTAACCAAGAGCGCTTCGGCATCTGGACGCCGCTCTCGAAAGAGTGGCCGGACCTCAATTTCTCGCAGTGCTTCCCTGAAGAAAATGCTGTCTTCAAGCATCGGACAGCACACAACACGAGCGCGCAGCGGCAGCAGCAGCGGGGAGGCGTCACCGTTGTCGACGAGTGTGAGCCGGCAGAACAGTAGTCGTTCTGTTTCCGCATCAAGGGTTCCGTCTTCGCACCGCAGACCAGCGCGCGACTCTGAGCTGACGAGCAGAACGAGTTCGTCTGTGTTCAGTCCGGCCCCGCGTGCGTCCTCGTCGGTAGTTGCGCGCGCGAGCAGTCGCAAGCGACGGTCCCGCGCTAGTAAAGGCGGAGATGAAGGCACTTGCTTAGCTTCTGGCTTCAGTCCCGCAGCGTCGCTGCAAGACCCACCGGAAAACCTGCAAGGTGAGCGGTCCGTCAGAAAAAGCCGCACTGTGTCCCGCAGTGCAAGCCGTGGCGCGCAGGACGAACTGTCAGACCAGCCCCTTGTCGTGAAGAAACAGTCGTCGATGCCCCGCCGGCGACGTAGTTCGCAGAAGCGGAAAGCCTCTCTTGTCGTCGAGACCCCGGACGGCTTTCTCAGCACGTACAGTGCGTCACGGAGAGACACCTTTCCCGCAGCTGATGCAGATGAAACGGCAGCAGACGATGAGGCGCGCGGAAAACTCCCCGATGTGGAGCACAACGCCGAGGAAAAGATGGACCCAGTCAACCACGTGTCTTCGGTCCGCGCTCCCTTTGGGAAAGCAGTTTCGTTCGATTCGCAACGGAAACACGAACGGAGTAGTAGTCGTCGCAGTCTGGCGCAGCAAGAATGGGAGGGCACAGAGGGCAAACAGGACGAGGGCGAGCAGGAACCGATGATCGTGAGAAAAACAAAAAGTGGAAATAAAAGTCCAAGCGTTCTCCAGCGCATGTCGTCGAGGGCGTCGCAAGGAAAGATTCCACCTGCGCGCAAGACCCCGTTTCCCGTAGCTGCACAGAAGACGATTTCAGCACGCAGCAACACTCGTGTGTCGCATGCCGGAGAGCAGGAGGATTCCTCTTCGTACGAGTACTATGACGAAGAGGAGGAAGAAGAAGAAGAGTGGGACGAGGAAGAAGAAGAAGACTCTTCGTCGGGCTATTTACCATCGGACTACGACCGACAAAAAATAGTCCAGAAAGAAGCATCGTGGACATCCGCTGCGGGAACCTCGTCCCGTGGTCCGAATGACGAAAGTACCGCGCTCGGTAGTTCCATTTCTGCTTCTCCGTCGCGCAATAGGAGTGGGTCGCGCAAAAGTGGCCGGGCCTCAACCAGTGCGGGTCGCCAGACGTCGCGGCTACTCGACGGCGACTCTGAGGGGCTCGTCAGCACTGCGCAAAATCCAATCTTGATACAAAGTCCGTCGACGAAATTGAACACGACCAGTTCCAGTCGCGGTGTGGAATACCAAACGCAAACTACGCCTGCTAACAGTGAATTCGATCCTGCAAGTTCCTACGCGCAAGCCGGTGTTTCTGTCGCGTCGACACAGCAGGACCCACATGTTCCGAAAGATATAGACTTCAAAGTTACCGTTCCGTACGAGCACCGGCATTTGTGGCAGGACAATGTGAAGTTTGCGTTTTCTCGATCCGGAAAGCCCTACGTGTGGAGCATCGACAACGTGGACAACCTTGCGCAGGTCTTCGGCCCCGTCATGCACACGCTGGCGTCCTACCCGGGCGCGAAACTGTGGCAGTTGATCAGGTTGTCGACCCTGAACCTCCTGACAACTTCCGGCACGGCCGCCTATTTTTCCCCGGCGTCCCGCACAGCTGCGAATTCTCGCGGGCGCAACTACGAGTGCCTGGACCTTACGTCCCTAGTCTCCGGCGCGGCTTCGCTCGGCGCCGGCGACCACTCAACGCAGAAACCTACGCGACGCGACATCGAGCGCTTCTGGCGTGACCGCATGTACGTCCGGAAGCAGGCGATGCAATTCGAGTTCCTGCCCGTCGTGGTAAGCAGAAACAGAGGACTCGCAGCGACGAACAACCACGGTTGTACAAGTGGAGGTTCTTCAGTGGTTGACGAGGAGAAGGAGATTTTGATCACGAAAACCAGTTCAATTCTGAACAGCGTGCCGCAGGTGAATGACTTGAGCAATCTGTACCTGTCCTACGACAAGTACGGCGTCCGCATCGGCGGTTTCGCGCCCAACTACCCGGTGGGCTGGCAAAACATCCGCGTGGGCGACCGCATTGTGGAGGTCAACGGTGTGAGTGTGGTGAACCGCCATCGAAATTTCATCGAACAGCTGCTGCTGGAGAACGAGACCGAGGTCGTTTTGCAAATCCGCCGGAAACTAGACGGCAGTATGACTGACCGCATTCCTTTTCTGCAGTACAAGGGATCCAACGTGGGTGCTAAGGGCGGTGCGAGTCGGACCGGCTTTCGTGGCGCTGCTTCGAGAATGCGAGGCATTGCATCTTCTTCACCAGCATCCGGTTCCGGTGGTAGCACTACGGCTAGCAGGACCCATGCCAATCTGCGTTCTGCGGCAGCCATGTCCTCCGGGAGTCCATCGCAGGTCGTGCTGAAAACAACGGGGCTTGATGAGGCGAAAAGGACGACAACGAATGCGTCCAGTGCCAACAGTACTAAGGCTCCGCGGGGGCGAATTGTGTACGGCGGAGTGGAGTCCATGCTCCTGTCAACGAATTCGTCGTCTCCAAAACTCCAAGATAAATACGCAAAAACTGCCTCCTCCCAAAGCCAAAGCAGAGTCCAGCCGTTTGATTCTTCGAGCAAGACGAGGACCTATGTGAACAACCCTTCGGGTGTTTCGATTTCGTCCCATCGGAGCCAACAGCAATCGCCTCCGCCTGGTCTGCGATTCAAGCCTGGATACGGGCCAGTGCACAACCCGCACGTGCCGGTTTATGAACAGTACGAAATGCCGTCAGGGATCTTTTGATCGATTTCGTTCGGAAAAAATAGATGATTATCGTGGCTAAAAGAAAGACGCAAATGTGTTTGTACGATATAGGATAATTAGAAGCTCGTACGTCAGGACTATCAGATCTATCAGGACGCAGTTTCATTTATTTTGAATTAGGAACAGAAATGTACTATGTAGAGACAACATAAAAGTAAAAGGCCACATACCGCAGTTTCATGCTGCTCTATCTAACGAAGTTTCAGATACCATACAGAAATTGTTCTTCTATGCACAGTAAAGCTTGGGATTTAAAGAAAATATAAGAAAATTATAGAAAAAAACAAGTTGAAATAAATTTTGCAGTGAGCAGGGGGCCAAATATTCTGGATCTGTCTATTGAACCTGTCGATGTCGGTTATATCCAACTGCTTTTGAGGCGTTGGCGTCGAGAGCATTGTATAAATATGAATTTACACATGATCATACATAGACCCAATGGTATGTCCATCTTCTGTTTCAGATGTCCAAGATCCTTGACCACTCATGATCACCAACCATGTTCTTGTTGGTCCCGGTCCACACTGCCTTGAATCATTCCCAGTTGTTCTGGACTATGCGACCGTGGCATCTTGGCGTAGGGAAAAGGATACATAACGTGACGAGTGACCAAGCTTCACAGCAAATACCTCAGCACTTGATACCATGCGTGTCGCAGTTGCTCTCGTATCTAATTTTGTCGTTCGGTTTCGCCGCGTCGAATCGAGTGTGTCGGAGTATTCATGATGAGCAATTCATTCGGTGCAGTTGTGTGAAAGAGCGAGCGATCATCATATATGAGTAGTGTTGTGGCGTACGCGTATGTAACGTACTTTTTATATATCGTCCTTCGTATTGATTTACTGAGTAAATCAATACGAATTTCTATCCATCTGGATAGAAATTATTTATTCATTTACTCGCACTCGCAGATGGATTATTGCCTCCACGAGGGGGGCTGGTTTGTTCTTGCTGACCTGTTTCTGCGTTTTATGAATATAGTGTATATACATATAGAAATAGGAATATTTTGTGGTTCCGTTGCCATGGACGCGAAAGGCAGGTACTTTGAGGTCGGTCGAGAACCACGACACGTGGAGCTCGCGCGGTGGCTGGGCGACCGCCACCGTGTCGAGCTCTTCTGTGAAGTGGTTCGAAGGGAAATAAAGATCCCTATTCCGTTCTCGCATCGCGTCCTCCTGGAGGGTCTCCAGGGCGTGCCACCGAAAATGCGACATACCTTAGCGCCTGGTGGCGTACCCTCGGCATCCCTGCGCGCACTTTTGCTGACCTTCGTTTCAAGTGCTGAGCGAAGTCGCTTCCGGCGCAGTGGTGATTTGGTATAGTTTGATTTTCAGCCACTGCAGTAGTTGCTTCTTGATTTATTATGGCGCGTTATTTGTGATTTGTTGTCGCGAGAGCGAAAATCTGCGTGACTACTTTTTTATACAATCTATCATACATTATTCTTGCAAGTCACGTCGCGTAAGTAATTTGTAGCGACGAAGGAGGACAATTATCGGAATCTTCTGCACATGCAATCTCTGCAGCTCGCCGACGAGTTAGAAGAGAACTTCATGGTATTTTTCCGCTTCGCAATGTTGGATTCGCCGCAGTCTCTTGCAACACCCAATCTCGCCTACATCGCCCTGGTAAAGTGGTTCGAAATGCGCAGCTCATTCTTGCACGGTGCGATCGAATTCTTCGTCTCGGAGAAATTTCCGTCCATTCAGGTGTTTGTGTCTTCGATGATGAAATTGACGCTCATGGAATTCGAGCACGCATTGTTGCAACAAGATGCCTGGCAACGTCGCAAGTTTCCGATACTTGCACTATCTGACGTCAACGCTGGAAAGCTAGCCAAGCAGTTGGAAGTGGCTGTGGTAATAATAAATTCATTTTCTTCAAAATCTGCTTTCAGTTTCCTAACCTAAAGATGTTTACCTTGCTTGCCGTAATTGCATCCTTGTTTTTACTTCTAGTGCGGTACAACTCTGTGTTTAGCATTGAACGAAGATGACCTTGACCGCTGAGTGGTTGCTTCGGCAAAATTTATTGGAAGGAAGTGAAATTTTGTGCGCATGATCTTGAATGAGATTGCGAGGTTCCGAACCCAAGCACCTGTATATAATACTCAAACATACCTGCACAGCTCGTCGGGTCGTCAGTGAAGAAGTATCGCACGGTCTGCAAGAAATCAACCATTAAGAGCACCGACTTGGTACCGGGCATCTTCCCCCGCGGCGATCCTACCGATTCACGGGATCATTTCCGTCGAACCAAGAAAGAGAAAATCAGTATTTTTCTGAATCTGCCGATAGAAATTTGGCGATTTGAAATCATTCCCTATTTGTAAAAATAGTGTCTGGAGGTGGGGGTGGCAATGACAATTCGACGGAAAAAGTAAATTTGACTGGAGTTATTTTTTGGAAGAGCAGCAAAAGCAATAGGAACAACTAAAAAAAGGCTACTTCATGTCTATCCTCAGAAGATATGTTAATGTTTGTATGATTCTACGAAAACCACAAGGAAAATCCCTCCAGTGATGAATTTGAAATTGAATTAGAAGCGTATCCATCAGCGCAAGTCTTCTCATTCGAAAGAACGGTACCAACATCAAGAGGAAAAGTTAAGAGGATCATGGCACCCACATCTCCACTTTAACCGTTGGCATCGGCAATGAGCCTAGCCAGCAGATTGAAAGTGCCTGCGCTAGTTTGTCAGGAAATGTATGATGAGATTATGATGTCAGCATGCAGTGCGAGGAAAGAAATGTACACAAAACTAAAAAGAAGAAAATGAAATTAATTTCAAATCTCAAGTCGGTGCATTATTGTATTAGGTAGACGCTTTTACTTGCTACGATGTATCTCGTTCGGCAGTGGACGAGGACTCTGAACTCCTCTGGGAGCCATACGGTCCATCCGTAGAGGACACGTACTAAAAAGATATGAAATTATTTGATTCAGACCTATTTGATATGGTTCAGTGCAATTAGGAGACTATTTGGCTATTTTTATATGCCTGCGTCGTGTCGTGATCGCCAGGTCACTAGATATTTATATTTTACCTGTAGTTGATTGCTTCAGTACAAGGCAAGGACGCACGACGCTGGGTTCCCAACGGAGCTCCGGGACTCATTACCATTCAGTGCTGTGGCTGTCACCTTAGGGGCTGGGTAAGAAAGCTCACTGAGGGATGGATTGCCGAGTCTGATGAACTGGGCACCATTTCTCTGCACACCACTCGGCAAGCCGCTTCTGAACCAGTGCACCTGTAGTTTTTAGCAAAACCTGAGCACCCCTACACTGTCTGTGAAATCTAGCGGACGGCTTTCGACGAAGTTGAGTTTACGTATTATGCAGTTACGGCGGGGGTGCTTGAGTAAGGTAGAGAAAACCAATTACGAAGACCGAAAAATAAAATCCCACCGTATTTAGACTTGTTGTGCTGAATACGATTTTCGTTTCAGAATAAATTAAACCTATTGGAACAAGCATTCAATTTAGAAGCAACACTTAGACAAGCTCAATAAGGTCACGAAGCTGACTGCTCGTCCGTCGTGTTCGTTTTTTTTTCACGCTCTGATTTGGTTGTTCTGGAGGTTGCTGAGCTTTTTTTTTGCTGTATTTTTCCTTGCATGATAGTCATGCATTGTGTGGTTTGTTCAAGTAAAGTTGGTCATGTCGGTCCTCAGCAGCATAAAGTATCGACTTCTCATCCGCTGGCCCGGCCACAATGTGCGCGTGTTGATGTCGGTAAGCTGCGTAAAAGCTGCGACCTGCTGGTCTTTGTGGGACTCTTCTGCCGACTGGTACTTGTTTTGGCTACGAAAAACGAAGACGTAGACACTGGACGTTGCCATTGGAACTGAAACAGCTCGATGACGCTATCCCAATCCCATCATAGCGTCTCCGTGTGGGCGTGCTCAAGGACAGTCTTGAAGCGCGTTTGTTTATGTACATGACCCAGCACTACCTATGCCTAGCCCTACGTCTTTTACTTTATGTTTAAAAAATATGTGCTGGCGCCTCCGTGTTGCTTTTGCAGACGTGCGATCTGTGTTCGCGTGACAGCGCAAGTGGCAAGACGAAGATGAACATGTTGCTCCAGCCGGGTTCTTCTGCAAAAGCCCTGCCACTGGCACAGATTGAGCGCGGTTTTGCACTGTCTAATGTGTCAGTGGAATACGTCGAGCGCGGGGTGGAAGGCACCTACAGGCTTTGCGTCGAATATGATGCTTTTGCATCGACCTCCACAATTTTAACTAGTAGAGACGAAACTGCAGCACGTCGTCGCCGCCTGCTGTTTTCCGCAAACGAGTCATTAGGCAAAATTCTTTGTCTTCGGGATGCCTACAAGGACACCATAGACAACTACGAACCCTACACGACGGTCGCGGCATCAGCTCGGCACGATGCCGACAACGATAGTAGCGATGAAGAGCGAAACATCACAATAGCGTCGGATGACGACGAACGAGATGAAGATGAAAAACCCGCATCGAGCCAAACAGCGGCAAGCGGTTCAAAGAGGAGAAAAAGCAAAATGAAAGGCAAGACAGGGCCAAAACACGAAGAGATGAATGTCGTAAGCGTATTGGCGAAGTCGGGCTTGGGCAAAAGCAGTGAAGAGACTTTCGAAAATGAAGATGAAGAAGAAGAACAACATGATAAAAGTGCAAGAAAGAGTGGCGATGCTGAGAACGACCGTGAAATGAAAGACCAGCAAAGGAAAAAGGATAAGCTACTAGGCCTAGTAGCCGGCAACGCCTCACTTGGGCCGACGTCTTCGCTGCCCAAGGGAGATAAGAATCTGACATCTGCTACGAACAGGAGTAACGCGATAGATGATGTTAAAGCACCGCTCCTCGTCTCTTCTGCGAACGCGAAGAAACCTACGCTGGGTGCTGTAAAAAGATCACAGGATCAAGACGACAAGCGCTCCGAGTCGAAAAAACGTGTGCAGTTCAAAGACAAGAAAGATGTCGTAACCTTTTTTAGCGGTGCCCCGGATCTCGAAGGAGATGAAACTGCGACCCAGGTGAAGCTCCTCGACGACGAAGATGACGAAGGTAACGGACATGATGGTCGAGACCCGGCGACGAAGAAGTTGAAGTTGTCGTCTCGGGAGCAAAGCGAAGAGAAACCGGCCACGTCTCGTGGCGTAGCGAAAAAGACTGGAGTATCAGCTTCAGCTTTTCGTGATGCAAATGGACGATTTAGTTCCCGCTCCAGCAAGAATAACGAGCAGAAGTCTATGCCAATGAAGGCAGTAAAGAAAGAGAAAGAGGTTGAGCAGGAGCCAGGCTCTGATGAATCTCCTTCTCTGGAAGATGACGACGAAGACCTTTTCGCTGGGTCGAAAAGTGCGACGACGACGAAATCCGCGCTAAAGGACACTTCTAGTATCAAGAAGTCGTCAAAGGAAAAAGCACCAGCCAAAGCCAAGGCCAAGGCACTTTCTGCTGTGCCATTGCTGAAACTTCCCAATAAGAACAAGGAAAGTCTGCTAGAAGAAGATGATGTCTCTGGACAGGAGAAAGGAGTAGGAAATCACGACAAGAACGCCAGCCGAGGCCTATTAGGAGAAAAGTCCCAAAGCCTGCAAAATGTAGCTGGCGAAGGAAGTGCAAAGACAACTCCACGAGATGAAGGCAGTACGAGAACTCCACGAGACACTGGTGATGGAAGTAAAAGAACGAAGCCCAGACCGCGTAAGAAGATAACACAAAACTCGGCAGGGAAGCCCGTCGATGTTGACGCTGACAGAATCTTTCGCGCCCTGATGTACATTACTCCTTTACTGCGAGTTGTCGCGAGAATACGAAAGGCTCAAGATGATGACAAACCGTCCAAAAGTGTCGAGCATGAAAAGGAAGAAGATGAAGACGTCGAGTTGCCAAATGTTGCCCGAGCTCGTGAGTGGTTGGTTGCGGACCTAGCTTTCGACATGCAAAGGCGCTGCCGGTGGATAGACACTACAACTCCCGCCAACGACGAGGGATCCATGTTTTTAAAGTCGCTGATCGAAGACGATTTAAGGAGTAGCAGTAGGAGTAACTACGGAAAAATCGGAGCGCAGCCTGCATCTGCTGGCGCAAAGGAATCTTTTGCGCGGAACGCTACCCCTCGCCATTCCAGCAAACGAATTCTGGAGCCAGGACTCTACCCTGATTACGCTTTCCGCGGTGACGTGCTAGAGTGTATAAATATTATGCTTTATTTATAATATTGATATGAAATTGATGTAAATGTAATTGAGCATACTACTGCTTCATGCTTGCTTGATGTTGATGAACACTATTCTATTGCTTTCGGCCTTGATTTCGCACTACTGGGGTCGAGTCCGTTCATGTTCTCGGCCGACGTAAGCAAGTGCAGAAGAGTACGCAAATATATAAAATATTTGAAAAAATAAAAAAGTTAATACGCACGACTTCAGTTGATCAATTTCCATTTCTTTCAATAATCAACAACAGCCTGTCCCCTTACTTGTCTGCACGTTCTCCCTGATAGTCATCCGGTCGGGCAGTGCACCGCTTGTTCCTTTACGACGCCAATGCAGAAACGGTGTCAATTCTACGAAATTGCGATTGGTGAACCCTCCAGGGACCACCTGCGTTTGTGCTTTATTTGCGGTAGAGTTTTCGCCAAGGCCAGACTGCAAGAAAAGCCCAGGGACGAGACGTACACAAATGACGTTCCAGGAGACCGCAGGTTTCTGCCGACTGTGGCAGAACGTGCAAGCGCTCTGAGGAAAATCATGGCCAACCGGGGTAAGTACGCAAGAATTTCGAAGCGCGGAATCGAAACCCCAGTTAGTAGGAAGTACTTGCACGTTTCGATCGCAGACCACTTCGGGGAGGCGCGAAAAGTCAAGAAGAAACTCCAAAGCTTGGAGCAACTGTTCCCGCACCACCGTTCACAAAACCACACGCCAGGGGAACCTGCCGACGACCGTGTCGACCAAGAAGTGGCGACAGACACGAAGATGAACAAAAAGGCTGGGCTTACCCCGTCCGCGCGCGCGCAGAAACTTGAAAGAATTCAAGAACTTTTTGTGCAGGAAGTAGAAATAATGAATATGATCCAGCATGAAAATATCGTGAGGATCCGTGAATCTTTTCTGGACGAGGAAGCAGACCCGAGCGAGTGGTACTTCTTTGCGGAATATGGTGGCCGAAGTTTGTTGGGGTTGCTGCATGAGATCCCTGCAGACGAGTTGGTGGTCTTCGGCGCGCAGTTCCAGAGTGCCTGTTTTTACCTCTGGGAGCAGCATATCTGGCATCTGGACCACAAGCTGGACAACTGCGCCATAACTGACGATGTAGGAGGCAGAACCTTCAGCGACGGCCGGACGTTGAAAGTGCTTGACTTCGGTAACGCCCGTCACATCACTCCCGAATTCCTTGCGAATCCGCCCGCTCTCCGCGATGTCCTTTTCACCCCTCCTTTTTATTGCGAAGAGTTTCACTCGGAGTTGTACAAGGTGGACAATTTTGAAAGTAGCGAGAGCGGGGAGGACTTTACCGCGAACGAAGCAGCTTCGGCAACTGCAATTTCCCGCAAGCAAGAAACCGTTGACATTGTAAAGATTCTGCGACTTCAAGAGGCCCACCTGGCTGCAATCGTGATGAAATTTCTGGGCTCCGCGCGGCCTGAACAGGGGGTCGAGTACGGGCGCGATACGACATTCTTGAACGTTTACGCTACGCAGTTCGATCAAACAAACTATCGGCAGGTGAAAGCAGCAGTCGGGTTTCTCGTCAAAAAAGAAGAGTTTGAAAAAAGGGTGCTGTCGGAAGTGGCTTCACTCTTCGCAGCATCTGGTGCTTCCAGCTCCAAGAAAAGTCCTAAATCCAGCACGACCAAGATGTGTGCAAAGAAATAGTGGGAAAGCAGAATGTTGTCGTTGTGAACCAATAAGAAGTACTAGAGCCTAGTCTGTCCGCGTCAACAACGCAAGTGAAGATGAGGCTGTGTCGATGTCTATGCAGGCTCTCATGAGTACTAGTAAGTAGCGAAGTTGTGGACTTGTTACAAGTTGTGAATGCGGTGCATGGTTTTGTACTTCGTTGGACCAAAGGGACTACTGTATCTTTACAGTACAGTGCGTTGCACTTCAAATCGAACAGCGTCAAGATCAAGTAGATAGTCAGGAAGAACTCGGATACAAAATGACATAGGCTGGCTTTCTGTAATATCTGCGCTCTTGAAGCCAGGCGATGGAAGACATTGAAGAATTCCATCGATTGTGTCACGGGCAATGCGGATAAAGTGTTCTATTTATTCACTATTTCCGCTGCTAGTGGGCTATGCTAAAAAAACTGAAAGGCAAAGCATAGACAGCAGTAGCATCAAATATGCTGGCCCTGCTCTTCGATATAGTATTGCTTTCTTTGATGACGTCATATTATTGATATTGTAGTCATTGAGAGGGACAGATTGTGTCGAGCGAAAGGCCAAATCCGTCTATGATATTTTTTTTCTTTGCACATGCTGAGAGAGGGCGAGAAAATGGAAAACTCAATTCCGGAAACTCATCATCAGTGTTGTAGTGTGCGGTGCAAATTATCTTCACACTTTTTTACGTTTCTTCAATCCTGGTGCTGGTATATCAAATCGGGAGTTGTGGTGTGATGAAGTCGGTAAACATTCCGGCCCCCTTTTTGTCGAGTAGTTTTTGTTTGATGCGTGATGTGTAGTGTTAGCCATAGCCTTACCTAGACCTGTTTGCCTTTCTCTTTTTCCGTTCTTTCTCGTTTACCTCGGTGCTTAATCTATCGGTTGCAGTTGCTTTTTTCATGTATCGCTTTCAAAATTCGGTTAGAGTTAGAGTTTTACTCTTGACCACAGCTCTTGCACACATGCTTTTGACCACAGTGAGTGGTGTTAATAAACCTCTTGACCACAGCTCGTTCAGGTATGTGATCTCTTTATCGTTTTAGCGGGTCGCCTCCGTGCCACGTGTAGTATTCTAATTGTCCAATTCCAAAGAACAAGAAGATACTTTTCTGCAACATTCGCTGCGCAAATCTCAACTGTCCAACTGGAACCTGACGAAAAATGTGGGGCAGGTCTTCTTTGTGGATTTGGATTTTGTGATCCTTCGACATCGTGCGTACTTCTGATTGCCACCGTCACGACCGGGCGTACAACTCTATCTTCCTTCTGCCACCGTCACAGCCGGGCATACAGCTCTATCATTGCAAGCTAGGACAAACAACTCGATATTCCTCTACAAGGATCATGCCGCAGAAACCAGCTGGCTCGTCCAGCAGCTCAAGCTCGGGCATGCGCATGTCGGCAGCACAAGCTCGGCTCGTAAACCAACTTTGGCAGGGGAATGTCCCCAGCGGCTTCGCGTCGATGTTCCAAAAACCATCGATGTTGCAGTACGAGGGGGAGGAGCTGCAATTTCAGATTCAGCTCAGAGCCAGCCTGCGAGCTATATCAGCTGCAAGAAAAGCTAAAGAAAATTGATACAGTGGTCATGCCGCAAACTAGTATCCAAGCGAGTTGTGCTTACGGGAGTGTTAAGTAAGGTACAGGGATTTACTCTTTAAGTTTTTTGCCTTTATCGTGTGGGCGGTGCTTGCGTCCTCCATTGACGGGTCCAGGTGCAAAACAATTGAGGAGGAGGACCTCTTCGCTGCCATAATTAGTGTGCTCCTCTAGTACTTGTACTCTATTGCAGAGCAAGATGATATCTGTCATCAATGCTTTTCTTTGCAGTGTATAGCACGAGAAGCTCACCAAGGCAGAAAAACAGCAGATACGAGACAAATGCAATGAGCATTGCAGCCTGGCTGGAATGCGTCTTTTGAACTGCATTAAAAGCGACGGTAACTGTTTCTTTTACGGCCTCGACGTCGTGCTGAATGGGTATCGATTTCGAAACGACTTCGACAGGGCGGCAAAGCTGCGGAAGGAGGTATAGTTGTTTGAGTTTCTCGATTTTCCAGCATTCTGACAGCTTAGGTCATGGACTTTTGAGTTTGGATGTGAACACCTGCAAATTCTGGCGCCTTTGTTCATGTAGGATCAGAAAGCAATAGCAACTTGCAATGACTCGAGCTGGACCTTGTGCTTGTCCTGCGCCAGTGCTATTCCTGCTGTCGTAGGATAATGAAATGCGAAATAGTAGTACTCTTCATAACAGCTCTGTGACGTGCTCAGGCGGATGTGGAACGATCCATCAATTTCGTCGCCGACGCTGCAGGACAAGTTTCCGTACGATGATGACACAAGAGGAGTGCCAAACTCAAGGCCGGACACCGCTTGAAGAAGGCCGCACTTATCGCGCACCAGAGCTGAGGATGACCCGAAGAGAAAATGAAAAATAAATGCATTGAGCGGAAAGGGCCATACAAATTAATAGATTTGCAGAAATAGGCCGACTAGAAGCAGTTGCTCGATACAGTGCTACTATGCCTGAAGAGTACGCTGTAAGCAATTTTCCAGCGATTAGCCCACTTCTTACTGCACTAGCCGTTGCCACGAGAGCTGCTCTGGAGCACCGCTCCAGTCTTCAAACAAAGGTGCGCGCTCGGGTTCCGGTCTTTCTTCGTCAGGTCTCCGGGACGCGTTTTTCCAATGATAAGCAATTCGATACTCTTGCGAGCATCACCGATGATATGGCACAAGACGGAAATTACGCGAACCATTTCATGATGCTCGCTGCGCAGTACCGGTATTACTTAGCTTTTAATTTTGCATTGACATCATGGGGGACTGGCGCAGTTCCGTCTTTATCTGTTCGACAGGAGTGGCGCAGTACGGACCACTCGAAAATGCGCTACGTAAAAATTGTGAAAAAGAAGCTGATCATGCACATAAAAGATATATATCCTTTCGTCAGTGCCACTGCCACTTCGAAGTTTCAGTTTTACAACGTCTGACTGATTCATTGATGTACAGGTTTAATATTGTGGAGATCCGGCTGTTTTCCAACTTTCACCCCCTTCCCACTATCCACACAAACTATTTGCCGAGATATCCCGGGGAACCCATCCGGGAATGTGTGAACTTGGCGTACACCGGTACAGCTATGCTGGCTATCGTGCCATATGTTTTATTTTAATTCAGAATTATGCAGCACGATCCTGAGGACGGCCTGGGCCAAGTGCGTGGATGTTATGTCGGTTAAAATCAGTCGTGCGTTTGCGAACTCTCGAGTGCCTTTCATGTGTGTACCGTTTTGAGGACAACCAAACGAACCGCGCCATCGATTTCCTTTGATATATTGAAAGGTAAGCGGCTGGACGACTCGGACTCGGCGGGGCTTCACTACGACCTCGTCGCGCCCGTCGAGAAACAACCCGACGAGATATTTCCGGTCCCCACCAATGAGCCTGCAGATCACCGCGACGCACAGGTGCCGCAAGCTGCCGCAATGGCAAGCGAAAGTGGGGCGGGCACTGCGGTTGCTGGTGCTGCTCCGGCTGCTGGTGTGCCAGCAATCCAAGGAAACGTCGAGGCGGACATCACGGGAGCGGCTGGAGCCGCTACTGCGTCTTCATCTTCGGCGTTGAAATTAAACTCCCCGGTGCGAGAACAAGCACAAGGTCAAGCAGAAGCCGAAACCAGACTACTTCCACCACTTATGCAAGCGCTCATCGATGAGTTCATTGTATATGAAAAAAACTCCGAGCCAACTTCCAAGTTGGAGCAGCAGACGAGGTTTGCCAAGCAGGTGATCGAACCTTTGGAAAAAAACGACCAACTGGTGCTGCTCAAGTTGCTCAGAGATGACTGGGAAAAAAGTGTCCTTGTCTGGGCAAAAAAAAAGGTCTTACTGGAGGAGTGGAAGAAGTGGATGGCGGTATAGATATATCCAAAGTACTAGTACAGATCGCCACTATAATTTATATGAAGAAAAAATTGCAATGTAAATGTTTAAATTTCTGATTGTCTTTATTTCTTTCTCATTTTTGTGTAAGTACAACAAGGATGCGCATCTTTGTGCCTGCTTTCGCCTGGTGTTCAAAACGACATTGAAAAAATCGCAGTTTTCATAAATGCAAAACAGAATGATCATCACGTGGATCAAGACTTGGGCGGCCAAGAGCATGATAAGGAGGAGCCGTCCGTGGAAAATAGTGGGATAAATCAGCATCCGCCCCACCGTGAAAACCCCACAGGAAGTGGCCGAGCAGCCGGAGCTGACGTCTTTAACATCATAACCGACACGTCCGACCCTGACCCAGAGCGCACCGTTGGAGGAGATTCAGTCAGGAAGCCGGAGGTGGAGAAGAAAGGTCAGGTTGGACTTGAAGCGAAGATCGACAATCTTGCTTCGCAGAACGTTCCAATGACCGGTGGCAAACTACACACCGAACGAAAAATAAAGGTACTGATTTTTAGTTGTGTCGTGTCGTGTCACAACTTGTCAACAGTCCACTCGTAAAAAATGAAAAGAAACTTGATGGCTCACGTGCCTCCGACAAAACGGTGACCTAAAAACTTCTAATATACGAAACGTGACTTGTGCAGTTTGTTACACCAGATTAGAAGCACCTAAAGAAGATCACTTTGCACGCATGTGAAACTTAAGAAAATCAATACTTACACTCGCGGACCTATCATGTTTGTGGACAAAGGCGCAGATCAGCTCGCGTGGCACCCGCCTAGATTCGAACGATAGATGAATAGAGTTGCTCAATACTTCGCGCCATTTATGTTTTCACCCATAAGAGACAGAGTAGGGTTGTTGGAGAGATCATGGCCTTGAAAAATTAGTGCCGGGCAATGCGCATCCTGGACGTCCCAAGAGAGACCATGCTTCAAGTCCGGGTCTCGCCCGGAGGTGACCCTGTTTTTAATGTTTGACTTTTTATCCCCTTCCCTGTGCCGTCAGCTAGCGCTTCAGAAAGCTCCCATCATTGCGTTGAGAGCTGAAGGACTGCTGTCAGCCTCGGAGCTCTGGGGGGTCGACATTGCAAGGTGGTAGGCTTTCAGGGCACTAAAGCGTGGGTATGAGGTCAAAAAGGCGCTGAATTGAAAAACTGCCCGAGAACATTTTCTCGGTACGTTCTGAACCTCAAGGTTAAGTCATTGCATTCTCGCTTCACAGCAGGTAGGTTTGCTTCCGCTACGGACCCGCAGTTAGCTCTTCGCAAAGCTGGTGGCGTTTCTCTAGCCTCTGCACCACGGGCGGAGCTCGGGGAGGGGTCGACATTGTTGGACTGGCTGGCTTTTGGGG